GTCTCCTTTATCGGCCTGCTGACCCCCGTCATCGGTGTTTGGGCGCGAACAGTGTTCACTTGGGCTTGTGGTCCTGACTTCCTGCCTTTGATTCCGTTGGTTGAATCGCACTCGTAGGGCCTGGTAAGCCGCCGGGAGAATCGTGCAGCGGTTGATGGAAGTTGGTACGGTGTGCCAGGCTTCGAGCGTTTCCCTGGCTGTCTGGTCGGTACCTCGGCCTAGGATTTCGGCGTTCTCGAAGGCGAAAGTGTGTCCAGAGGCAGCACAATGTTCCGCCACCAGTGAGAGTTGGTCCATCCTTCTCACTGCCCTTGCGTGTTCACTCATGCGGGTTTGTAGACGTTTTCCGGTCTCTGCAACGTAGTTCGCCTCACAGGAACTACACTGGACACGGTAGACGACATTCGCTGTTTCGCCTCGTGACAGAGGGGCCTTGGGCCTCATGACGAGACGTCTTATTGTCGCTTCAGGTCTGTGGGCGACGCCGATCCCCAGTGGTTGTAAGAGACGAGCGACTGCTTCGGATACATTCTCAATATACGGTAGCGCCCGCCACACTTTGGGTTGTTCTCTCGTTGGCCTTATAGCCTTCTTTGGTTGCCTGCTGCGTTCGATGAAACTGCGAGGATAACCGTTGGAGATGAACATCCGCCGAAGATAATGGAGTTCGGCTACTTTGTCGGCTGCCTCGCTGCAGTGAGTTTCCGCCCTCTTGTAAAGAGTCCGCACACAGCTACGTTTATGGCACAACGGGTGGTTACTGTAGTAACTGAGGACCTGACGTGTGTTGGTGGCCTTTCGGTATACCGTCGTTCTTAGGCTCCCGTTGGCTTTGCGGTGGACCAGGACGTCTAGGAACGTTAGCTGGTTGTTGACTTCTGCCTCCCTTGTGAACTGAATGTCCGGAAAAACAGAGTTCAGGATCGTGTGAAATTCGGAGACCATCTCCCGCTTCAGGATGACGAAGGTATCGTCCACATACCGTGCCCAAAATATGGGTCTGTGGGTTGCGAAAACCAGCGTCTCTAACTTTTGAAGGATCACCTCAGCAATGAAACCAGACAGCGGCGAACCCATTGGAGTTCCTTTGATTTGTTCATAGACTGTTCCTTCAAAGGTGAAATAGGTCCTGAGGCAAAAATGGATCATCTGGATAAGGTGCCCTCGTTTAAGGTTATCGGTCTCGTCGTTATATTGACTCTCAAGTAGATCGCTGACAGTTTCAATTGCTAGACTCTGAGGAATTGAGGTGAAGAGTGAGGTAACATCAAATGATACCATGACTTCGTCTGCATTAAGGTGTAGACCCTGGAGTCTTTCCAAGAAATGTACGGCTGAGCGGACCGTTGTATCGGAGCCTGATGTGAGACAGTTCAGACGTCGGAACAGCCATTTTGCCAGGTTGAATGTAGGCGTTCCGCGCAATGATACGATAGGTCGAAGTGTAGCACCAGGTTTGTGCACTTTCGGCAGCCCATAGAATCTCGCCATAGCCGAATCTGTTGGTTTAATGGCCAGTCGTTCTGCTTTTCAGACGGCACCGTTGCTCTGTAACCTAGCGAGCGTCGTGTTGATTTGTGCCACCAGCTTCTTCATCGGATCTCCGTCGCACCTGATGTACGCAAGACGATCATCGAGCAGGGCGTTGGCTTTCCGAAGGTAATCTGACTTGTCGAGCACTACTGTGGAACGTCCCTTGTCGGCTGGCAATACTACAATGCTTCTGTCAGCCTTCAGTCTCTCGAGGGCGTCTTGCTCCGCTTTCGGAATTGCTACTCGCGATTTGTGCGCCAACAGTAAGGATGTAACTTGCTGTCGGATGAGATGTTTTGCATCGTCCGGCTCCTGGGAGTGCTTGAGGACCGACCCGATGCTAGCCAAGAGGTTAACCGGATCGGCGTCCGCGGTATTGAAGCATGCTGCATGTTGTAGCACTTGAAGCTGCACTGGCGTCAGTTCCTTGGAAGACAAATTGTGGACCAGTGTCTCGCTGGGATCTGGCGTTGTTGGACTTAATTTTTGGAATTTGTGTCTCAACTCCCTATCTCGTCTAGATCGTAGTTCTCTGGCTCGGTTTTCGATGACTCCTTTCAGGAGTGTTGCATCGTCCTCTCCGATGAGCTCCGAACACTTCGGAATTATTTGGTCCAAGACTCTGCGGTATTTCTGCAGTCGCAAATGACAGTCCTGGATAAGCATACGAGTCATTCGCCTGCCATGTTGCATCACCCATTGCTTCGCTAGCCCTGTGTTTACCGGCGGCTTGTAGGAAAGACTCTTCGGTAGCACACGGCTGTCGAGACATCTGTGGAGGAATTCGATTTGCGCGTACGTTGAAGACACACGAAGGGCAAATATTTCCCATCGTCTTGCTGACTCTAGCGCTTCGCGCCCGAAAATATTGCCAATTAAAGCGAAAATGCGCGTCCCCGGGGATAAATGAGAAGAAGAGGCGATCTCGGGAACCATAGGTTTAATAGCCTGACGTTTCAAAAGCAAACAAGCTTCCATCGTCGAAGGTGGGTTCTGTACGGCGCCTCACAGTATTTATGGGTGCTGAGCATGCGGGAGTGTTGTCGTTCTTACTGCTATTCGTGCAGGATCTGCTGCGGGGGGAGGAGTTAATTGCTGTCGTGCTGGCCGGTCCCTTCCTCGTCTCCTAGTCGGGTGGGCTGAGTCGGGATGGCAACGGTCATTGACCTCGTCTGCATTACCCGCATTTGTTGTGCCTGACCCGCATTTCTCGTAATTGTCGCCCGTTTGCCTCTGCCCGTGTGCACCTCGGTGGTTGCTGACCCGTTGCCTGTGTCTCCTTTATCGGCCTGCTGACCCCCGTCATCGGTGTTTGGGCGCGAACAGTGTTCACTTGGGCTTGTGGTCCTGACTTCCTGCCTTTGATTCCGTTGGTTGAATCGCACTCGTAGGGCCTGGTAAGCCGCCGGGAGAATCGTGCAGCGGTTGATGGAAGTTGGTACATATATATGTGACAGTCATGCGGGTACTCGTTGACTCGAGACATCGGCAGATTTTATCAGAGTAATTAAGTCATATCAGTCGATTATTTGTGGCATTGTCTGCATAGGGTTAAGCGCTAAGTATATATTTTGCATAAGGATATTGAGACGGCGTTTTGCCGTATACTTTTTTTTCACATTAAATCCAAAGCTCCAGGTTTGGGGTTTTGCTTTTGAGACTTTTCGGCTTCAAAATGTCCTAGGGTATATACTAAAGACCACATTTCTCCATAAAGTTTCTCACTCGCGAGAGGACTCAGGAATCTAATTGTTTTAACAGAAACTTGATCATACGTCATAATTTGTGGCAAAGACAGGATGAACATGTAGTAGAATTTCATCGCCACAGTTCTACAGTGCGCTATTATGCAAAAGACAAAAATTATGCTTGGTATCTTGAATATGATTAAGCGAGACAAGTATCCCCATCCGAAGTGAATGAGTCGTCTAAATTATCCATGGTGAGGAGATTTCAATGGTTGTCCGAATGCGAGCCTTTAGGCCGTTATACTGTACACCCACATATCGTCGTCATCAACGTAATGAGGAAACCGTGAGGTATAAGGATAGGACAGTGGTACGATAACGCCCTCTGCTGAAATCCAGGTACGTGTAGGATTATGGGACAGTGTAACGTCGTAAAAGTACGAAATAATAATTTTTTATTGAAGGCCCGTCGGAGTCCCATCAAAGCAAGCAAAAATTTATTTACATGCGAAAAGTCCTCTTAAAAGTTTAAAAATGATTGGATTAATTCTAGAGTAGAAAAAACCCCTCTCTAAAAAATAGTAACGGAAAAATGCGGGCAGGACTGGCCTATTAGTGGCGGTATATAACGGATTATAATGGGACAGCGTCAGGGCAGAAATAAATGTCATCGTTGATTATAATCGGACATCGTCAGGGCAGAAATAAATGTCAGCCTTGAGGGGTACGTATGTAGGTCAGACATGACTGGCCTGCATGTGGTATTGTATACGGGATTCAGAACTGACATAGTCAGGACAGAATTGATACGCCGGATGATACTATTCGTATCAAAGTGGCCAGACGAGAGGAACCCAGATGCGATCGGCCACAGTACGCTTCGAGCCCAGCCGAGGAGTGGGGAAGGGAGTTACGACCAATCTACTAGTAGACGGCGAATACTGAGGGTTCCGCCGTGAGCGTCGACAGACCGCATGAGGTCGAAGTGCGGGAGATGGCATCAAGAATAGCGAAAATCGTCGCTATGGGGAGGAGTGATAGTAGTGGATTTAGAAACCAATTCAGGGGTCTCTAATGATATAATTTAGGGTTACCACTTGATCTACCACAAAATCCCAGCAGGACCCTTCTCGAAGCCAAGAAGCTGAGTGTTCGGGAATGAGACCATTAAAAGTACCTTGATGCTTTCCGCTTTAAGGTGTTTGCGTCATTTCGATTTGAATACCAGTAACTTAGGCGATATTTTAATTTCTGGCGGAAGATTATTCCAAAGGAAGGCCTATTTGGAAGTAAAGAAGAGGGAGCGCTTAGATGTAGTGCAAAGAATCACCATGGAGGAGTTGCGCGTGGCATAAAACCGATTTTTCGGAGTAAGAGTGTGAATCAGCGGATGATTGGAGCTAGAATTAATGCGAGTTACTTTACAGAGAGACATCCGCCAAGCTTGTCTACGGAAGAAGAAGTGAATCAAATGGAAACTCCGTGAAGCTTTTCGGCCATCGGAGACCTCGACTCCGCGGGGAGTGTGACATCCCTGATGTCAGCTTCTATTCTTGTCTGTTTTTCTACTAATAATAATAATAATTTTATTTAATGCCAGTTTACAGGCTTTGTCAAGGGAAGCGTTAAACACAAATCCGACAGCAGTGAAAAAACTCCCGAGGTAGAGGAATAAAAATATAGTTTATGGTGATTTTCATGGTTTGGAGGGTTCAGGAGAAAAAACTGCTGGCGGCATACATTCAACCGTCAAGAAGGGTTGGGGGGGTTACACGGTATCGGAGGTTATCGGACATCAATTCCTTTCATGAAATTGGGGATTTCAAAGTAGAGGCGTTGAGGAACAGCTGTCTCTGTTGGCCAACGAAATTGTCCTTGGTGAGACAGGTCATAGTGTTCAGAAACCACAAACGCCATCGCTACGGTAGTGTCGATCAGTGGAGTCAGCATCCAAAATTTGTTGGAGCTTTTCTGAATGCAGAAATCGAGTAATAGTTCTCTTAAATAAAGGATTATTTTGCAGATTTTTCACACTCATGGGTAGTTTATTCCAAACTAGCCGGACCCCGCCACGCGTTACTGTGGCTCAGTCTGATGAATTGGGAAATAAGGGAAAGAGGAAAGAGCACGTTCCCAATTAAGAAAAATGTAAGGGCCACCCGTTGGTGGTACGTACTGTGTGTGAAACCCAGGATTGTCCTTCTAGCCGCTGTCGAAGGCAGGGCAGTTGTTTGCTGCACCCAGTCGCGCTCGAGAATTCCGGAGTAAGTGGTGACGGTCGATCGAGACAGTGGTGGCCTCAAGTCTCCTGCAAGCAGTAGCAGTACATCAGACATGGTCCGCTGTTCCCTCGCAAATCCTGCAGGGTTCGATCAGGAACTTCGAGCGCTTTTTTGCGCCATTGTGCATTCATCTCAAACAATAGGCTTGCATTTCTGCGGAACTTTTCCCGTGCCGAATGCTTTGGAAATGCTACACGCAGGAGTTTCAATGAATTACGCGTTCAAAAGCAATTTCGAAGCTGAATGAACCGGTTTTCTGCCAGGTGGCAAAGTTGCAGCTATTCCGGGGATGCAAGTGCTAGGGCTATGACATTTATTGGATCGAATTGCCGTCATAATCGGTCGTAGTAAGAACGTTTTGCCAGTCCCTGCTGGCACATCTAGGAAGGAGATTCCTCCAACCCATTTACTGACATTCCGCACTATTTGGTCGTAAATGTCATTCTGCTCCAGTCTTAGCTTATGAATGTTTGATTGCAAGCATGGCAGAAGTTGAACCGTGTTTCATTTTGCTCATGGCGCCAATCCACATCTAACGAAGCAGCAGCATATTGGTTTTGCGGTGACATCACCCAGTTGATTAAGAAGTTTGTTCGAGATTTCTGCGTTCATATCCTCGATCAACATTAACGCCTCGCTGTAGAATCCTGCTGTGCAAGCCACATTTGAATTTTCCTTGCTTAGTTGACGGAAGGTATCTTCAGCCATGTGCAAATTCTATTTCTCCGGTAAATATGTTGGAGATGATGAAAGAATGTGGTCAATATGACTGCAAAAAATGCATGAATTTGATGTGGATGGAACGTGTTGCAGGCGTCACTAATACATACGTCCCACTGTTGATCGTTCTCCAGTAACTGAAGAGCCTGACACGCACTGCTGAAAGTGGCATGCGTAGCGCCGTTGACAGATTTCAATTGCTGAAATGACTTTGGACGTGGCGCATTCATCAACACCATGCGAAGTAAGATTGGGATTCATGGTATGCAGTCTGCCTATCGCAGTTCCTTTGAGTATGCCGGGGTTTCCGTCCACTCGCTCTCCTCGTTTGCTTTCTTAGGATGATTTTCTGCACACATTCCCTCTGTAATACGTATGCACTTTCGAATGCGGTAGTGTTTTTGCAAACGCGTCACTTGAGCTTAACGTGGAGAACGCAGTTAACGTTGTTGCCAGTGGACCTACGCAACCTGTTGCATATTTGCAGCTGTCAAGTAAACGCATTGCCCATTCTCTAACTGTACTGCAAGCGAACAACACCTGGATTGCAGGTTAATGTAATGAGTAGGTCTGGACGCCCGTACTGTCAAACGTAAGCAATTGCACCTTGAGCGTACCCGAGCATATGGCGTGGACTCTCTGTGTATGTGGACGACAAAAACTTTAGTCTTACAACGTTGGTTGTATTACCGTCGTTTACAACTGCATCATGCAAAGGAATATATTCCTCAGAGCTCAGCCTGATCTGATTTAAGCGAATGCAAGCAGGCGTTCAGTTTCGATTTTTGCATACATATCCACAATGCAGTGATGACTCAATTTACGGCATTTCAAAAGGGGATTACTTACATTCTGTCGCAGCATAAGTCGATTGGAGTAGGGGTTCATTGCGCTGCATTTCATGTGCGTTACCTCGTCAGTGACTGGATTTATCATCTTAACGTTGAAGTGATATCCATCGGTACCATCCCGATACTGCGTTGGAATCGGTCTCCGACTGTCGGTATATATGGTATCACCTAGCGTGACTGCTGAGCACGGAGTCGTGTTGGACGCTGGTCCGCTGTTCCTCGCTGGCGCCATTTGACCACTCCCAGCTGGCTTTGTTAATCCTGTTTCTGAACGAAGCAGGCCTGAAGCTGCAGAACGCGGTAGCCCTGACCGCAACCGGGCTTCCCTAAGTCGAGCTGCACAATACTGAGCTGACACTGGGTGACAGGCCCCTTATGTGGGTTGTGCAGAGAAGGGCAGGCGCTGGTGTTAATTTCCTCCAGTCCTCACCCCCCGAGAATGCCCGAGGAAACGGTGACGGCCCTATAACATGGACTGTGGGACAATTTAAAGTGGCGTCCAAGTGTTGCGTGCTTTTTTGCCGCAGGGTGGGTGGTTTGCTCTGGCGGCCCATATTGCATCGGCCCGGAGAGGGTGGTGGGCCTGCCCAAGTGCCTGCAGGATGGCTGGTGGGGTGAGCGCGGCCGTCGGCTGGAGCACGTGCGTTTGAGCGAATGTCGGTCAAGTGGCCACAGTCTGGGCGCACATGTATCCGCCCGGATGTAGGTCAAGTGGCCGCAGCAAGTGGCGTTGTAAGGCCGGAATAAATCCGATTTTTTACCCATTACAGGCATACCATCGGCAACATTACACAACTTAACAGGCAAAACCCGGCCCTATGCGCTGGCAGTGTTGTATCCAAATTTCAGCGCAATCGGTGCAGTACTCTCGGAGATAACATATAACACAGACAAAAATTTCTTTCATTTATATAGCAATTGTATTTACATGAAAGAACCGAAGATATTTAACAGTGCATGTCAGGGGAAGAAATAAAAAGACCTCACGGTGACTCTTACGTGGGGGGTGGATGTGATGTCTTAAAGAGGTAAGTGGGTTAAATGTGTGATTATACAAGAGTTTAAATAGCAAAAATAGTCTCTTTTGTAATCTACGGAACCATAAAGGATCAAGGTCTGTAAGCCGGCAACGTTCTTGGTAAGACAAATGCCGGTGTTGCGGGGTTCAAACTCTATTGGTAAAAAGTATTGAATGAATTTTATTTCCTTTCGCTGAGCAGCAGGTATGAGGCTAAATAAAAACGAACAGTATTCCAGGCCAGGTCCAGCGTGCGTGTCATAATGGCGTATTCTAATGTCAATAGCTTTAAAGTTTCGGAGAATAAACCCGATTGTTCTACGTGCTTTGGAGTCTATCAAGGCACAGTGCTCCGAGAGATTGGGACTCTTGGAGTATGCTGCACACAGGTCCTTAATAACCTGAGGCACATTTATGGCGTGACCGTGAATACTTAGTTGAGGTTGGCAGTCGTCGCCAACTAACATGACTGAGCACTTATGCCAAGAAAGAGAAAGGCGCCATGTGCGGCACCACTGGGCGAAAGCCTGTACATCGCTCTTTAGGAGCTCAAGCACGATGTCATGATCTGCCGTTTGTCATGATCTAACCGTTTCATACAAACCTCCGGTCAACACAGAGCTGGCGAGACGCGCAGTACTTCAGCACGGCCGACGAATGATCCGAGTGCTGCTTCAAGACTGTCACTCACGGATTCGCAAATACCGTCAGAGGATTGACCAAGAGAAAGCAAGGTGCTGCGAGTTCATGGGCGAGGACGGCATAAAACTGCTTCAGCAGAGGCTGGCCGAACGAACCCGCGAACATAAAGCAACGCGAGAAGCAGCCCTAGAGAGCAAATTTCGTAAGCTGCCTGCTCCAATGTCATCCAAGAACGACAAACTGGTGCACAACTTGTCGTCAAAGGAGCTGACGGAGGAACAAATGCAGGTTTTACGGCATCAGGCCTCATTCAACACAGCCGATGCCAAACCTGCCAACATGATCGCAGCAGTGGAATCAATCCTCAGCCAGACGGGAGCGACAGACGAAACGAAGAATCTCATTCGACACCAAGTGTCCTCCCTCCTCATGGCTCATAGGCCGCGCGATGTGCTTTCCAAGGTCGAGCGCGATGCACTTAAGGAACTCAGGGCCGACAACGACCTCGTTATCGTGCCTGCGGACAAGGGGCGTTCAACGGTCGTATTGGACAGGACAGACTACAATCAAAAAGCCAAAAGGTTGTTGGAGGATCGTCAGTCCTATGTGCCATGCGAATCCAACCCCATGAAAACGCTGACACGCGAGATTAACGCGACGCTTTTGGCAATGGAGAACTCAGGTGCAATATCGCCAATCGACCGACGCATGGCGAGAGCACAAGAAACGGCCCTAGCCCGATTCTACGGTCTCCCAAAAGTGCACAAAGAGGGCGCTCCTCTCCGGCCTATCGTGTCACTAAAGGGCACTCCAACCTACGGACTGGCAAAGTGGCTGTTCCAACGTCTCAAGTTTCTGACCTCCGATTCGAACACCACAGTCAGCTCGTCAACGCAATTCTTGGAGAAACTTAAAGGAGTAAGTCTCCTGCCAAGCAATATCATGGTTTCCTTTGATGTCACGTCCCTTTTTACTTCTATCCCGCAGGACCTGACAGTCGAGACAATCGAACTACTCCTACGAGAGAAGTACGACGAAACGGAGAATCGCCTCGGACACGCCCAAATCATCCAGCTCCTGAAGTTCTGTCTCAAGACGTACTTTACATTCGACGGAACAATCTACGAGCAGGTGAAGGGAACGCCAATGGGTTCGCCGATTTCGGGACTCATAGCCGAGGCGGTCCTTCAACGGCTGGAGTCGCTGGTTTTCCGACACCACAGACCGAAATTCTGGGCTCGGTATGTGGATGACACCTTCGTCGTCATCGAACGGGATCAGGTGCTGACTTTCAAAGAACAACTCAACGCCGTCTTCCCGGACATTCAATTTACGATGGAGGAGGAGGAAAACAATCAGCTGGCCTTCCTGGATGTCCTCGTCTGCCGCAAAGATTGTGGTGGCCTAAAAACCAAAGTGTTCAGGAAAGCGACAAATACGACGCAAATACTGAACTTCAATAGCAACCACCCGATCAGTCACAAACGCAGTTGCGTAAGGGTGCTATACCGGCGTGTTGAGACGCACTGCAGTGAAATGGAAGACAAGGTTGCTGAATTACAATATCTTCGACGGGTAATGAGAGCCAATGGTTACCCGCGCAACTTTGTCAACCAGTGCATACGAAAAGGACACCAGAGACCAAATCCAACTAGCCCCAAATTTTGGCGGGCTCTTCCGTACGTGAAGAACGTCTCGGAAGCCGTCAGTCGTCTTCTCACTCCACTTGGAGTTGGGGTTGCACACAGGCCGGAAGCAACCATTAGGCGCCAAGTAATGAGGCCAAAAGACCCGCTGCCACGGCAGGAAACGTCTGGAGTCGTTTACCGGATCTGGTGTAGTTGCGGACAAAGCAATTATGTCGGAGAAACTGGGAGATTACTCCGTACGCGACTTGCCGAGCACGCAGCAGCAGTGAGGCGGGGAGACGCTAACTCTCAGGTGGCGGCACACTCGACGGGACCCGGCCATAATTTCAAATTTCAAGAGGCCGAAATCCTCGCAAGGGGTGACAACCGCGTGAGCCGCGAGCTGCTCGAGTCATGGTTCTCAGGCCCGCAATCCATCAACAAACACAATGACCTCCCGGTGGCCTATTCCGTATTGCGATTTTCCCTGGGCAGGAGAATCAGACACGTGGGGAGGGCGCGGGTGAGCAATTATCACGGTGACAGTGAGCCAGTTTGCGGAGCAATCGTCACACCAGCATCGAGCACGGATGACGAAATCGCGGCAATTAACAACTCGGACTCGGACCGCCAAGCCACCGCCGCATCAATTACGACCCCAGCGGCGATTGTGAGAACTGTTAATTGCAGTGCGCATACGGTCCCACGACAGCCACGTGCTATAAATACTGCACTCCTGGTGCCACCTTCACCTCTATCTGCGAATGTTTCTGATGATGGGTTCGAGTGTGAATCCGAAACGTCAGGCAAGTAAACTTCTTGCCCCAGTGATCGCATCTTCATCTTCTGAACTGCTACCTGGGACTCGCCTGTTCGCTTCTATCAGCAATCTAACCGTTTGTTAGTAACCAGACTGTGCTCATACCACCCTGCCTTTTCCTCTGTACCCATATTCGTCGATTCTCGTCATTCCTTGTTCTTTTGTCTTTGTCCACTGTCTATTGCTCTTTGTCCCCGCTCGCTTTTAAACCGACCACCACACTTTGACGTCATTCGCTGACTGCTCGTCTGCTCACCTCGAATGTACGTCCACTTTTCAAATTTTTCCCAGCCTTATTAACTCTATCATGCTTATTTTTATAGAACCACAAAGAATAACCGAGTTATCTCAACCGTCGTCGGACAGAGCTTTGACCTCGGGTGCGTCTATTCCGGTGAAAAAAACGAGCAGTGAATCGAGAAAATCTAAAGAATCCTAATAAAAAGCGATGAGAAGTATAGTTCACCCCCTGTTACTCGTTCCCATTTTGTCCTACCATTATGGGTTTTTTGGAACTATTTCAGCCCAGGACATTTTTCTGTCTACCACACATTTTTACGTTGCAAATAGCGTACTCGAGCGCTTACGCCTATTTCCCTTAATATACTGAACAAAACTGAATAAAGTTGTTCGAGGCGTGTCCGAGCAAATTTCAGAAAACAGCCCTCTGTATCTGTCGCTGCACCCACGACCTGCTTCATCAATCACCTTAGATCAAAGACACTTAGAACGACAGCGACTTGGAATGGAACTCAGCAAACTGCGTCTACTAGAAATCGGAAGACGAATTCAGTTGGAAAAATTACAGCTTTGAAAATGGATGGTCAAGAATTAAATAAAGATAACGAGCTTTTTGCGATCGCTCAACAGAAAGATGGTATTCTGGATGATAATATCGAACCCGCCGTTCACACTACAAAGCGGCCAAAACGTGAAATTCAGAAGTTCGACGGGAACCCTAAATTTTATTTTGCTTTCGTGAAAGAATTCCATTCTGTAATTGAAAGAAAAACTAATGACAGCATCACATGCCTCATATACCTGATACAGTACTGTGGGGTAAGCGAAGGAGGCTAAAAAATAGTGCGATATTAGACGCCAACAAAGGTTTTAAAAAGGCCAAATATATTTTGAACAAAAGATTTGGACAGAATTATGTCGTAGCCCGAACCTTTATTGACGCATTAATCGACGGACCTCGAATAAAAGGCAATGGCACCGCAGCGTTGGTCCGCCTCCGACAACAAATTCAAGCCTGCGTGGTAACCTTAAACCAACTAAATTATGCGTCCGACCTCAATTCCAGCAGAACTCTGGAGCCGATTGTGAGACGACTACCCTCCCAATAAGGATTCAATGGGTTGAAACCGCTGCAAATGCAATACGTCAGGGCGATGAATCACAATTCAAAGATATCGTGAGATTCTTAAAAGAATGCGTTGATGTTGTCTGTAGTCGGCTCCGAGAATTAACGGTTGGTTTGAAAGATCATGAAAATCAGCAGCCCAGTGGAACATGCAGATTGTCAAACAACCTTCAAAGGAATGTGCTTGCTTAGACAGCACGGAAATAAAGTGTAATGGAGTCCATTTCCAGTTCTGTTGTGCGGTCTCTGGTGAATATAATTATCCCTATAAATGTCCAACATTAGTGGCGTATGACAGGACGGAAAGGAGAAAAATTGTACAAGAACGCAATTTGTACCGCCGATGCCTGAAAGCGAGTCATATCGCTAAGAATTGCAGATCACCTCGTGGGTATACAGTCGAGAGCTCTGGAAGAGAATATCCTACTCTACTATATCCCGACAATAGAGAACTTAATAGCCCGTCGAATGTTTTCAGTCATCACGTAGTTGGACGCGAAAAAGAAGTTCCAAGGGTCACCATCGCAGTTGTTCCAGTGATCATCTGCTACGAACGATACACGTCACGGACTTTGACACTTTAAGACAACGGCTCTGACTCACGCTTATACACGATAGTCTCGTGTCTGCACTTGGAATGAAGGGCAAAGGCAAGGAGACCGTCATATCAACGTTGAATAAGGAAACTGTATTCCAGACCGTGAAAGCAGACTTTGACGTAGAATCTAAAGGCAAAAAATTGTATTCACGTCAAACGAGCTTACTTTGTCAAATCTCTACCACAAGCGAGTTGAATCATCCCAAATTTTAAGGTAGCCTCACTCTGGCCTCATTGAATTCGAATAACGTGAAAGCATGGAGATCGGGCTGTTGTTAGAATGCGATGTATCTAAAGCACACTGGGTACAGGATCAAGGCTTAGGTAAAGCAAACCAACCATAGCCATTCGAACGGCCTTGGGGTGGATATTGATGGGACCTGTACATCTGACTCATAGAGAGAAGAAACGAATATACTGCTTCAACTTTGTTGAGTTCCAGAGGGATCTATAGCTGTTCTATCAACAAGACTCCATTGACCAGGGACCAACCAAAGACAAAGAGCTGTCTGTAAACAATCGTATCGCGTTGAAGGCTATGGACCGAACCCTTTGTTTTCGCGATGGTCACTATATGTTAGCCCTACCTTGGAGAACTCACCTATCAATCTTCCCGAATAACACGCTATGCGCCTTACAGCGCCTCCGACTGCTCGGTAAACGGCCTGTAAAATCAGAAGACCTGTTGAAAATATATACGAAAACTATGAACGAATGCATTTAGTCTGGATATTCTGAAGAGGTTCCGGTCAAGGATGCAACCTATTCCTGGTACCTTCCCCACCATCCCGTTTTCCATCCAGCCAAGTCAAATAAGATACACGTGGTCATTGACTGCGCAGCTAAATTCTACGGAACCTCCCTAACCGATTAACTACTCTCCGGACCTGATATGACCAATGCGCCAATCGGTGTACTTTTGAGATTTAGACAGGAGAAAGTTGCCATCATGGCTGATATTGAATCGATGTTCCATCAAGTGCAGGTGCCGGAGAAAGATCGCGATGTTTTCAAGTTCCTCTGGTGGACGAATGGCGACTTAACGCAATCACCAAAAGAGTACCGGATGACAGTACATTTGTTTGGAGCTACATCCTCCCCAATTTTTGCAACCTTAGCGCTTACTAGAGCCATTAATTACAGTGCGAAAAGCTATGATAAACGTGTTTTCGAGGAGGCGAAACGATGCTTCTATGTAGATGAGTGGTCAGTGTGCGAGATGAGAACAAGGCAGTACGTTTTTCCCAGCAGCTAAGGTCAATGCTAAGTAAAGGGGGCTTACAACTGCACAAATCGAACAGCAACAGTGTCACTTTAACGAAGTCCATACCCGAGTCGGAGCCGGCCAACACACCTATGGAGCTCGGCATCCCGTGTTGCACCTAGCACTGGGCGTGGGTTGGGACATTGAGGACGACCAATGTCGCTTTTTGTGCTTCTGATGAACAAAAAGTTCACTGGGAGGAACATACTTTCTCATGTTTCGTCTTTCTTTGATCCGATGGGATACATTACCCCAGTGATGATACTCGCAAAAAAGGTCTTGCAAAATTTATGCAAACGCATAGTAGGTTGGGACGAAGAGATATGCAATGAAGACTGGACATTGTGGAGAAAGTGGTTTAATGCACTGCCTTATCTCGAACACTTCTCCGTACCTTGATGCATAAGGCCAGAGCGGGCGAAACCAAACTATGATTTTCAACTCTATATCTTTAAAGACGCCTCGAAAACCGCTTATGACGCAGTCGTCCAAATGGTCGTGGGGGGCAAATGCGAAACAATGCTATCTCGATTAATATTTTCTAAGGCCAGAATTGCCCCTATTAGTGCGACAAGTATACCACGCCTGGAGCTAATGGCAGCTGTGGTAGCCGTTAAGATAGCCAGGCTGATCCGCACGGAAATGAGTGTAAAGATTTCAGCAACCTTCTATTGGGCAGACTCTTCAGTGATGCTCCGGAGCATTCGCAACACTTCGAAACGTTTTCTCACCCTCTTCTCCAACCGTTTGTCGTTTATACACGATATCTCTAGTCCAGACAAATGGCGATACATGGAATGCCGCCGAAATCCTGCCGACCTGCTATCCCGTGATGCCTTTGCGAACGAAAGTAATAAGCTAAAACGTTGGAAGAATGGTCCTGAATTTCCGGTGATTCCAGCTGAACCATCACTCCCGGCCATAGAAAATGCTTGCGTAATGACATAGCTCAGTTCTAACTAAGGACGTGTTGGCTTACTTCAGCAAACTGCCACAGTGATTGCTGAATGCCGTCAGAAATTATAGACTGACACTGCATGTGCGTTGCGAAAACAGGCGAATAATATGCTACTCTACTAACTTCAACGGACCTATGGGTGAAGGTAAAGAAATCACTCCGAGTCTGTTTTGAGGCCTTAGTGTACACAGAAATGTTCGAATTTCGGGTAGTTGGCATAATTCCCTTTCATATCAGCACAGTCATCTGCGAAAAATCTACCCGCACTCGCGTTTGGTCTGGTATCCTTCTTTACGCATACATTACACAATAATTTGCTAATTATCGGAGAGGTTTTTCAGTCCACCACGGCCTTTTTTGTTTGCAAATGTGTAAATAAACATGATTAAAAATGAAACTTTGGGGGTTCTGCAGTGTTTTGGAAATCAATTCTTGTTTTAACAGGGACTTAACGTTTGCACGATTACGGAATCGTTTGCGGGAATTGGGCCGCGCTTTGCCCGTTAATTTATGCATAACGTGGTAATGGAAGCGGATAGCTTTGACGTCCCTTTCTTGCATATTCCACGTGATAATATAGCTCCACAGCCACTGACAACGGCTTCAAACAGAACGCCGGGTCAGCATACTTGGATTCAACTCTCTGGACATTACGGTAAAAATTGTTTGGATAATCTGCCTTATTGCACTTTCGCAAATTTACACTGATGTAACTTGTCCCCAAGTCTTGTCGGCATTGCTGGAAAAAAACTCGACTATAGTGCGGATAACCTACTTTAAGTGTGAAAGACAAATATCGTGCTCGGGTCCGAGCACGTAGGTTTACGAGCTCGTAAACCAGTCGAGGGTGACCACCTAAGCAGGCAGTTAAAGAGCTGACTGTAATAAGGCCGTGAGCTCTCCGCCATGGGTTTGAACCCGCAGGACTGCAATTTTTTTAAACTAAATATTCAGTTAGGAGGTCTGAACTTAAGGGACACTTACAAATTTATTCTGTCTGGGGATCATCTGGTGGATCGGCGATTGTGTACGATAAGCCGAATGGGAATTCGGCCTATCCTGTTGGGATTAATGGGTTGTATACGTTGCAGGAAGTTGGGTGTGTAATTTTGATCAAAAAGCAGGCCTCATGATTCGTAGGTCAGGCGGTTAGAGTGCTGGCTGCACGAACTCTCTGCCCTTTCTTTCGGGGCCTCTGATGCGACCCAGATAGACTTGTTTTCGTTAAGTGGCACTTTTTGAAATGGATCAGATTTGTTGGTGTAGTTCCAAATTGGCTTTCCTGGGGATATTTTGACAGGCCGCTGACTGGTTTGTTATGATAATCTTAAGGCAATATTTCCCCGGAATGGATTTTAAGCAGGCATAGACAACAGAACTTATTGGAACAAGTAAATTTCGCGACGGCTTATCAACTGCAGCCTGCCGTTGCATAACACAGATAACAAGTGAGAAAGATACAGAGGTTTGAACTTCACAGAGAAAATCAATGTATAACAGCAAAGTCATCGTATACTGCACGTAGACTAATCAATAAAATGGTAACTTGAAAACGCAAAGTAGGAAAGAAAATGGGAAGGTTAAGATGCCGAAGGATTTCGTAAATCAAAAGGGGCTCAGATCAACCAGGGCAAGCTGAGGTTGACCACGTGGTCTGTTTGCATAGGTCAGGTCTCTCCCGCCGTATGTAGGCTGCCTCCAGGTAGCGCAGTAACCCAGTTGTTCGTTCTCGATTAATACTCGAAAAGATGTTTTTGGGTCAACCAAATGACCACTATCAAGGAGGCGTTTTGTAATAGAAGACCGTAGGATCTTATTCCCCTGCTTTAAAAGCTATTTAGGCAGGTGCTCAACTGACCTGGCTGCCAGTTGCCTTTGCGTTCGCCTAATGTACTTGCATCAACAAGTGCATGTGAATTCGTAAACACAATTTGACGTGCCGTGCAATGGTAAGGCATGCTTCGCCCGTGGAACTTGGATAGCCTTAGTAGGGCTGCAGAATATGAGTTCAGCTGAGTTGTATGTTCCTTCAGTGACGCATCTTAGTCGCCGCTTAATGGTATTGGATATGCTGTTGCCTTTAAAGGATAAGGATATTACAACGGTTTTTTTCGGAACTGATTACTCCGTTAATTTGGGCTGTAAATTGTTGCTATACTTTTCGATTACTCGTGTTGGATATCCCCGATTTACGAAATTCTTTGGCGTGTTAACTTCCCCATTTTCATTCCTATGTTGCGTTTTCAAGTTACCATTTTATTGATTAGTCTCCGTGCAGTATACGATGATCTTACTGTTTTAAATTGATTTTCTCTGTGGAAGTTCGAACCTTTGTTTCTTTCTCACTTGTTATCTGTGTTATGCAACGTCAGGCTGCACTTAATAAGCCGTCGCGAAATTTACTGGTTCCAGTAAATTCTGCTGTCTATACCTGCCTTAAATTATGAGAATCTTCCGGGACAGTCGTACGCTTCCCTTCGAATCGTTGGATTACGCAGTTCGGACGTATTCGTTCTGCCAGATATTCAAAACGAAGGACTCTGTGGTTACCTTGTATTTCGGGTGGATAAGTTGCTGGCTGTACCATGTCCGTGCCCTCTCCGCCGTGGGCTTGAATCCAACCGGTGCATCCGCGTCTTTTGTAACCCAACATTCATTTGAACCCCAGGAATTTGCCAAATCACCTAATTTTATTTGAGTTGTAATCTTCTAATGGATTGCTCATTGCTTGCTCGGTTGCTTCCGACTGTGCATTCTGCCCGTCTTATTGGAATTGGTGGATTGTGTCTTTTGCAGTAGACTGGGCTGTCCCGTGGCGGCAGATGACCAGCACTTTAGTTTTTACCGACCGGTGTTACTCGTGTTATGGCTTTTTTCGGACCCTCTGAGTTCATAATCATTAGCTGCTCACGTGAATATTTTCAGTAAGTCGTCCCGCAGCACTAGGGCGTTTGTATTTTTTCCCAACTACAATGCAGAGCGTGATCTTGTATCAAATCTGTCTATTCTTGTATTTCTGACACTCAGTCTCCTCAGTCGTGCCCAGTAGTTTGACGCCGGCGTCCATCGGTGCTTGTTTGGATTTAATTCAACCCCATACACTTGCTGTGTGGTTATTTTTACGCATATAAATCTTGTTTCTGTATCTATGTATTTATATTGCATAGTCTGTTCCCTCGAGCAATTTCGTCGGTTTTATCTAGTCTCGAAACTGTCATGCTTTCCGGCCCACGTTTCTTTTTATGGCAGTTGCTTTACTGTTTTTTTTTTCAAAAAAAATGATTAACTGCGTTTTATCCATTTTTTTCAGATTCATTTATACCTGACAGGGCAGGAACCATTTTAAAGGTATACAGTGAGCAGGAAGAAGCTTGTCTCAATGTCCTTGCCCGTGATGTCCTGAGAGATTTTGTTCCTACCTACAAGGGAGAGACAGTTGTGAACGGGAAAAGTATGACTTGTTCCTTGTCACCCTATATATATTTAACTGTTTGTCTTTCCGAGACTTTGCTGTCCCCATTTCTACCACCAGAATTACTCATTCGAATTAAGGGGAATTTATGATGGAGGCGGGATATGCCCGTCCAGTTGTGACTTTGGTCAATTGTAGTATAGCTTAGGAGTGATGCGTACCAATATCTCCTGATTGCTGATCCAAAATCGACGTTCCTGCGTTTCCGTGATACTGATACTCTGTAGCCCACGTGGGTCGTCACTTGGCGACTAACATTTAGTGGTCGTCCGATTTTTCCTGACAAGGACATGAACACTTGAATAACCATTTCCATCCTTTAGCCAAGATGGAGCAATGTACATCACTCCCTTGTGACCAACTGTTACCGGTCTTGACCAACATGGCGTCAACCCAAGGTGGAAGTTTGAGTCAAACCTAAACTTCAGGTTGCAGCCGGGATTTAGGATATCACCTACTAATGGAGGTAAATAAACCAAGTGGTCATTCTAGTGTGGCTGTCTTTATCGGCAAAACTTTTCGATTGTTAGGAACCGCTGTTGTGGAGCGATAACATTTGCGATTGTGTGAGCGAATAACTAGAATTGTCTTCGTATCTAACTGCGGCTCGTCTAAATCTAATCCATACTTTAGTGTAAGCCAAGCAAGCCTTGGTCTCGTGGGCATTCCGGAAGTACCGTCTTCCTCGTCTTTTGAATCCATCAAATTATCACAGAAAGTATCTTCTAAATTGCACGACCCCTGTGTGGCTTCTGCTGGATAACTTTTATTCGATTTTTACGGCTTGCTGAGCTTGCTACAAATTCTGTTTTCCTACATGCGGCAACTTGGATCCTCCGGACTGAACATTTTCAATGGGAGAAAATTTTTATCAACGTAGTACTGTTTCCTAGTCCGTTGAGTCATTTCCTCCCAATATGTGGAAGTGCTTGGCTATATAGTTGCGATCTTTTACCTGTCCGATTGTAGGGAAAAGCTTACTCGTCCGTTTTGCCGTGGGACTCACCTCTAGAATACTATCGAAATGCATGTGGTAAGTGGGATATGTCGCCGGCAAGAACGAAGGTGAACTGAGTTGCCCATCTTCGGTCAGTTTGCAGCTCTTAGCCGAGGTCTCTGAACTCTGAACCCGAATCCAGTTGCTGGACGAACATTTCATCTCAGGCATCCTACCACTTCCATGAACGTGCTTATCCGATCGGCCACGGTCAAGAATGTCCCAAATCATCGGGGATGCGGCGCCTCAACGATATGATCATGTCAAGGACATTGTTTGTTTCCGTCTGCCTGGGCGCTCAGCTCCAGTCCCCTCGGGCAGTAGTGTAGTTACACGTAGTTGGCGGGACACCAGCTAAGAATATTCCTACTCGCAGCAGGCAATGTGTGAACTCGATGAATCATATGGCAAAATGCACCATGGGCTATAGGACCCGTATTCGAATTTCAGGCTGACTAGGGTGTGGGATTGAAGTATGGCAGGCAATAAAGACAGGAAAGTGAGCAACACTCACCACTGTGTTTTCTCGATCCTAGTCAGCAGAATGTGGGCACGTAGCCTAAATATGACAGCTTTTTGCTTAAAAATGCTTGATGGTCAACTAGCTGGGATTAGACTCACATTTCTTTTTCATTGATTAGTTGTCACGATACGGTCGGCTAGGTCGGAAATTCAGAGTAAGGAGTGATTGTGCTTCATTCTGCAGCCAGGATAAATTGGTAGTAGTAACCTGGAGTCCTTTGAGCGTTCCATCTACTACAGTGTTTTGAGTATTCGTCATGTTTGGAAGTAAATAAAACGCCTCGAATCTAAATGAAGTTATAATAGCAAGTAATCCTTAAATGCACTATTTCTAGTCATACAGAGGCAGTGCATTTTAATGTAACCTGCCAGACGTTTTGCATCACGGAAAGATAACCCTTCACTTTGGCTTCTAGAATTCATTTTCCAGCTTGTATTATCTTAGGCGACCTCACGAAGACTGCCCGTCAAGCCATGGAAGCGCCACTTCCACTTGGATTATAATATTGCGGATCGCAGCTGGCGAGACGTGGGCTCGGTAACCCAGTCTATGATCGTTTGACATAAGTGCCGCGATGACCAGCTGGATCTAAGTTCCTGTCTGGGGTTCCCCAGTACCGGTGCTTGTTTATGACAGCAAACAAATCATAAATGGCCATTCCGGTCACCCGTGTCTTTGCCAGTTTGCGTTCTGTGTTGGGAGGAATGTGCGTTTTTTAGCCTTGTACGCGCATGTTCACTCGTCTGTTGAAGTTGCGAATCCCAAACCATGCATTATAGTTCACGCGACCTCATATCGCGGTGCGCTCGGCATTGAGCTCTTCTTAGCAGTACGTCGCTACTGAGATCTAAGACTGAACAAGAGACACAGAGTGAAAAGTAGCCATTTGTCCGCGACTTTATCACAGTCCTTTGTTTTTAATTCACTCGATTCTCATTTTGAGACTGGAAAAGCCGTCATTCCCCGAACGCTCCTATTCTTTAACGAAGTAATACATCAGTTATGTGATTCGGATCGTTGGGGACACATTTGAGTCATTATTGGTATATGGGGATCCACTGTCATTCCAAACCCCATGCATGATGTCGTCACCTAACTGCTTGCTATAGCCAACTGCTGGCCACCTAATCGGTGAAATGTCACGAGATTCGCACAATCCGCCCATCCACGCATCCCGGAAACCTTAACTGCATTAAAGAAGCGACCGTTCTTTTCAAGAAGTCATAGTTTGATTTATGAACTATTAACTAGCTAATAAGTATTTTTCGCCAAGACTGGGGATTCTTAAAAAAGGAGTTTAATACAGGTCACTTATTTAAGGCTTAGTATAACGCACGATAGGGAGCGTAAATGCAATAGTGGGAAGAATAATTGAAAATACTAACAAATGCGAAGTACTCGGCGTATTCGGTTGTTCTTTTGCATGGAATACACTTTTAAGCCTGACTGACATAAAAACTACCAAGTTGTCTGTGGCGGAGTCGTCTACGCAGTTATTAGGTGCAAAATTTAGTTCTCACTGCATTAAAAAACCTTTTCTTGCGTTTTAATTTCCTTTGAGTAACGGAACTGATGTGCGGCAGATTAGCAGGAATAAAAGTGCCTCATAGGCCTCAAGTTGAGACGATGGCCGTGGCTCATAAATTATATTATGACCGTTAGCTTTATCAGAACCATACCTTCTTCGAGTGGTGGACTGGGTTAGTGTCTCGCAATATACTGGAGTTTATTCACGCTCGCTGAACGCCATGGTAACGGAAGGCATCTTTGGCGATATCGGTAAGAACCTTGTTGTTTATTGCTTCCGTTTTCGGTCGCCAGATTGGCCGCTGTCTGAGTTTAGTGGCCATCCTAATCACCAGTCGTCGGCACTTCTTAGGAGTTGCGATGGGCACAGAGTATTCTTGTCGGAAGTTTTTCCCACACCTTACCACCTGGGATAGTTCCGTGGCCTGTCTAAACATAAAACTGCATCACAAAATAAACGCACTTCAAGAAGGAAAGTTTGTGACCAATATACTCTTTGGCTGATGGCCAAATTTCCCCGTCTTTTTCATAGTTACATTCGGAGGGAAGAGGGCTGAATGCGTCCTGAATAGTCTTAATTCGCACATAATGGTATTTCTGGGTGTAACGACAAATACACTCGTCTTTCTTGTAGACTTTTTTTGGTGCACCTTACTTGTTTCTAGAACCTGTTCCATCGTTGAAGATTCGCCACAGATTGACCTGACTAACATCAAACAAACTTGCTAACGTCTCATGCGACAGCCGTCCGGCTGCTTATTTCCGTTTACGTTCCACATCGATTGTCGACGGAAACTGTGGCCTGAGGTGCGACATAGAAAAACGACGGCATATCGCGGGTGCCCCTTTTGTACTTATTTATGTCCTTTGATACGCAGTGCGGTAGAGAATAATTATCGTCAATAAGTTTATTGCCGCGTCTTACGGCAACACGCCGTCATTTGGCAAGTCCACATTTTTACAGGTCAATCCATCTCTAGTATCTGAAAAATAATGCGATTTCTCATACTTGACCTCGCCTGATTTGGATGGAGGCAGAATCCGATTTTACGGGTCTTGTTCGGACTTGGCGGGAACTTTTCTTACTTATATTAGTGTTCGTTTACAGCAAAATGCGCACAGACAGACGGTCTTAGTTTGTAGTACTCCGCAGCACAAGAAATTACTTATATATCAGGAAACGTTCAATCCTTCCCACAATGCGTTGTTTTTTATTCATAAAGAACCTTGAATTGAATCCGTAAACAAAATACTACTAAGACTCCTTGTGGTGGCTGTCTGTCTAAGTGTTTTATTTCTTATGCATTATTTGGTCTTTATTTTTCTAAGTCTGTCGCAAATCCTTGCCACAATCCTTTCCACCTCGCCCCTCAAATTCACCGGCATCGCCTCCCTGGAAAGACTACTTAGATCTCAGCTATTGGCAGGCTGTCACGTTTAGTTTCTAGAATGGGTCAACATTTTTGAAACGCCGTCCCATCAGTTGTATGCCACTGACTGGCCGTGCCGTTGTCTTTGTTCGACGTTAGCCTGGGTCGGTCTTTCTAAAGGGCTGCCTCTTTTTTCCCATAATTGCCTGTAATCGCAGACTAAGCGTATTTTTCGTCATTTTTGCAGGGTTCATACGGATGCAGGATCTTCTTTATGCGTTTACTAGTCCTTCGATCATGGATGTAAAATTGGGTCAGCGGACTTTCCTTGAAGAAGAATTTGTTGCTGATCATTCATTTACTTCAAAACCTCGACCGGTAGGTTCTGCTAATAAGATCCTTTTTTAGTGCTGTTATTTGTTTTCGCTGATGCCTTGCTTTGCTAGGGAAAGTGAATCTTGAGTTATTCACCCTTTCCGCCTGCACAGAACTTCGACCTGCCTGTTTGTTGCTATCTAGCCCTGACCACTCTGAGGTCGACCGTTAGCGGGCTCACGTGATCTTTGTTCCCTTTGCGGTCGTCGTAGTCGTATCCAACACGACCTCGTTAGCGGGTGGACCGATGAGTCGTTGCTGCTTGTGCGAGTTGCTTTCGGCCTCGCGGACAGTACCGCGCTGGTCACGTGACCTTCGGCTGGACTATGAACTTGAGGTTTCTTTGAACGCCTTACGTTCACCGATTAGGTTACGGTAAATGCTGGTCCCGTTGTGATTTGGGACCCAATCAAGAGCCTTTGCAGGCAGTCACACAGCGACTATTCTGCCCTTCTTTATTCATTCCTGGCCCCAACCACTATCTGACAACAGAATCGCCGACGGCGTGGAAGACCTTCCTATGGCTCTTCTCAAAGGACTACGAGGAAGCTTAAGAACACACAGAACCTGTGAAGTGCAAAGAAGTCGACATGGTCTCTGGAGCAAGAGCTTTGTTAACCTGACGTCTCGGATTGTCACTCAAATCCACCGTCAGAGACAGAGTCAGATAAGAGTAGTGGGTTGCCCAGGTGTTGCAGTATTTATAGGTTGTACTTACTAAGCCTCTGCATGATTATCGCAATCGGCAGTTCTCGAGTGCATCACGGTCCGACCGGCCAGGTGCTGCTGTATGCAGTTGTCGCGCAGTTGCTATGCGCCTGTGTGCCGGTCAAGGCTATCGGCTCCCACGCCCATCGCACACAGTCGAGTTGCTGACTGCCGAATTTTGTCATCCGTGTGGACTCTTGGGCAATTTGGCTCGCCGAAATTGACACCGGGGATAGTGGTCATCTGCAAGCTCTCCTCGTGGCCAACTACGTTGCCTAGGCAGTCTCAGCACCGAATATGGAGCGGGTAGATCGTTGCGCTTGTTGATGGATTGAGGACCGAAAAACCATGCCCCGAACAGTTCGCGGATCACGCGGTTGTCGCCTTTAACAAGAATTTCTGCTTCGTCAAACTTGAATGCGTGGTTGGGTCCCGTCGAACGAGCCTTGGCCAAAGAGAATCCCGTTAAATATAAAGCTCCTCCTCTGTTTACATACAGAGACCCCTGCAGTCGTCTCCTGACCTGAAATACCTGACGTCCAAAGGTTCTGATATCCAATTATGGCGACCAATGTCAACTTGAAAAAGTAGACAGTTTTCAATATTTCGGAGCAAGGCTGCTGCTCAATTGCCAGAGTAAAGATGACATTGTCTCCCGAATCGATGCTGCCCTACGGGTTTTCTCAAACCTTAGAAAATGCCTATGAATCGGACGCGACCTTACCATCGCCACTAAGATTCGCGTGTACCGTGCATCTGTCCGGTCGGTCCTTCTTTATGGTTGTGAATGCTGGACTGCGTGCGTGGAGAACGAGCGAAAACTGGAGGTATTTGACCACCACTGCTTGAGGACCATCCTTCGAGTGAACTACACCGACTTCGTCTCAAATGGGACAGTCCGCGCTCTCTGCGACAACATCGGAAGGATAATCCAGGCCATCCAAGAAAGGCGACCGAGGTGGTCGGGGCATGTTCTTCGTCGTCCACCTCAGGAGCTCAGTGTTACTGCCCTCGATCCGGCACCGTTGCCCTATTGGAGGCGTCGAAGAGGGGGTCAGTTCAAAACCTGGCTCGACACATTTCGTCAAGACATGGAGGTGGTTTTTGGACCTTCAATATTCGATATCCGTCGTTGGCGGAGAGAATGGGTCGAACTGCCCAAATCTGCTGCCGCGGATCGTCACGCGTGGAGAGGTGCAGTTGGGGACGTCATCGAGGCTGGCAAGATCAGGCGTGATCGCAGCCCTACCAAGTACAAGTAAGCATCAATGTCGCCACTGCCGTCGCACACGATGAATTCCTGGACTGGCGAATGGCGACGTCCACCTTGTGTGCCACGAAGTGGACACAGGACCCTGAAATGCGTATGAATTAGTTTATAGTGGGGTAAACTTGCGCAGTACTTACCGCCCTCCCTCCTCCGTCATCCTCATTGCTTCAATGACACTAGCGTCAAGGCAACCTGAGGTGCGCCCGAGCGCAATGGCTAACAAAACCAACCAGCTCGTCTACGTGTGTCACGCACGACCTTGTCCTTACAGAGTTATGTAAGGGCAACTTGGATCTCATCAGTGAGAGTGCCATAAAGGTCATATTAAGAGGGGTTCATTGCAGCCTGGCTCAGTCCTGAATTATCAACCAACCATTGATAAGCCTGAGCGCAGTGGATGATATGGCGTGAAGGTGTACATTGAAATGCGCCGTGAGCCAACCTGACCTCGTTTTGATTCAGCGCAGCCGGTTGTGGCAGCAGAACCGCCAACCTGCGCACGCACCCGACGCAGCTAATCCATTACCCGGGTCTACTCGATGGGTTATTCGCACTTACTCGAAACGAAATTCATCAGCGTCTCCCCCACCTGCCATTCTGTGTCGCTTCAGCTCGGGTACTTATTCGTGTAGGAACGGGCACATGGCCCTATCAGTTTCCATGGGTAAACGCAAAACAGATTGGTGGATGTCACGAACAGGCAACTAGTCTCCAGGCCGAACTCAGCCAAGTTATGATAGCCGAGGATGTGGTGTCAGACATCAAAATCTTTTCCTTTTGCTCCCAAATTGTGGTCAGGGCTGTGCTTGGCTGTTTAAAGACGGAATAAACCCGGAACGAGTTCCGTGAAAATTCTAGATGACAAAAACGTCCAGCAGCCTGAAGTCGGTAAGAGATTGAGAGATCGTATCCATGGGGCAATTAGTGAAGAACTAAACTACCAGGTGCTGTCGCGAGCTTTATCTTGCCTATTTTAGAAATCGTCCCTCATAGTTAGGACGAGGATTATCCCAAGTCAGGGCGTCAAGGCTTTGAGGGTAGTCTGCTTTTTGGTAAGCTAACGGGACCGGCTGCTGTCTGCTGATTCAGTCAGCCGTTTTAGAATGCATACCACGGGTCAATCTCAGGGTCACACATATCGATAAGCTGTGAGATCGCGCGACTATAGGCTTACATTCTGATCACGCAAGTGTGGACTGACAAGGCCGGAGTGAATCCTGCGGGGCTGAGCGCTTGGCGATAGCAGGATTAGATCAATAGCGACAGGCCTTCGTCATGAGATGCCACCGACTATCTAGTGAGCACGTTGTTGCGGCCTTGGCGTCGACCGATAGTTTGGTGTAAAGAAGTTAGTGTAAGAATTAATATTTCAAAACATAGTTTTTCCTTGGCAGTTGGGAAGGAAGGAAGTGTTAAGTGCCTCAGAATTTTTTTCTTCATCATGCTTTTGAGATGTCAGATACAAGGGATAGTTAAGACAGAAGGACCTTTGACCGCCACACTAAAACATACTAAGTACCTCTACGGACTGCTAATAATCACTAAATAAACTGTGGCAAGTCTCACCAGGCAATTAACGAATCATGAATACGATTGTTTGAACAGGGTCTTTTGATAAATTGCTGCGTTTAATAATTTCATGTACAGTCTGTCCAGAATTACAAGGGCTCTTGTTTTGACAATTTGTGGAAAAGCGACCACGTGGCGCCTAGCGTAATTATTCACTTAGTTACGGATAGTTTTTTGCAGGTTTTTGTGCTGCTGACCCCACGTGAGGCATTAATCAGTTTTTATGTGTTTTGGACATTTGGCACTAACCGTCCGGCTGCTTTTGAAAAATATCTTGATTTTCTAACACCGGATTAGCCCAGACTGTGATTAATTGACTGCCCTAAATCCCCACACCAACCCTTTGCTTCTATTGAGTCCTGGTGCGAATACATCCTTCCAGTGTAGGAGTTTGACCACTTGCTCGAAGAATATTATCTTTATTTCAGGCGTAGACGTTTGAAAACCACATTCGATACTACATGTATCACGACCATCTACGACTCCCTGCCTTTAATTTTAATTTAGTGTTTTAATAACTTACTAGTAGGACATAGATCTGTCTGTCAAAACAAGCCACCATAGGGTTCCTCGGTTGGTTTCATCATTTCAGCCCAGATTATTTACGTTGACAGTTCTTCCGGCCATCCCGTCCGTCGGCTGTTGATTTAACTGCGACCAGCGACCCCTCTACTTCCTGTGCTGGTTTCATTTCCAGCCTCCTTAATTTTACTCCGTAAGGCGCCTGACATTTGGATCCATTCTATTTGGATCGATAGATAACCTTTCAGACGTAAGCGTACAGGGATCCGCACATTCCCAGTGTCGTTGTCGGTTTACTCGTTACCTACCGATGGGCTACTATGCACTTGACCATGGGACCTTGCGCTGAATTGATCCGACCGGTCACAAGTCAGCGTTGGGACGCCTGGCCTATAAAACCCTGCAGGCGTGATCATTAAATGCGTTTCTTCGAAAATGTCGCTTTGCATGCTCAACAAATTTTAATTTGGCATCATGGGCATGTGACCGAGGCATAGTTGTTTAAGAAGTAGCATTTCCGGGGTTAGCGAATCCAGCTTACTAGTAATGGTCCTAGGGCGCTTTCTTCTCTTAGATCTCTCTGGGCTCTCGCCTTGGTGTGGGTTTGAGAACAGGGCCGCGTCTTCGTTCGAGTCCGTTTTTTTCATCTGAGAACCCTCATTTTTAGCAGCATCCGGAATTCATTCATTTTTCAGCAATGGATTAAACATGAAAGGCAAAATATCGGCTTACGGCGTCGTTGATTAGGACATGCTTTTAAACTTTTATTTTCCGTTTACACTTATTTTAAATCTATTATTGCGGGCTCTCTTATGCGAATCTGACCTGCAGATGTTTGCTCATATGTTATCCTCAAAGATATGTCCTCCATCGTTTTAGGACATGTACGAAAAAATGATTGAAGTTGATCCGAACGAACCAACGGCTGACGAGCACGCACAGCGAGCAGTAACCAAACTTCACTACATGCAGTGGAGAGAAGCCCTCAGTTCCTCTTCCACCCTCGGATTCAGAATAGAGGGTATAAAGGTTAGACGCCCGGAGAAAGCACTGCACTTTGAGACATACTTTCGTTCTCTCCAATATTTCTTGCAGACGTTTGAGTGCCTCAAAACAGAGGTGGAAATTAGTCTCTAGAATGTAATTAGGTGTCCATCTTGTGCTCTGCTAGCGGCAACACCGGTTGCCTTAATTGGATATCACAATCTCTCAGCGACCTGTGCTTCAAGTTAGATGACGACTGTAGGTTCTCTGCCTCCGAGTAGAGGATCCACCTTTCCATTACAAAAGACTTTAACACTGACTGACCCTTGTAGCAGACTTGCTGTCACATATTACACTAGCGGAGAAAATTCTGCAGCAAAAATCATTTGCGAAAAATGACCCACGTGTAATTTTGAAAACCTTCCTGTCAGAGGTGAAGTAGAAGCCGTATATTCTAGTGAGTCATAAGTATGCCTTGAGACATTCGGCCAGTATCCTAATAACTTTTCTTGGTTTTTCTCCCGGTCTGCGGCCTTCTTTTTAGGAATAGGTTTGAGCTTGACTATATGTCCAAGAGAACCTAAGGTTACGTAACTTGCGCCCTTTAGTGTTCACCCTTTTTTTTCAAATATTGTGCATCTTTACTAAGCATAATGAAGATCCACCACTTCTGTCTTTTCACATTCGGCCGACGTCGCCTACTGTCATACCCGAGTTGCCTAATTGTCGGGTGCAAATACAGCCCGATCATCGTTGCCGACGATGCCCACCGTGTGCTTCGCAGCAAGGTGAGAGTAGGCACGGCAACTTGTGCGTAGATTAGTTTACATTGGTAGTGCACTTACGTAGTATTCACCGCACTCTCTCCTCCCCCACCTGGGCGCGGTGTAAAGACAGTTAAAAAACCGAAGGCGGAGAAGGCGCAGGTGGCTGGCACGGCTGGACCCGCACCTGGACCTGCCACCACACTCCGGTCCACAACCAACACTTGACCAGGCTTTTAATAAGCATCAAAAACTTATCAGAAAGAGAGGGATGGCAGAAGCCACTGGGCGACCATGCACACGACCTGAGGGCAAATGGAGGATTGTTGCTTGTGCGCTTTTTCAGCTGTCTATCTTTCGGTAGGAGCTCTGCCCTAATAATGGTATAAATTAACGTCATCACGTGGCAACCTGTTAATTTACGCCATTTGCCATTTGTTCACCCACATGAATCAAGTGATTCTCAGGGTTACTGCAACGGATCGTAGTCAGGGCTGACGGACAACTTTTTGTAACCTCCAACTCTACGCCATTGGACGGTGTTAAGCAGTCGTTGGGGTCGCTAAGAGAACCCTAAAGCACGATTGTCAAAGGTGTTTAATTCGAATAGATCGTATTACGAAGGCTCTTCCTTGCCGCCTCCATTTACTTACGTGCATTTTTGCTAATCAGGTATTGTGTGTTGTCTCGTACAGAACGGGAATCAACTCGCCCGTTTCCTTTTGAGAATCGAGTTTGAATATTCATTACTCTGCCGGGCAACCTGTGTCACCTCTTGTGTACTGCTAGACTGTGCCCCTAAAACGGGTCACACGATGGATGCGCTTGATGGCGGAATACATATGATCGCTATCGTTACGTCAGTTTATATGCTCAACCGGTTTTATCAGATTCCCCCCAACTTCATTCTGTTCTTATTCTTTAGTCGTGGCGACAGTTGTAAACTGCCAAAACTACATATGTTCGGGTCTTACTCGACGGTTGGTGCTGACAACTGCAATTTTAATGTTCTGGATATTCGGATCATTTTACCAGTGAATTCAACTTCTCCTTGATGCCTTTGCTTAGGGACTAAAGAATATTCTTTGCAGTAATAGTGGGGTGCTCACTGATTGCAGAAACTGCGGTTGGGTATGACCGACCAACGACATCTAATAAGCCAGAATTGGCCACTCCAATCTCACTTGTCTTTGTCAGTAATGTTATTCTACCAGTATTCTTGGCCTGCGGCCCACTATAGTTGACTACGTGCGCCTCAACTGGGGCTGCTGGCTATGCTCCTATGCCAGTGCGGTTGAATAGGCATAGACGGTAGCTCGTGGCATTGAGGAGGTCTTTGAGGTGGTCCACATCCACCCTTGTAGCTTGTGTCTCAATAACGTGTAGTGTGAGCTGTGCACGAGTTTCTATCCTCTGTTGACGCCATGCATCACGCGGCAAACTAACAGGAAGATGGTTGGGGGAGCATAGAGCGGCATGTGGTCGACTTGATACTTTGTATACCTACCACTTGAGGACCATTTCATCAAGTGTCTCATTGGATTTTGAAAGCAGGCGGTTGAGACCTCCAAGTGATTCGGCGAAAATGATAAGGCTCTTGATGCGTCACGGGCCGTCCAGGCTCATCGGGGTTACCGTCGCGGAATTTCTATCATCGTATTTTAGTCCTTTAGCGTACTTGATGAGGATGAGCACTGTCGCCCAAGTTTGTGGTACCGCGAGTTCGAGTTTTGACCACCCATATTCTGAGATTAGAGGGTCCTGTGCACAGCTCGCATTATGTACACACACTATCGGCTTGCACCAGTCAAACCAACTAGAGGCGTGATCGGGAGCAGTGACTGACGTGACCTCAAGTCTTCACCAGCGTAAGTTGGTCCCTACGTGCACTCTCAAGATGGCGCAACTGTGACTTACATGGTTGCACGAAATGGAATCAATTGTGCTCATCGTCTCGGTCCGGATAAGGTACCGGTGTGTGGAAGATAAAATAGTTAAGCCCCTCCAGTTTCATTATAAACAACCCAACGCGTTCCGAAACTAGTAACGGTGACTTCGATGTTAACGAGCTGACGGGCTATAATGGCTGTTTAATGTGACTTATGACACTCATTTTCATGAAATGTAAGACCCCGCTCTCCTCCCCGCCTGGATTAAACCTGTTCAATGTGGAGTTAACCACCGGCCCATGTGGCACGCATAGGCGGACTGTTTAGCGTTATCAACCTCCGATGATTCCGATTTTGTTGTCAGAGCATGGTTTGTGTGGGGAAAGGATGTGGAATCGATGCGTCGAAAGTCCGCAGCACGTGCAAGTAGCGACTGCACCCGCCTCATAGGACAGTGATAAGCCCCTCGTTTGCGATTTTCAGGAATGCAGTCCCGTGATGACCATCACGTCCGTCTAATTGAGCCGGTATTCAGGAATGGCAGGTAGGCAGCAGTACAGTAAGTGGCTTATATCATGAGATCTTGACGTCAAGTGTGAAATGAACTTTCTATTAGAAGGACTTACTCATGCGAGAGTGTAATATGGATTGTCATGTCGCATATACACATTATTTCTATTATGCCAGATTGTCGGCTTTTGAGCACTCTTCTTCCTAACTACCTGCAGCAGCCACATTCGTTAAAACACGACCACTCATTTCATCAATTTTCGATGTCCATGTAAATTCGAACATACATCAGGTTTCCAGAAAATATGCGTTTTATATTCATTTGGCAACAGATAACAGTTTTTTAATTTAGCACCCAGAGAAAGGGTAGCTTTCGGCTTTAAAACAGTTTTTTTTCAGTTCTCAAAGAATTTCGAACATGCATCTAGGGTTTCCAAACTTTCTATCCCACAAAAGTCATGCAGTGGCTGGCCTATCTTATGAAATGTTAACCTGAATTCTCAGATGTGTTTTTGGTTAAGAAGGCTTACATAGGCGGAGTTTCAATACTGATTATCGTACAGTGTAATCCTAAGACATTTCGGTCACGTCGGGGTGCTGGCTCTAACTGAGCCTCCTTCCGGTAGCCTACAAAAACTCCACTAAGTAGAAAATAACTAATTCTCATGTAATTTTCCCACTCAGTCCGATGCCTCCATAAATTCGAATATATTTTAAAAAGCCGACCTTTTATAGTGATCAAAATACCTTAGGATTATGCCACACGGTAGTCGATATTGCAACGCCACATAAGTAATCCATTCTAACCGAAAGCACTTTTTTGAATTTTAGTAAATATTTCGTGGGATGGACCAGCTACTGCATATTAATATATGCTACTAAGAAGATACTGTTTAAGGCCTGTAAAATTTCGCCATAGATATGACCCATGTTGTTTACTTTATAAGGGGCATTAATAAATGGATATGATGCTAGTTGACTGAACGCTTAATTATCTCAAAAATCTCATAATTGTTAACCTTTTAGACCCTAAAGGTACCCTTTCAAGCATTAAATTTAATGAATACGCAAGTTACTACAAAATGATCATAGAAAGAATATTTTTAGTACGAATCGGTGGAAAAAGGACATCACTTCAGTAGTCACCTTTTGCTAGACGTGGCTGTTGAGAGCGGCTGAGAAGAAGCGCAGTCAATAACTGGCATTTTGGAGTGAGAACTAACTTACTTTATGCGGCACGATAATCAATACTGTACCTAAGTAGTCATTTTTGATCCAAAAAAATTTCAGAATTTCGGTCGATATTTCATGAGGTACGCCATTTACTGTGAATGCTCTTAGGGCATTCCCGCCTGATACTCTACACGTTATGGACTGACAAAAAAATCACCTACACCAAACAGTCAGGTTCGGTGCCGTAAGTCCAAGAAAGATCTCTGCATACCCGTGCACACTTCGCCGTCTAATCTTATAAGCAGACCGACCAGCGTACCTATTATTCAACCCACCGGTGAACACCCGGGTTACTGGGTTGCGACGAACGTCGTAACATCTGTCGGTAAGGGATCATAAACGTTGGCTGTTGTCGCATAGGCCTTGGGGTTCAGTACAAAGTGCGTTGATCACAATTGAACGTGGCCGTTTGCCGAGTGCCAGGATGGTGTCATGAGTGGGCTGAGATTTTGAAGGGAAGGGCAGTTTAATTTACTTCAGTCTTTGTCGACCCTTCTGTCAGTACTGCCGATTATGTGGGGCTGCTTATTCGCCAAGTCCCGGAAATTTTCCGTCTCACTGCCACTGCTTACCGAGAACTCTTCCGTTCTTCTATAGCTATGAATGCGCAGGGTAGTTAGTATCGAAGACAGCAGGCCGGACCCTTCTTTCCGGTCCCCCTTTGGTTGAGTACGTTTCCAGCATCGCGTGCTCGTTGTTATGTTGGTATCCCTAAATTGAGCCAGTGACACTCGCAACGGGCAAGCAGTCAGAGCGACCTCCCCACTCCCTGCAGTTTTATTTTTTTGTTGGCCTTCCATGCTTTCTCACTTTGCTTGCCTTGTTAAATTAACATAGGGCATGCCACCTCGCACAGTGAGTTAATCTTCTTGTACTTAATTTCTGACACAGAAATAACCGGCCTGCCGTTTTTGCTTTGCGCTGTTTAACCCTGTATTTCTAATCGTCCTTGACCTTCTGACTAGCCCCTTATGAATCGGGTCACAATAATGTCCAATCTCCCCGCCCTGCAAATCATTGTCCCTAACAAACCTGACACGTGCTCTTTCTACTAACCAGAAAAACCTAAATTGGCTCAAACTATTGCGGCTGGGTTATTCGCACGGTCAAAATGTCTGTCCCTAGACGGAATCGGACTGGTGTCCTCCTGAGGACTTCCGTCTGAGTTGTTTTCTGTGGTACCACCAAATGCGCGTGTATTAAATTCCGTCTGTTATCGACTCCACCCTGTCTGACGACACGTTTTTAGTCCTACGAGTCTTACATTAATCGTATTCTGATGTGTGTTGTCAAATAAAAAAAAAATACTTGCGTATGGCCGAAACATCGTCAAGGATGTTACGTAGTCGCAGTTCTTAATTGATCTCACCACGGTAGCTCTCGGCCTCACCTATGGCAATTTCACTCGGAAAGACCGACCATTTCATTTAAATATATTATTTTCGTTCAGTCAAATTAGCCTTCCTAGAAGGGGTAGTAAAAAGCTCCTTCCCTGTCCTCGTGTAAACTGCACTTCCTTTAGATACACTCGTTGGCTTATTTTACTTGAAAATGTCCACCATTGGCATGATTTTCGAATGGCAGTGCTTTGTGTTTTCCTAGGATTTTCATCTTGCCTGAGAGTTCTGAGATCGCCTTCATTGCAACGACCTCAGCCTTGTCATGTGCTTGCCTAGTAGCGGTTTAAATTAAGTTTCATTTAGTTCTGAACCCTGCTGTCGCCCTGATCTTCATCTTACTGTCCGAAAGTTGATGTGTCTTGGCCAAACGTCTTATTCTAAGTGGTTTTAATTAACCCCCTGATATATGACTGCACGCATGTTCTAAGAATGGTGGACCTTGCCACGCCGAAATATTCCGTCTTTGGCCACATTACTTACCGCTAAATTAGGCTACGGGTAACATCATACAGTTATCTCGCTAGATTTTATAATATCCAACTAAAATATCTACGTGTATATTGCGATTAGAACTGTGTCGACCTGTTTCCAGAGCTTCTAAATAATTTCTGAAGAAGTTGTCGGTTGACAACGTAGTATATTGTTTTCTGTTAAAATAGTGGAAAATGAACCGTTTCTTACTTCCTTACTGAAAAGTATAATTAGTAAGGTTTCCCGATATGATAGTCGTTGGTTGGTTGTAGAAACTCGACACCAGGTTAAGAACAGTGGATGATCCGATAGAAGAATTGCTGAAATCCTGGATGTTCTGCCGATTGTTCACTGTCGAAGCATCCATGATTGCCCGTGGTCGATGTCGTTACATTTGCTGTGACCACCCTATCTTGGCGTAGGATCTTGTTGGAGCTCGATAGCGTCTGAGAACTGTGCCTCCCCCCCCGTTGTCAGTTGCTCTATCTTCGAACAGCCTCAACCGAGGATAGCCATTCCTCGAAAGTCGAAAATGTGTCCACTTTCTGCTATCTTCTCTGCAACTTGTGCTTCAGCCTCCATACTCCTTCAGGCGCGTCAGCTGAAGGAGCTTAACTGCATTTCAGATCGAGGTAAATGTATTAGGGTCGCATAGATGAACCGCACTTGGCAGCATACGTATGCGTTTTCAGCTCCGTTTCAAGACTTGGCGCATACTGTAGATTCTCTGAAAGGCCAACATTCCCTATGCAAAAGTGCATTTTCTGTGGCCCTCACTGAAGCGGAAGGCACACTTTCTATGTGCATTGTGTTTTGGGACAACAAACGAGGCAGTTGGGTTAATTATAGCTAAAATCGGATCATTCTGTTCCGAAAATCTATGAATCCAGCAGTCGAGTGCAGAATGTTTGTGAGTGACCTATCACCTCTATTTCGCCACCACGCCTACTTTAGATCACTCTTCTACTAAGGTGTTTGTTAAATGTGCGACTGGGACACTCCTATAGCAATCGAATACTACTTTTTCTTTCTCGCACATCCAGGGTTTTTTCAGTCTTTCGAAACTGTGCCTCAGTTTGTGACCTGTTTAAGATAGTGCTAATCAGTTGAGCACATGTGAATTTAGTGTAGACGTCCTTATCATGAGTTCACAATACGCCATCTGGGTACGATTTGAAGAAACCTATCATTTTCTTACATGTAGAGGCCCGTACAGAAAACAGTAGTATTTTTATTCAGGTGACAAGATCCAACTTTAAGTGGACTTTATTTCTGGGCATGGGCTGCTCAAATGTGTTGACTCCTGAAAAAATATGGTCTGAGAACTTTTACGACTTGGTCCGATCTGAATAAATCACCTTTCGATTCCGTATAGTAAATAGACTTCATGTCGTGCGGAGTCAATGTTCAGTTATTAATATATTGGCCTGTCTACCAGACAAATTTTCAATTTACCAACGCGTTGCTCTTGTCCCGTCGTTCTGGTTAATGACTACTTGTGGTTTTGATACTGCCTTCTGTGCCTTCGAATCACCCACCTCCGCACCATCTCAATGAAACCAGGAACGTCACTGCAAACCCACACGGGATTTCAAACGCCTGAAGTTGCGTTCGGACATCAAAGCTTGCTTGAGCAACTTCACCGAGGGTTGCTTGTCTCTTCAGGTATGTCCGCCTTACCCTACGTGCTTTATCACCTAGGTAATCCCCTTCTGTGGGATCCCAGCCCCCCTCACTCCTTTTGTTGCATAAAATCCAGATCAGTGTGTGTGTTGTGGACCAGAAGGTGTGTTCGCACGCCAAGGTGCGGGTTTGCGCCTTGCCAGTTACCTGGGTCCTCTCCTGCCACTGATCTTCTTGGCTGTCTTGACACCGGGTTCGGGTGGGGGAGGTGGAGGGTGCGGTGGATGCTACGAAAGTCGACTGCCACTTTAAACTATTTCGAGCGCAAGGCACCGTTCTTGCCCCCACCCTGCTGTGGAGCACACGCTGGACATAGTTGGCAACGACGGTCGAATTGTCACATTTTTTACGCTCCTGCTAAGGCATCGAATGTCGCGTCAGTTGGCGGTCCTCAAAACACGCCGCTAACCCTCTTGCATTCACCATTATGGTCCTACCCCTAGAGTTTGTCAGTCTCCTTTTGCCCGCTGGCCCGATAAAACAGAACTGACTGCGGTCGGCCCGCTTTTACTTCTTGGATCCATTCCATAACACTCGCTGGCGATCGCATAACAACGAGCCCTCGGTATTACTGGGTCATCTGAATGCTACCTGGCATTTTACTGCCATCAGCTGGAAACAACCTCTTTGAGGTTTTCCTACTTATTATTGGCTGACTGTTCATTTTGTGCACTCAGGCAATCAATTGCATCGTCTACTTTCTCCTCCACCACCCAAGGTGCACGTGATCTTCGCTGTTGTCCTCACCTATGTGAGAGGCCTAACGGTGCTTTTATTTTTCCTCGCCTGCGATCACAGCACAAGTAATCTTCCTTGTGCGCGATCTTGTCTCGGCGGTTTTTTTTACCCTCCCAAAAGCCCCATAATCCATTCCAGGCAGAAGACGGCTGAATAAAATGTCTACTTCTACTGTTGGAACTCATTAGAAACAAGATGCAGCCATGAGAATCACACGTTTGTAAAGCGGTCGCTAGTATTTATCAAATATTTTTGGGCAGATTCTTCGGTCTGTTCCAAGTCGTGACCTTTTGAACTGGGGTAACATTGTTTTTGCAAGCAGAACTTTTTTCAGATTCCTAAAAGTGCACCTTTTCTGCTGATCGGCTGTTGTCGGTTTCACTCGGTCCCGAATCTGACCTAAGTAATCGTCGGTCGGTAGTGGCGCAATCCAGATGAGTGCAGCGCAATCGTGTAGGCGCAACTTCACTGTAAAACAAACTAGAGAAAGCGTGAAGACGCAGAAACGCCCTTCATTCGGGTCGTTACCACTGTTTATATCACCTTACTTGACATCGTGCGTGTTCACTTTTTGTGAGGCAGTTACTTCCGTTTTAGTTCTAAATTAAGGGTTTGTTATGCCATTCCCCTCTCACTACCTGGCAGCATGTCTTTTTTCACTCTCACACGCTTAGTCGCGACGCTATTGGAGCCTGCTTGTCCTTTCATCGTGTTCCTTCGTGTTGCTTCTTATTCTCTAGCTGCCTTATATTCAAGCTGTCTAGTTTTAAAACATTTGCACTACACGGTTGGGTTTGTCTCTGAAAATGTAAAAATGGGCTGAACGCTGTCAATATCTGCTTAGTCGTCGGGCCCTACGAACTACACCGATTGCCCGTCAAACTCTAAACGGGGCATTTTGGTGAATTACACTCGCGAGTCCCGCCTGGGTAGCCATAGGCAGGCTAACAGGCGAGGTCGGCTGCGGTGGTCCGTTCTCTTTGCATAACGTATCTTCCAGTCCTCTCATCTCTCAGCCAAACGGACTGCGCGGTCAAGGCCACTGGGCCGTAAGGAAAGCAAACCTCACTTCATTCGGATGCTGGAGGCATTTCACAGTCCTTGCCTTCCTCATAGCAACTCAAATATTTCTTTCTTTCGAAGCCATATAGATTGAAGTTGTTGTTATTCCACGCAGTTTGAAGAAAGGCCAACAATGCGCTCTGGGCGCAAGCGTCCGCAGTGTACTGACGTCCTACTCTATCCGGAGAACTGTTCAACAGGATGTTTTTTATTGCTAATGCTGGTGTGAACACCCTCGTTTCATATTGTCAGGAGGGCAGATCATGTTTGAGGGTGGTGACCATACATATCTTCGAACTGCGTACCTACTGGCCTCTCGAGTTTACTCAATCCCCGTCTGTTCGCTTTGTTTGAAATGCCAAGTCGGAACATCTACATTTTTTGATTGCTCAGGATACTGTCAATAGGATTAAAAATCGCCTCCTCCATCTTTAGTCGCTGCGTCTTCACATAGTTGTGGTGGATGCACCCAACCGATCGGAGTGCTTAGGGGAGCTGTTTATTGCCTGCACCTGCCCCAGATATGTTTTCTCTTGTTGCTGCCAGTCGATAAACCTAGCATCTACCCACCACGTCCTGATCATTCAAGAGACCTTCAAGAGCGGGTTTGTTGGTTTGTCAGCAAAGTAGAGCAAATAAACTAATTTCGTCAGTTTATCTTCAACCGCGCCCTTGTTGTGGCCTTGGTTCCTGTCTTTGTCGGAAGCATCATCATCAACCAGCCTTACTTTCCTTTTACTAGACTCTCGGTATTTCATTTGCAAGGGAGTAGTATCTTGCACTCGTCAGTCTAGCTCATCCAACGGCATTAAGTAGCCAGTTGAGCTTCCAGTTTTGGTGTGGGTAGTGCCTTGCAGACTGCCTTTTTCCCATGTGACCGCCTCTTTTCCTTATTTTAGACAAAATATCTGCGTAGGCTGCGCTCTCTCCTCAAGTCGCTTGACTCTTCAAGCTTCTTCAGGCGGCACGAGGTATGATTTAACCACATCTCCTTCATTTCCTCGCTACGCTTAGACGGTTTTTGTGACCACCGCACGTTGTTATTGCCGTCTATGGTTTTGTCAGCACCATTCATCCTTTTTTGGAAGGTCCTTTTACGCCTAGACATTTTTGTTTCTTTACTTATTGTGCGTAGTTGTGGAGTTGTTCGCACCGAACACTCCCTCGGAGTTTTGACTAATCATCCTTTGAATTAGCCACCTGTCGATAGAAACAAGGAGGCGAGTTACAAAAAGCGACTCAGAAGAAAAGGGTTTGATCGCCAGTTTAGTGGCCGGACTTTTCGGATCCTTGCACGAACATATCATCGGAGAAGGTCGCGATTTGGGTAATGGGGACACAAGGAACGCAACATTTATGAGACACAGTTACCATGCCTACCAAGATTAGCAGCTCCCGCTTTCATCGTTGGGGCTCGTATTTGATGCGATGCTCGTTTGCGAGTCCGCATCCGGTCGTTTATTACCGGAACTTCATCAGCGTTGTTGTTTCTTGGTTTAATAGTGACTTAGCAATTTGGCCCCCTGTCAGTGTAGCTGTTAGTGGCTAACTACTCTACCCAGGCAAAATCTGAGCACAGAATGTTAGGGCGGGAGGTCATTTCGCCTCTTAATCGACTGCGGGCCGTGGAATACTGACCCAAGCAGTTTACGGCTCACGTTGTTCTCATCTCATGTGAGAGGTTTGACCTCATCACACTTGAAGGTGTTACCGAATGCTGTCAAATCAGCCGCGACCGGAGAACTGACATCATTTCTCACTGCCGCATGTTCGGAATTTTCTCCCGGAGTAATCTCCTAATTTCTTTAACGTAGTTGTTTTGTTCGCAAATGCACCAGATCCGATAAACGGTTCCAGAAGTTTCCTGCCGTGGCAGCGGGTCCATGGGCTTCATGACCTAGCACCACGTGATTGCCTTCGATCTGCGTGCAACTCCAACTGCATGTGGTGTGACCATTCGCGTCCGGAGTAGTTTTGCGGTTTCTCCGACGTATTTGCATTGTCCACAACTTCACCGGATCCGTGTAGGACTCTAGACGTTTCTTGTCGTTGCATTGGGCCTTTCAGTCTCATTACTGCGTGCCGGATACTTGCCTCTGGTCTGTTTGTGTCATGCATACTGCAATTATTGTTCCTCCGTAAAACGTATCAGCGACTGTTTTTGACGATGCGTTAGCAAGTTGGTCCGCATCTTCAGGTCAAAAAACCTTTTCTCCCAACTATCTTTACTCCCTTTATCGGTGATCCCCACAGAAGTAATCTGTCACCGGCGTGAATATATCCTGCCAGTCTGTTGTGTATGCACTGAAGTCGGGACCGTCCGTCAATGAAAAATCGGTTCGAAACCCGCATGCCACATTTCACAATTGACGATTACGGGTGCGCAGGGTCATCAACGTGACGTCCCCATTTTGAACGATCAGACGGGCGTGACTAATCTTTCGAAAATTTTCCACTAAGCCTACATTAGCTATCCCCACACCGTATTGCATAACCACCCCCTTCAGCAATCGTAACGTATGCCGTAGCATATGGCTCTCCAGAGTGGGATAGTCAGTTTTATGCGTTGACAGCTAAAGAGAGTGATCGTTCAATTTCGCCGCCTACTTGGCGCATTTTACTCTCGACTGGTTTCACGACACCGTGCTTGAAACAATAACCTTAATTCTGCTAACCTCCTCGACTGGCGGGTGAAACTAGAAGCAACCGCCGTCTCTCTCCAACCCCGTGAATTTGTATTTGAAACCATATTTACTTTTGAGGGAAAGCATCAGTCACGTTTGGTGTGCTTGGTGAGACTTTTATGTCTGGTCAGCCAGTCCTGACAACCTTCGTAATTTCACTGACAGTCTCGTCAAGTGAACGCAATGTGCCTGGAGCGAGGGTTGTTTCGACGTTGTACGTTTCTCTCTCTCCCACACCATAGCCAAGTCCCCGCGCAATCCGCCACTGCGCCGGCTGAGCTAATTCACACCGCGCATTGTCTAGACGGCTATTTTTGTTTACCTCTGTTGCCACTTTTTTTCGCATCGTTTGTCCAGGAAGCTTGCCGTTTAAACCCAACTACCTGCGAGCGTCCATTTTCGAACTGTGATAGAAGCGTGTGCAGTTTGGACTCCTGAAGATAGCTGCGGGTTAAACGTACCTCGCATTATCTTGCCGAAACACCAACAGAATAGGGACCGTCCACAGGAAAAAAACAGTGTAGTGGTCATAACTATCGATCGTGTATTTGACAAGCCTGCAAAAAAAGCAATTTTAACCATAGTAATTCGTTTAGACTGATCGTGAAAAACTCGGCGGCCTAGGTGGGATTCGAACCTGTGACAGCAATGGCAAACCTTGCTGACAAAAACACCTATTAATTATAATGTTGTTTAGTAGTGGTAATAATAGTAATAATAACAGCGGGATAAGCAGACTGCGCCCCGTAACAGTATCCGTTCATGGGGGTAGCCGTTCATTGAGCGGCAGTTTATCCGGTATGGAACGTAGGACTGGGGAATCGTGCGAGTCAGGGCCAGGGATTCTGCTGCTGGAGACTGCTACGAGAGAATGGCCGACGTGTTATTATCTTCACTGGGGCAAGAAATCTGGCCAACCCACCTTCGCTTGGGAAACTGCCAGACTAGTTCTAGGTACCAATTAGTTGTTTCGAGGTCAAGGTCACTCGGCCGTCCTGCGGCAAAACACCCTTAAAGCGGGCTTTCTCACTTCTGTCAGGCCCTCGAGGAAATTGGCAAAGTCCAGGTCAGTAAACATCCTTCTGTGCAGATTCGCCACCCCTTGGTCAACTGACCTAGTTTAGTGTGTCTCTTTCCCTATACTCTAGCCCTCCGCCCTTCCATATTCCAGCCGCTGCCCACCTAGGCTCGAGAGTAGGCAAGACGGGATGCCATATAGAATAAGGCGTGCATTTCCCATAAGCGCGTGCCGTCTTCCCATCCGACGAAACTGCGCAGAAACGGAACTAAATTGTTCATCGAGCGAAGAAATAGTGTTTCCTTTTGCTCATTAGTATTTTTCCTATTATGATAGTGTTCATCGGCTTTGGCCTGAAATTCTTGATCGTGCCGTTCTCAGATAAATAAGCAAATGTGGCCACAACGAAGTTGTTGTAAATTCGCATTTTGCGACTAACCAGTTTCCGCGCATGTCTAGATGTGACTTCCCGGTAAAATAACCGCTTTGTTGGTTGTTGCTAATAACCGTTGCCTTAGGCCTTTCGAGTAGTTTGCTGATTCCTGCTCTGAAGGGCTTCATTGTCCCCGACTCTGTGATTCGCTTCGACTGGATGTGCGAAAATAGAACTCTAAACCGACCTATTTTAACCTCTACCTAACCAGGCAGGTATGTTTGCGTACTCTCTTTCATAGACGCCTCGTCGTACAGCCAGTGTATCCCGCTCCACAGCAGCAAATGAATAGACAAATGCACCTCGGTGTATGCTCACGCGCTGTGAATAGCCATTTCCTGCACGCATCGAAATGTGCTTTCCCGATAGAAAACCTTCCTCGGTCCTTGGTTTCATCCACAAAAGAGATTGAAGGAAGTCTTTGTTAGCTTTAATAGCTTTCCTTGGCTTCTTTTGCCATTGTTTAGGCTACTTCCTTGACTTAGACTGACGAAAAAATTGTTGTGGGATATGTTTTCGTTTTTGCTGCGTCCCGTGCTTATTCTTCCCATTTTGATTTTTCGTAAGCATGTCCGGCAATTATCAGTCTGGCCCAACTGACAGAATAACTTGCTCCTCCCAAGCAGCAATGGCTCCTCAACGTGGTCTCTATGACACTCTCAGTCAATTGGGAGTCAATTCGCCCGTTTTTTCTTGTTCTCATGGAAACCCGGTCCATTGTGCGCAGACCAGGTCGTGTGTGGTTCGCGTAGGCTGGCCGTTTAACTTTGCCATCTACTGCGCCCGAGGTCGTCCTGATTCTTTCTTTTCGTTTGGTTTTGCTGAATGGTGGAGGAGAGAATGGGACAGATGCTGCACAAGTCTGCCCTAGCCATAAAGTAGTTCACCCACGAGTCACCGTCCCTACGCCCAGCATGCTATGGGGCACGCCGTCGACATCGTCGTTCAAGACGGTCTAACTGACACCAGTCTTGTCCGATTGGAGGGTGTAATACGGACCACCCGCCTAACTTTGGAGTTCCATTCTATAGCCGTAGTGGGGGGTCATGTCACGAAGCTCGTAAGTGGTCCAGATTTTTAAGGGAGCCAGGTTTGTGAACTGTTATTCTCGTTGCTTCTATGAAGTTAATCCACTTAAATAGGCAAACCGGGTCTTATGGATTGTGTCGTCAACTCGCGCTCCTTCGGTTGCAGTTAGGAGTATTCACAATGACCTTAGTCATACGCCTTCTGTCCTTCAGTCAGGTAACAGACCGGCAAACGCAAATCCTATGTCACTTTAAATATTCGCGATTGAACCCGACAGGGAGTTTTCCCCGTGGCTAAACTGATCGTAACGTCGTCGGCTCTTGTGACAAAATGAACTTGGATTCGAGTCCCAGATCCTCCCACTCTTGCAACCGACTGTAGCCGCCTTACTACAGGAAATGAGCCAGAAATGGCTGTTCTAGTCCCTGCCAATAGTACGCTTAGTCGTTATTTCCTTGTGCTCAGTTTCCGATATTTGGAATCCCAAAAGTACTGCTTGTGGATATGTGCATCTCAGCACATTGTTTGCCACGGTGATGGCTTGACTGCTTACATACTGTTGAAGTGCAGATGTGTTTCTGCGTACGTTCATCATCGATGTTTTACGCTTCACCCTGTCCTGACTTTGTGGGTTAATTCGCTAAAGTGACGCTTGTTCATATGATAACTTTATCTGTCCCGCATAGTTTTATTTTTTGACTGGAGGTATATTGAGCTAGCTGTCGTGCTGTTGCACGATGGTGGAAGCCGAAAACTTATTTCATGATAATAACCATAACAATGCCATCAAAAAGTACAGTCTAGCCCTCTCCTTCTCGGCGGAATTTTTAGGTTTTGCTGATCAATTGAAACCAACTTCATTTATCGACCGCTCACTTTAAACGTTTTGTTGATGATTCTATCATAAATCGTGCCCACATTATGGATCTGCCTGGCAGATTAGCATCGAATCTGGGAAACCAAAAACTGAAAATCAGCTGCGCTTTATACGCTCCTATAGCCAATTTCTCAATGTAGGTATCCTCTTTGCTGCTAAGTACTTTCTTATCTCCTATTTTTATTACCAGAACTCCTGCCATTCATCACTGTTTTTTGTATGCAGATGATTGGGACATCACTTCTCTTCGTTCATGATCAAACAGGCATGGCCAACATCTGGATGATTGACTTTGGAAAGACACATACTCTCCCCTCCGGCGTCGAGATAGACCATCGCGGGGCCTGGAAACCCGGAAATCACGAAGAGGGTTATCTCTTCGGCCTGGAGAACCTAATATCCATTTTTGCGGAGCTCATCAGAGAGAGCACAGTCGCCGGCTGCTTGTCCCCCCTCCCATTCTTCTCCGACAGCCCTTCTACGGGAGCGAAATTCCCCCAAACAGTAGCCCGTGAAATGCCTCCTCCTGAAAGCGCTTCGGATATTCCACTCAACCGCACTTTGCCTGTGTTTATAGGCAGTAGCGAACTTGGGTGACACCATTCGCATCCTCTGCAAGCGCTTTCTTTCTCTGAATGCTCAAAATCCTATTTAAACATTATTTTCCTCCATTTTTGTGACCCCTTATTTTCTCCCCTCTCCCTGACCCCTCTGCAATATGCATTTTCCAGTGTCTCTGTACTTTTTGACAAGAAAAGAGCTTTGCACGCTGGTGTGGTCTCATGAGACTCGATAAATGGACCTTTTCTTATTTGTTTACGTTCGTATTTTCAAGTTGGTCGTCATTCCGTCTTGCCTTTTTCCCCGCTCTGAACCAGAATTATAGTATTTTTGAATGCCACTACTATTACTACTACACTTTCATCTCATCTTTCTCAGTGCTTTACTGACGAGTCTTCGTCGTATTCCTCTTCGTTGCTAGATGCGATTCGTGCTCCTGTTCATGTTCGCACTTTGACATTTATCACATGCGACTCGGGGCATCGTTGAGATCGCATTGAAGTGGTGTGCGCCAATCCGGTCTGGTCACAAAGACCAGTCGCGTATATCGTTATCTGCTGTTTAACTTTCACGGGTTTCCATCCTTTCCGATGGAAATCTTCCGAGTTTTGCATCTGCCTCTGCAGTAGGCTAATTTACTTCGGATTGTTTCCTGTTTGATTGATCCCGAGTGGCGTGGGCAGACCGAGGAAGGCATATAGACCAAAAATGAGAATCCCATGGTTTCGTCAGTACGGCTCTTTCAGATTTGGGCCCTCAGGGTGTTTTCGGTATGGAAATTGATTGACGGACACAGAGGGCCCTCTCTCCCGTTCATTTCTTCGGCTTCGGAGTTTGCTGTTTGCGTAAGCATAATTATTTTGGTTATAGACGGTCAGCAAGGTTTTTTATGTTATTAACACTCGTTGGAAATCGTGGGCAGAACACTTGTCGGGGGACCGATTCTAATCACTGACCCCTATTCACGCCGGCTGCTCTGCCTCTTACCTATGCCTGCCACATCTGCAAGCTGTGGGAATTGATCTATATTTTATTCTACCTGGTTCTTGCGGTCAGTTCGTCTTATGAATGGCATGACGAGTGCCGGGTGTCGAATCGATACTATTATCGGCCGTTTTGCAAGTCCAGCTCGTCCCACGTGTCCGTTAGGGAGATGCTGTCGTCTAAACTTCTAAAATCCGACTGCATTGGTTTGACAGTGATCCCTGATCTTTCCTTTAGCATTCGAAGGCGGTTTCTTAGTGAATCATGCGGATATCAGCTGGCTATGAAGTCCAGGAGTATGGGACTTTTTCAGTCTTCATAATACTATCTAGGCACGTGACTTCATCATTTTTGATATACCTCTGGTCATCACGTACATTTGTGGCCGGATTTGATTTGCTAAGAAATTGGCTGGACTAATTTATCGCACCTTTGATTTTCTGCAACGGTTTGGTTTAGGGCCTCACTGATAGCAACTGGTTCTACGCTTTCCAGTTGGACGTTTACTGTGCAAAGCTTTATTAAGTCAGGCGTAGGTCGTTAGTATGTTGAAATTACTTCAAGTCTTGGAAATTTCAGAGTGGGGAAGATAGGTGGTACATGCTCAAAACGGTAGAGGGCTGTGACGACAGGCATTTATTGTGTTTGTTCATGCGTCCCCAAGAAGCCATTCCTCAAAGCACCATCCGTGAAAAGAAGCACGAGTAAGCATAGCGCAGCCAGCCCACTAATGGGTCGATCGTACTTCATAACCAGATTTGTCTTAACGCCCCCAAGGCCATCGGAGTCTCCCCATCCCTCCTGGAAGACGCGTTACTTGTCTGCCCGACGTGTCCACAGGTGGAGGATGGTGGAACAGCCTTCAACAAAGGTTAGTTGGTAAATAAGCGGGTTCTCTAGTTTGGCGACAAAACAGTCGTGGACCAACAGCGACAATTTTACCAGGACGCGGAGTTTTGAGGTCTGGTAAGCTGACTGCTTCATCAAATGCCTCAAATCCTGATGATGACACTGGAATAGCCATCGTGAACCGCCATTGAATAGGTTTGCTAACCACTGCTGCCTTATAGTTAGATTCTTTAGTCAAAGCGCTGGAGGAGAGCACCTCGAACAAACAATCTTAGAGGCTGTTGGGAACCCGACTGCACTCAAAATCCCCAAAAAACGCATAAACATGTCCGTCTACGGTACTCCGATCCATGCCATGGCGACCCCCGTATCGACGCGTCCTTCAACCCTGGTCCAGTGGCGCGGACGAATAGTATGCGGGCCGGATTTCTCAATCGGAAACAGACTCTCGATATTGGATGCTGGAATGTTTGAGCGTTTCTGAACCTTGGTACCAAGAGTCTGACGGCGCGCAGTCTTTAGCAGTACAACGCGGATGTCTGCTGCCTGTCTGAAGTCCGAATCTCCCACCAAGGCACAAGTGAAATAAAAATTCGGAAGTCAAGTCCCACTTACCTTGTACCACAGCGGCCTATGCGACTCTTCTGGCAGACATGGTGCGGTTATCGCCCTCACAGAACATGCAAACCGTGCACTACGTGTACGGGAACCAGCCAATGACCGGATGGCTTGCGTGAGACTGAACGGTCGCTTTACAAAAATGTCTGTCGTTTACGTGTACGCACCAACAGTAGATATCGAACAGCGCGATAAAGTGACCTGCTACTGGTAGGTGTAGGAATTAGTTGATAGACTCCCTCACTGGGATCTGCTGGTTGATCCCGGAGACTGTATCCGGTGACTCCTCAAACAATCACCTGATCGGTCGTTTTCGGCTTGGCTATCGATGAGACAACGGTAAGATGTTGCTGAATTTTTAGCTGATCAGGACCGACCGTCAAGAACACAGGCTCCCAGCATCACCACAAACGTCTATTGACCTAGTATTTAAACGACGGTCATACGACCAGTTTGCTCGACTACGCTCTCGTCGGTTCATGGCTCCGCAGCTGGATTCACGAAAGCAGATCGATGCGTGGTGCCGAAACTCGTGACGCCCATCAGTCTGACCATGTTTTTGTTCTCACACGCCTGGAGATTCGTCGCCCATCTGCACACAAAATACCGCGTGCGAGACGCCTTGATATCGTATAACTCCGACAATCTGTCATTGCCAAGGCCCCGAGCGCAGAATTCCGGTCCTGTTTTACCACCCGGGTCGACGGAGAAGGCAGAGACCGAAGTCATCTGTCTGTGCGGCAGTTGAAGGAACTCTCTGGTTCACTCAGCGACGTCGCAGTGACTGGATCAGCGAAAAAACCTGCAATTTAGCATTACCGACTAAGACGAGGGAGACTGTAGTGACCATTTCCGGCTTAGTAACCGTTGTCAGCCATCCATACCCAACGCCGGAGTGTGCAATCTCTGTGATTCGATCTCGCGACATGTTGGTTAAAAGCCCAACGCCCCTACCACTGCGCCAGGGGCTTGTTGTCCTGTCGTTGCGATCGGGTAGAGAGGGCGCTCACCGAGTGCGTTACTGAACTCACTCGTCCTGTTGTGCTTTTAAGTTCCTCTCGAACACCGCCAGCAGCCGCACAGCGGCGCGTGATATAAACAGTGTGCCCTCCCTCCTTCCGATCTTCTTGACTCTGCTGTGACATCGGATCCAGGCGAGGAGTGGGAAAGAGAGAGTGTAGTAAGTGCTGCGCAAGTGTACTATCACTATAGACGAATTCACGCACAAATCGCCGTGCCTGCTACAACTTAGTGTGTAGCACACGGTGGACACCGTCGAAATCGACGGTCGAACTGTCGGTTAGGAGGCGGGACTTCTAACCAACAGGTCATAGGGTCAAGCCCCGGGGGTTGCACACTTCAGGTTTGGGTAGGGCTAGCTGATGACGACTAGTGAGCCAGAAATGGCCATTCCAGCCTCCATTATCTTTGTCGGTAATGCTATTCTGCCTATATTACGCGCCAATGGGTGGCCGCTGAGGGTGCTCGAGGGAGGACCTTAAGGCAAAACGGATAAGAGACTTCAATAACACGATCGGTGAGCATCCCTAACCCTGTAGTTGTTCGCCTAGACGGCGCAAAACAGGTCCCACAATGATATTTCATTCCCCCAACTCCGGAAAGTGACAGAAAAGTCGGCTAGGATTGGCCGGCAGAAAAACTGGACAGGAATAGCGACCTCCAAGGAGAAGGCCTCAGATGTTGCTGACACTCGAAGACTACGCCACAGTATCCACAAAGTTAGTGATAAGCCCTTGAAATTTAGTGGCTCTGTTCGCGATGTGAATGGCGGCTTTACTGCTGACAATTCGGTAAGGCCGATCGTTTGCCTGAACACTTCGAGCACCTTCTCAACTTTTATAAGCAACCTATCACACCCTCCCTCCCCTCTGCTGTGGACTTTCTTCCTTTTTCGGTTTATGAAATGTCGTATTGTCTCACTTTTGAGAGAGAAGTTGCCGATGCAATACAAAAGGTGATTGAGCAAGCGTGGAAAAATGAGGTGGTTCCCAATAACTAGGGTTCGGCATGCTTGCGCCTGTGCGTGACTCTAGGAGCATGCCCAACCAAGCTGGATTCCGAAGTGCGCGTACATAAGCGGACCAGATATTCACACTGTCGCGCACTCTAGCATTCTGTCATGGCTACCAGCAACCGACAGTCATCTCCTTTGTCGCTGCGTTTTACTCCATCTATCGTGAGTCCCTGTGGAAAACAGTGGAATTAGATCGTGTGCCGGCCAAAATAATCGTCATGACCAGTGTCTGCTGCTGATCCACCACTGCGCGATCTTTCTTCCATGACAGTCTCTCCCAACTGTTCTATATCCGATCGGGTGTTCGGCAAGGCTTTATCCTGTCGCCTATTCATTGGATTCTCGAAAGGGCTCTATACGGTTTTGAAGGTGCGGAGTTCGCACTTGGACAGCAGGTGACCGATCTAAACTACGCTTTACTGATCTATAGTCTGCGGTGTCACTACTGCATGAAGTCGCTACTTTAATCGGTTTATCCGTAAACGTTGAGAGGATCAAATTGTTTTTGAGTTGCATCCCTGGCCAATACAAAGCGACTCTCGGGTCTGATGGCTATCGACTTGAAGTAGACAGTTACAAATACCTTAGGACGAGGATGCGGCCCAGTGTACAGAGTGCGGACAACAATTTCTTCCTCGCAGATGCTGCTTGCTGGATTTCCCAGTGCTTAGAAGGTGCCCCTAGACCCGACACAACATCTTCATCGCCACAAAGATTCGCGTGTACAGCGCATCCGTCCGGCCAATCCTCTTCTATGGTTACGAATACTGGGCTTTGCACGTGGAAGATGACTGACGACTGGAGGTATTTGACGACTTCTGCCTGAGGATCATCCTTCGAGTGAAGTATACGGGCTTCGTCTCAAATAAGGCGGTCCCCATTTGCTGCGACAACATCGCGAGGATATCTTAGGTCATCCAAGAAAGACGACTGAGGTGGTTTGAGCACGTCCTCTGTCGTCTGTCTCATGTTTTCACAGATACTTCCCTTAATCCGGCGTCATTGCCTACCTGGAGGCCTCAAAATAGTGACCAACTAAAGACTTGGCTCGACACGGTTCGTCAAGACACGAGGTAGTTTTCGGACCTTCGGTATTCGGTCCCCATCGCTAGAGAAGAGAATTGATCGAGCTGTGCAGATTCGCTGCTTTAAATCGTCACGCAAGAATAGATACAATAAGTGACCTCGTTGAGGATGGCCACATCAGATATTATCACAGTCTCACCATGTACAATTGACAGGTATGTAGCGGCACAGCAGAGAGAATATGTGCAGCATGTGAGCTACAATCGTCAGGCCAAATTCCATGTTTGAAGGGTGAAGACAAAGGGGACCAGAATAAGGGGTTTATTGTGCACAGAACCCGGAGTTGTCCTCTCAGGCGGCAGTGGCCACGGGCGAAGCCAGGGCTGGTGTTGACTGCGTCCAGTCAGGCCTGAGAGTCCCTGAGATAGTGGTGGCAGCCGCTTTTGTAGGCTCGTTGGCCAAGCTCAAGTGGTGTCCAGTCAGCGTGTGTTGCATTTGCCGGGGGTGGTGTCCCGGCGGCTTAGGTTGTGGTTGCAGGGGGTGGCGCGTTCAAGTGGCCGCATGGGCAGCTGCGACTGCGCGGACGCAGGTATGCCCGAGCTGTTGGTTGTGTGACTTCAGGTCACCTCGTCTGGGACGGCTCGCTGCAAGGGATGAATGACCTTGAGGCAGCGATGTCTGGAACAATGACGCCAGACCGGTCATGATGTCTGGCTGCCACAGGTACATCGGGAGCCCTCGAGATTTTAGTCAGACAAGCATTATAATGATCTGTTCCCTTTTTTGAAAAAATGACGCATGACAATTGGAAAAGTAAACTGCTTGGCAAGAATCCATCCATATTTTAAAAAAATGTGTATCATTTTTTGGGAGACGTCACCAAACAGCGTGTTATTTAATTGACCACCAAGATATGGTCCACAGGATCTCATGGATATCAAAGAAAGACGAGATCGTTTGCCTAATAGGCAATTGCCCAATCGGTCCGCTCGTTCAAGTATTACCTACTTCAATCTTAAGTTATTTCGAACGCCTTGATTCTACAATCTTGCATAGCGTTGGATTCGCTTAGCATGCCGCTTTCTCATGGCCTCGGTGTAAAGTGATGTATTTTCCGAGTGTTCATTTTTTCCTGAATAGTTCGCGGGAACCATTGTTGTTTTGACAAATGCCAAATTTATTTTTGGAGCTAAGGTAGATTAGTTAGGCACCTATTACCTACCACGCTCTATCCCAGCCATAACTTCATTGTACACGTTGAGAACGTGTGCGCGACCATTGAACTGTGTGTAAATGACTAGTCCGAAAGAACCATGGTTTTAGAAATTTCCTACTCATCTTTTCAAACCTCTAGGCCCGCGGTGCGTATATTCTGTATCCAATGTTAGACGGTTATCGTGTCTATTCCAGTTATCGTCCCCCCAACCCTGCACCTGTTTGGTTCCTTTGATTATCGTTATTCTATTATGCCGCTTTTTGTCAGGCTATAAGACGACCACTCATAGCTCAGTTCATTTATTTATTGATCATTATTCTGTGCCAATCTGAAATTTGCGGCCAAAATGTCGCAGTTATATCGTCGTTTGCACTGCCCTGCCTCTATTGACCACTATCCCGCAGTGCTGGTGGGGGCATTGATCTGGCCGGCAATGGCTAAGCGTCAGGATATGAAGTCGTTATCTGTTTCATCCAGCTTTTGTCGTAACTGTCATCCACGACCTAATAAATTTGCTGCTCTGGAGTTGTAATTTTTTTTAAGAGGGCACGGTTTCATGGGTGCGCCCTGTTAGCAAAGGCATCAGCTCAAGTTAGACATTAACCGCCGTGAATTGTTCATCTTTTCACTACCTTCGATCCTTCGTAAATATTTACGATGTTATCACCTCTATATGTGATATGGGTGTAGGGGTGTTGAAGTGTCCAGCGGTGCGTCCACGTAACGGTGTTAGTAGGTAGCTCACTTGCTTGCATTTGTAGACTACGCCTAGCGTCCATTAACTTTAACCCAACTTTCACATGTGGCTCCCCGAGTCTAGGCTCTGCCTGGCGGCCACAACCCGCTAACCGCCTCTACCGACAGGCCAAACCAGGTGAGGGTATCCGTTTGTATATCTCTGCACACGGTAACTCGACTTTGCTGGCCGGATAGATCACCGCCTCGGCATCTCCAAGATGAGGCTCTGTCCGTAACACCGCAGGAGGCTACAAGGTAAGTGAGGTCCCAGTTAAGCGAATATTGCTCCGTTGGATGGATATTTGTCTGCTTGTTTGTTTCTGTACTTGTTACAAGTTAAATTCCGTTCCGTCGAATTTCCTCTGTTGGCCTTGCTTTTTTGTTGTTCTTGCCTGCTTGCTTTTTGTCTGCTTGTTCGTGTCCGTCCTTATTGCAAGCTAACTGCCCTATTTAAGGAGAGCACTGTTCATCCCCGCGAGGGGGAAGGGGCTAGAAAATATGTTCTAAACAAATGCCGTCTACAGGCTGGCCGTGGCTCGCGGACAACAGAACACTATCGAAACAACCAAATAAGAAACAATATTATTTCTCTTATTCTCATGCTCCAGACACCGTCCCACCCCACAGGCTCGTTGATTGAGTCGGCTCACTCTGGAGGCATGGAATGTTTGTTCCCTTTTAGACAATCCGAGGAGCAACCGACCGGAACGGAGGACAGCGCTAGTGGCCCGGGAACTGGCGCGCTACAAGGTGGACATCGCCGTACTCAGCGGGACTCGATTCTCCGAACAAGGCCAATTGGAGGATGTGGGTGCCGGCTACACCTTCTTCTGGAACGGTCGGCCCAGGGCAGAGCGACGAGACGCGGATGTCGCCTTCGCCATCCGGAACGACATCGTGGGACGACTGCCCTGTCTGCCGCAGGCTATCAACGATCGCCTGATGAGCCTCCGTCTGCCTCTCCGGGGAGACAAATTCGCCACCACCATCAGTGCCTAGGCTCCCCCCATGACCAGCCCCAAGGCCGCCGCAAGAGACAAATTCTGTGAGGGCCTGCAGGCCCTCTTGGCGACTGTGTCGAAGACGGATAAGTTGATTGTCCTTGGGGACTTCAACGCCCGCGTTAGCACAGACCATACTGCCTGGAGAGGGGTGCTGGGTCCCCACGGTCTCCGCGGCTCAAAGGACATTGGCCGGCTGCTCCTCCGCACCTGCGCAGAACACCGCCTCATGCCGACGAACACGTTCTTCTGTCTGCCGGAGCGAGATACGGCCACCTGGAGGCATCCTCGGTCGCGCCAGTGGCACCTGCTGGACTATGTCCTCGTCCGGAGGCGAGACCAGCGGGACGTGCTGGTGACAAAGGCGATCGCGGGTGGTGACGGATGGACTGACCATCGCCTCGTCATCTCGGAGCTGCGTATTCGCCTACAGCCTCGCAGGAGACCACAAGGTAAGCGACCCCCAGGAAAGCTGAATACTGCCTTGTTGTTTTTGCCGGCTCACCATCTTCATTTCAACAACGAGCTAGCTCAACGGCTAGACAACCTTCCAATCGCTGCCGCCGCCGCCGCCGCTGCGAGAACGCCTCCGTGGAGAACCGCTGATGTCAACTGCGAGACACGGTCCAGTCGACGGCGCTAGCCGTCCTTGGTCGCGCACGCCACCAACACCAGGACTGGTTCGACGACAACGACGCCGTCATCAGAAATATGCTTGCTGAGAAGAACCGCCTACACAAATCCTGCGTTGGTCACCCCATTGATGCCAACAGAGCTGCCTTCTACCGCAGTCGCCGCCAACTTCAGCAACGACTGCGCGAGATGCAGGACGCCTGGACTGCTCGCAAAGCCGAGGATACCCAAGGCTACGCGGACCGCAACGAATGGAAGAATTTCTCCTCTGCGATCAGAACTTTTTACGGTCCGCCAACGAACGGCACTGCTCCCCCTTCCTCAGCGCCGACGGCAATACCCTCCTGACTGAGCTGACGCGTGCATCGCCTTTGCCATCCGGAACGACATCGTGGGACGACTGCCCTGTTTGCCGCTGGGCAACAAAGACCACCTGATCAGCATTCGCCTGCCTCCTCGGAGATCCAACTTCAACACTATTATCAGAGTCCACACATCTCAGATGACATATCAACAGGCATCAACCCCCTTCCCCCTGCCAACAGCCCCAAGGATGTGGACTAGATCCACGAGAGCGGAATTAACCGCAGTCTCGACAAACCCAGCACCCAGCACATCCACAATGCCGAACTCAACCCACGCCTCGCCGTCCAGCGGGCCCACCACCTCCGAAACCGGAACTTCCGCCGCCGACTTCTCATGTCCACACTCTACCCGTACATTTACCTCACGCATCGGCCTCTTCGATCACTTGCGAATCCATCACACAGCGACTGTCAAACCAGTGCCTGGAGCACCAGTCCACACTCGTCGCATCCGCCTCCACTCCCCAAATGGCACTCGCATATTTATTCACTGCATGGGTCCATTAGGCCATATGCGCGTCCACGAAAACCTGCGGTTGACAAGCCGCCGGCTAACCTACACCATCACATCCTCCATTAACAAAATCTCAACGCAATTCAATATCACCCACTGCAAGCAACCAACTGCCACCTCTCATGCAGGTGGGAAGTGTGCGTCTCGGCTCCTTATCTATGTGGATCTCCTGTTGCATGTGAGATCAAAATCTGAGACGAAGACGGTGCGTGGATGGCCGTGGCTCGGAAGGCAGCCGACTAACGCCCCAACTCAGTCCACGCAATCCGTCCAGTTGTGCGTGTGTGTGTTTGTGTGTGTGTGTGTGGCAATTCTTCTGAACCACCACATCCTCCTCCTCCTCCTCATCCTCCTCCTCCATCATCACCATCACCACCACCTCCTCTTCCTCCTCAACCATTGTGCCAACGACGGCTGCTCAGGCGGGCGTATCGCACATCACCAACTCTGACACAACCACCGACACCACCCCAACTTTCTCTGACTCCAGCGATGAGGATCAGGACTGCACCTGATCTCACTGCGACCGCACCTTCACATCACACATTGGCCTGGTCGGTCAATTGCAAATCCATCGCACAGAGACTGGCGCACCAGTGCCTGGAGCACCAGCCTACACCCACCGCACTCGCCTCAACTGCCCTCACTGCCCTCGCACCCTCACGCATCGCATGGGTCTATTCGGCCACATGCGCATCCACGAGAGCGGAATTAACCACAATTCCGACACACCCACCACACCCAACACATACGCCATACCCAGCCCCACCGTCATTCACTTGCCCGCGCCCATCATCACCACCATCACCGCCTCCTCTGCAGCTGACACCGACACCGTCGACCTCTCATGCCCAAACTGCCCACGCACGTTAACCTCATGCATCGGCCTGGTTGGTCACTTGCGAATCCATCGCATAGAGACTGCAGAACCAGTGCCTGGGGCACCAACCTACACCCACCAAGCTCGACTCAACTGCCCGCACTGTCCTCGCACTTTCAGGCATCGCATGGGCCTATTCAGCCACATGCGCATCCATGACGACCTGCGCGACCAGCAACGACTGCGCGAGATGCAGGACGCCTGGACTGCTCGCAAAGCTGAGGAGACCCAAAGGTGCGCAGACAGCAACGAATGGAAGAACGTCTTCTCCGCAATCAAAGCTGTCTACTGTTCGCCGATGAAGGGCACTGCTCCTCTCCTCAGCGCTGGCAGAAGTACCATCCTGACCGAGAAGAAGCAATTTTTACAGCGATGGGCCGAGCATTTCCGACGCATCCCCAACCGCCCCTCCGCCATTTCCGACGTCGCCATGTAACGTTTGACGCAAGTGGAGACCAACGTGGACCTCGACCTCCCGCCATCTCTCCAGGAGACCATCAGGGCCCTGCAGCAACTCTCCAGCGGGAAAGCACCCGGATCGGACGCAATCCCTGCTGAGGTCTACAAGCACGGCGGTCCCCAACTGATGGATCACCTGACTGCCCTCTTCCAGGAGATGTGGCGTCAAGGTGAAGTCCCACAGGATTTCGAGGACGCAACCATCGTACATCTCTACAAGCGAAAAGGGAAACGCCAAGTCTGCGACAATCACCGTGGCATCTCCTTGCTGAACATAGCCGGGAAGATCTTCGCTCGCATCCTCCTTAACCGTCTGAATATACATCTAGAGGAGGGCCTTTTACCGGAAAGCCAGTGCAGCCTCCGCGGGACCACGGACATCATCTTCGCCGCCCGTCAACTTCAGGAGAAGTGTCAGGAGATGCGGACCCACCTATACTCCACCTTCGTGGATCCGACGAAAGTCTTTGACACGGTGAATCGTGAAGGACTGTGGAAGATCATGCACAAATTCAGCTGTTCGGAGCGATTCGTTCAAATGATGCGTCAGTTGCACGATGTGATGATGGCGCGAGTCACAGACAATGGAGCTGTCTCAGAGGCATTTGCAGTGACCAACGGAGTCAAGAAGGGCTGCATCCTGGCGCCTACTCTCTTTAGTCTTATGTTCTCTGCCATGCTGACGAACGCCTACCGCGATGAACCCCCCGGGATCAGCATCGCCTACAGGACGAACGGTCACCTCTTGAATCAACGGCTGATGCACTTACAATCGCGCGTATCCACAACCACCGTTTACGAACTTCTCTTCGCCGACTTCAGCGCCCTGAACACCACCTCAGAGGAGGAGATGCAACGCAGTATGGACCTGTTCTCCACCGCCTGCGAGAACTTCGGTCTGGTCATCAACACGCAGAAAACAGTAGTCATGCATTAACCGCCACCCAACACCGTCACTCTCCCAAACGCGCCGCAAATCAGTTTGAACGGCACCCAACTGCAAGTGGTGGAGAACTTCCCGTACCTGGGCAGTACCCACTCCCGCAACACCAAGATCGATGACGAAGTCGCCAACAGGATCTCGAAAGCCAGTCAAGCCTTCGACCGCCTCCAAAGCACAGTCTGGAATCGTGATGATCTCCAACTGAGCACGAAGCTAAAGGTGTACAAGGCCGTCATCCTGCCGGCACTGTTGTACGGAGCGGAGACTTGGACGGTGTACACAAAGCAGGCACGCCGACTGAACCACTTCCACCTCAGTTGTCTTTGTCGCATCCTGAGGCTGAACTGGCAGGGCCGCATCCCCGACACTGATGTGCTGGAACGGACGGGAATCCGTAGTATCTACACCATGCTGAGACAAATGCAGCTGCGTTGGAGCGGCCACCTGGTGCGCATGGACGACGAGCGACTACACAAACGACTCTTCTACGACGGGTTCTCGCTGCCAAGGTGGTCAAATTCGTCGATACAAGGACACCCTGAAGTCCTCCCTGAAGCGCCTGCAAATCAACCCCACCAACTGGGAGGAGTTCGCACTCGATCGACCGACCTGGAGAAGGACAGTGAAGACAGGCGCTGCGATCTACGAAGCCAACCGCATCGCTGCCGCCAAAGCGAAACGCGAAGCCCGCAAATCCCAACTGCGCCCAGTCCGCAACGCGGACGCACAACCGCTACCAACGTGTCCTCAATGTCAAAGGACATTCCGGGCTCGAATCGGACTTGTTGGACATCTTCTGATCAACTGTACCTCTCGGACCGCACCATCAGCCGTCCCTCCACCCGCCTCTTCCTCGTCCTCTCTGCCGCCCACTATATCATGTTATTCTTCTGAACCACCGCTTCCATCCTCCTCCTCCTCCTCCTCCCCCTCCTCCCCTACTCCTACTCCTCCTCCTCCTCCTGCGCTGTCCCATCGTCAGCCCCTGTGGCGGCTGTTACTCAAGTCAACATCACACACATCCCTGAGACAACAACAGACCCCACCCAACCAACTTCCGACTCCAGAGGTGAGAACCAGAACTACACCTGCCCTCACTGCGACCGCACCTTCACCTCACTCATCGGCCTGGTCGGCCACTTGCGAATCCATCGCACGGAGGCTGGCAAACCAGTGCCTGCAGCACCCATCTACACGCACCGCACTCGCTTCCACTGCCCACGTTGCCCTCGCACTTTTAAGCATCTCATGGACCTATTCGGCCACATGCGCATCCACGAAGACCTGCGGTAGACAATCGCCGGGTGCACCACACCACCACCACCATCACACATCAAGACTTACCTACCGCAATCACCCAACTGCCACCTACCACGCAAGTGGGAAGCGCACATTTCGACTCGGTCCGCATGCGACTTCGCCTGCACGGGCGACTTGAGTCCGAGATTATCCTGACACGTCAAGCGTCGTGGATAGGAAGGCTGCTGGTTGACGTCCCCACTCGGTCCGCGCAGTTCGTCGCGTTGTTTATGTGCGTTGTGTGGATTGGCGGACTGGTGGACTGGGAGGCGGGTTGAAACAGCACCCTCCACGGCCCTCTCACGGAAGTGAGGGACACTCCGTTCAACCCCCGTTGAGTGAAATCCTGATATGTGTGTGTGTGTGTGTTTGGGGACCAGGTCGTGCATGTGGCGCACGCAGGCATGATCAGTCGACCATGCCAGCCACCGCGCCCATTCCCCACTCCAGTCTGCTGATCGGCTCGGACAGTGGTTGGAGTGTGGGAATGGGAAGGGAGAGTGAGGTCGACGACTCAGCGCACCTCCTCCTCACTATAGACAATCTGATGCGCTTGAAGTTATCATGTTGCGCTAAAGGTGTGCCTTGGTGGGTCGCCAAATGACGGGGCAACTTGGATCTCGCAGTCGGCCCAGTGTTGTGTGTTTGTTCGTAACAATCGACTGGTTCTCAAATAGTCAGGCTGCAATGGATCCTTCTTAATGTGGCCTTTATGGCACTCCCACTGTGTGGAATCCGAGCCAGGTGTGACGGCACGCTCAGATACTGTTCCGGCCGCGTTAGCCACCCTTTTGTTGTTAGTTAAAAACCTGGTCATTTGCTGTGTGGACCAGGAGTTTTGGAGTGGAACGTCAAGGTGCGTGTTTGACCGTGCCATCCACCTGCGCCCCTCCCCACTTCCGGTCTTCTTGACTGTGTCTTGACACCGGTTCCAGTTGCGGTATGAGGAAAGAGTGTGGTGGATGCTGTGCAAGTTTGCATTCAGTATAAACTAATTCACGCACAAATCACCGTCTTTGTTCTCATTTTGCTTTGCGTATACAGTGGACACCTTCAGAAACGACGGTTGAATTATCGTGTTTATGTGCTGACTTTTGTGTTCTAGCTTTGCGCACGGGGTTACCCAATGCCGGGAGTCCGCAAGCGCAGTGGTTCCATACGCGGAACACAACTATCCGGCGCGAACGCTGAACCCTTGGAAACTCTTTCTGCAAGCCTTCATGCCTCTTAGGATCGAAAATATTCCTACTATCTCGTTAGCAACAACCGGACACTCCAGTCGCAGGCGGAAGATTGCGCTTCTTTGATGGGTAAGTCAAGGACCATGCAGGCGCCCGACGAAGAAAAGTCGAAGGCCGGTACCTATAGTGGCCCTACTCCGAGCGCGTGTCACAACGCTTGACCTCTCGCGAGTGTTTGCATGTACGCACCAGGGTTGTCTGGCGTTCGCCCACTCGGAATTCCAACTGGCCAATCAGATTCAGGGCCGAGTCATATGTGCCCTAGCTAAGGCTCTTCGACGTATTCCCTGACTGAAACTTGGGATGCCGCCCTCACGGTCCCGAAGGCACTTTCTTCTGGCTGCTGACTTCTTTCAATTCCTTCTCCAGTAGTTCTGTGCAGAATATACAATTCTACCCACTGCCATCCATCTTCTTTTTCCTTTCGAGACCGGGCCTGAAAATCGTGGTAGCCAGGGTCTCAATGATATTCCGCGATCTACCTCATTTGGGGGTGTCTGATCAGCAACCACTGCCTTTGCTTTTTCAACCAGTATGCGAATTCCCACCCGGTAGTCGTAAAGATAAATTTTTAGCATAGGGGGCTGTAGAGTCTAAATATATAAAGCAGCATTTTATTTTGTCAAGTAAGACCGTTCGTGGTGAGGACTCCTTCCTGCATTTTTGCGTGTTTGAACCTTTATGCGCTTATGTTTCTCACCTATCATCTGTTTTTTTTTCGTTAGTGCTCCCTTTTCTCGGCCGACATTAACTTACGGAAGCTTGTCCGCCCTAATGTATCGGCGAAATACCTTCCAGTCGCCAAAGAGGATATTTTAAACGACCTCACCTACTTAATCAAGAGGCGTGGACCCAAACCTCCTCGCTGGTTCACTCTATGAAAGTCCCCGAATAAAACCAGCAATCAAGAGACCGAGGAATTGCGTTGTAGAGTTCTGTTGAAGTACATGCACATTTCTAACCTTGTAAAGGTTCATGACAATAGGACCATTGATGCACTAGAGGCCGTTTTGAGGCGCTAGCGCGGAAAGCTTTTGAACTCTCTCTGCCTCGGCCCACATTTCCGTACTTAGAGGTCAGGTTCCATTGGGGCGTTACATTCTACGCAGGTACTTCAGGCGTATCGTTAAGCCAAGAGAGAGAGAGAGAGAGAAAGAGAAAGAGCGAGAGAGAGAAGAGAAAGCTTCGTCTCGGGACAGCGTCCTCCAATTAGTCGGACAACATAGAGAGTCATTTACGCTTACGTTTAAGCACCAGTGGTCAGCAAGCACACTGTATTCAACTGCGAAGGGTGGTCGGTCACTTGATTGACACAGGACAATACACGTTCTTTCTAACGTTACGTATTCAAAAGTGGTCGCAGACTCCACGCTCGCGTATTCTCAAACATTCGCCACTATTTTCGCCGCACAGTAATTGTTATTCCTCGGGACATTTGAGCGCTTCCCAACGTTGAGAAAAAGGGATAAACGAAGATGGTCAGTAGACGCGATTAAAGTAGACAATTTCACGCATAAAAGCCGAAAAGAGTGTGGTTATATTCTCAGAATCAGTTTCATGAGCGCATATTATCTGTGCAGAGGGTCGTCCTACACGTTATGGGTGCTCTCATAAAATGGAACAGAATTCTAACAACTGACTGTACTAACTGAAATCCTACATTCGTTTACGCAGCCATGGTCGGCCACTTAAGAAGCTCTCATACTGAGATTGGTGAACTAGTGCCACAGGCGCCAACATGCGCCTCCGCCTCTTCTGTGCCCACATAGCCCACGCGCATTTGGTCACTCCATGGGCCTATTTGGCCAGATGCGCATCCATGACAGCTACATTCGCCGCAGTTGTGACACTTCAAACCTACATTGGGCATCCAACAAATGCCCCATATCCTGCACTATCAACTTCCCAAACATTAGCGTCGCCAACATCAATAGCATCATCAACGCCATCAGCGCAACAGCTCCCAGCTTATGTTGCCCATCTTGTTACCGGCGATGCACATCATGCATTAGCCTGATCGGTCACATACGAATCCATCGCACCGAAATGGGCAAACCAATGCCGGGAGCGCCAACACACATACGTCACATCCGGCTCAGATGCTAGCGGTGCCCACGCGTATTCAGTTACCGCATGGGCCTATCCAGCCATCTGCGCCTCCATGAATACCCGCGTTAAATCATGAGGGGCCAAAATCCATCACCACACATATCCCCAACTGCCCATTCACCACACACGAACGCGTCCAGCTTAACCCAACGCTGGCACGGAAGAGGCGCCACTCGCATAAGCGGGAAGCGTGTTCTCTGGATCCTTATTGTACACTCTCTGGCACTGTACCGCATGCGAGAACTCAGACGCCCCCTACCCCTTTATGCGAAAACATGTTGCGGAGTGCGGGGGCAGGTCGTGTGGCGCAGGCGTAGACTGGTTGTGTAAGGGCGTCTATTCTCTGCATCAGCTGATTCCTGGTATGTAAGGAAGATGATTTCGCGTAATCAGTCCTATTTTTCATTCCCCAAGCATGATGACGCTTTACGACATTTTCCAATTCGGCTCCTAACATGTCTACATCCAAATCGCGAGTGTCTACCCATACGCTGCCTTTAAATCATCGAGTGTTTCCTGGCGTGTTGATATCACTCGATCCTTTAGACAGTTCAAAATAAACGTTCCAGTTTCGCCAATTCAGAAGAGCGTGGGAGACACACTTAACTTGAATTTCGTTAAAATCTACTGAAGTAGTTGCGCTGTGACGTTGGGTATCTCTTAAAATTGAACTGGATAGTTTAGAAGTTACCGGTAATAAATCAAGTTCTATTCACGTACTAACTGCACTTTGTATAAAGCCGTGATTTAATGTGTTGGCATGCGCTGCAACGAAGCCGCATGAGGTTCTAAGTTAGCAGGAATGTTTTCGAGTGGAAATTGCTGTTTTTTCCTGAATCCACTGTCGCACAATTTCAGTGTTTTTAGCATTCCTACTGAATGTGATTCTCTGGCCTGCGGCAAACTGATAGCAGACCTTTGCTCCTAAAACTATGAGCCAAGTGAACTATTACTCGTTTTGCGGGATAATTCCTCTTTTCGAAATAACGCATAAATGCTTTTTGCGTTAGAATAATGCTACGCCGATTTTCAAAAAAAACGCTATGTTTTTTGCGTTCCTCCGTCTTAAAACCAAAAGAGTGTACAAGTTTTGTTGACTTTTTAGACGGTACCGCGACTCATGGACTATGTATTTCGACTCCCAGAATGCAAAAGTGCAAAAAAATCAGTAAAAACAGCTCCCGATCTGATGGCCGGTGGGGTCTGTTGGATAGAACACACTCTTACAAAATAAGAGGCTAAGAACAGTAGTAAAATTTATTAAATGATCAGATGAAGCAAAAGGGTTATGAAAGAACACTAAGCACGCTATTCGCATAAAAATGTGTAAAATGCATTAAAATCAAAATGGAAGAATTATAATGATTTATCCAACTTTGTAAAACTTTCTGTAGGAACGAAATTGCCTCAATTAGTCTTCGGAGTTATATGGATTATGTTAGTTAGATCGCGCTCATCGAAGACAAAAAAGCCTGTCTGGAGCTTTGCCGACTTAAATTGCGCTCGGTCCATAGAAGCACGACAAGAGGGAGCGCACCCTTTTGTATCAGAATCTTTGAAACATTTGGCAAAAAACTCTTTGGAACCTGTTCCCACATGAAAGAAATTCAGAAGCCGGGTTACAACGTAAGGCGGGGTCAGCATTTTGCGCATGGCTCCACCCTCACTTAACGTAGCAGTTTTAGGTTTCGCAGTTCGTTGCTCCGGCGGATGAAGATGCGGGTTAGACAGGGCATTTTCATATTACGATACGTAAATGTTCTATTGCGATTCCGTAGGAATCCGGCCGCCCCCGACATGAGACTCCGCTGCTTTTGGGTCAAGAAGAAGCTGTCGGGCCTCGTCCACAATAACTAAACCAGCAGACCACTTCGGCCCTAAAAAGCACAACTAAGTTACCTTAGAAAATTATGAGGCGACTACAAAACAAAGAACGCATTCAAAATATATCATTTCCTTTTTAAGTGGTTCAAAAATGCATTGAGAGCAAGGAAGAATGAAGAAGGAATTCAAATACGCGTAAAACTGCAGCAACGGGTCTGCGAAGCGGGACATGCACATGAACATCGACAGTAGAACAGTGATTTGCTCTTATTGTCAAACAGAGGCTAAACGGGAAATGTCAGTGGGGAGAACTTCACCTGGGGATTATTGGGGATACTACGCACACATGCCCAAAATCACTGACCCCTTTCCCCTTGAAAGGTCCTTAAGGACTTCGCTCCAGTTGTACCTGATCGTTTGCCCACGATAACGCGTATTGCTTAGGTACATATCTGCAGGCTCGTCCAGGCTTTGGCGGCACGCCTAGGTGCGGCTTCGGCCGTGCCAGCCTCCAATCTCGGTTGTGTTGGTTGAAATCCTGGTCATTTGTTGTGTGGACTAGGGGGTGTGGTGGAACGCCAAGGGGAGGATCCGTCCGAGCCATCCACCTGCGGCCTCCCTCGTCTCCGGTCTTCTTGACTCTGTCTTGACACCGGTCTAGGGCGAAGGAGGAGGAGAGAGTGTAGGTAGATGCGGCGCAAGTCTACCGGCACTATAAACCCCTGCGCAAGTCACCGTCCCTGCTCCCACGGCTGCTGCAGCTGTGGGGCACACGGTGGACATCATCGAAATCGATGGTCGAACTGTCCATCTGCAGGCTCGTATTCTAGAAATTAGTATTTCCTACGAAAACCACATCACCAGCCAAGCGGAATATGGAGTAAGAAATTTGGCCCGCAAAGACATTCACTGCACATCCCAATGAGAAACCTCTCGTTACGCTACGTGTGTATCTTAAACAGGCGTCCCTTTCCTCTATTTAAGTGATGAACAGGGTAAACAGTTGTAGAGGCATGAGGAGGCTCAAACGTGGAAGAGAGTCCGTAGTCGTACGAAATTGAGGAGTCAAATTCGTCAGTGAAACTGTCTGGCGAACTCGAATATGATGTGTCCGAAGACGACATTTCCCTCACCTTTTCGCCGATTTTTCGTACTAGTCTTTCTGTTTCCCTACGTGCTTGACGTCGGTAATTACGTCTGTCCACACAATTCAACATAATTGCCACTAAAAGGCGACAAAAAACAGGCAAAACGGGTCAGGTAGGCAATGAGAGCGTCGAGGCATGCACAGCGTGCGCGCTGCAGAGTGAGAGAGCATGAAGTGGAGCGCGCCGGGGAAAGTGTGGGCAGCGGAGCCAATCGATAAGCAAGTGCAATCGCACGCAACCGTTTGCGGCCTTTGTGACGCCAGCACAGCCGACCAAACAACCAATCAAATCACGAGCTGACCGAAGCCTCATTACCCGTATCGAGTACGATAGCTCTCAGCGAGCTCGCTTGCTATTAGGGAGGGGGAATAGAACTCATTTTTACGGGTTGGTTAACTTACTTCGTGCAGTATGACAGACTAAATTACAAGTACGGTGCCTGACGAGGCCATAAAAAGTTTGAGATGGAGGAAAGGGCATCTGACAGTTCGACCGTCGTAGTTGACGAAGTCCACCGTGTGCTCCACTAAAAGGTGAAGCAGACACGGTGACTTGCTCGTGAATTAGTTTATAGTGATGGTAGACTTGCGCAGAGTCTACCGCGCTGGGTGGCTGGCACAGCCGGACCCGCGCCTAGGCGTGCCACCAAACCTCCTGGTCCACAACATACACTTGACCAGGATTTTTCACCAACAACAACAGCACCCCAACAGGGGTAAGAAGGACGATGATGGCTGGGCGGCCATGCCCACCACCTGTATACCCAACGGGAGCGCAAGCGCATCTACCGGCATGGAGCCAGGTGTCAGGGAACTGCCAGTGCATACCAGGCTTCGAGGGCCATGGTTTGCTGATACTGACGTAGCACACGCTTCTAGACCTTTTGACCTAGAATGGCGACACGTGGTCCTGCATTTAGCCTAGGTCGTCACCCCTCAAGGTTGGGTAACCAAACAGTCGTCGACTGAGGGGCACTGCCCATAGAGCACACACACTCTGCTCAGATGCATGAGAGTGTCACGGATGGCTTGAGAAAAGGTCGTGACAGTCTGGCTCTCAGTCCATCACTCCGCCACTCCACACATACATACACACACGCACACAACTGGGCGGGCCGCGCGGAATGAGTTGGGGCGTCAGTCGGCTACCGTCTGAGCCACGGCTATCTACGAACCGTCTTCGTCTCAGATTCTGATCACACATGCAGCAGGGGAGCCACCTGGAGAAAGAGCCGAGACACACACTTCCCACCTGCATGGGAGGTAGTAATTGAGTGCTTGTGGTGGGAGATGTTGATGTGCGGTGAGATGTTGGTAATGAAGGAAGGGATAGTGTAATTTAGCCGGCGGTAGTCAATCGCAGTTTTTCGTGGATCTGCATATGGCCTAATAGACCCATGCGGTGAATAAATGTGCGAGCGCAATGTGGACAGTGGAGGCGAATGCGGTGAGCGTAGCTTGGTGCTCCAGGCACTGGTTTGCCAGTCTCTGTGCGATGGATTCGCGAGTGAACGAGGAGGTCGATGTGTGAGGTGAATGTACGGGGACAGTGTTGACATGAGAAGTCGGCGATGGAAGTTCCGGTTTCGAAGCTGGTGGGGTTGGTGGAGGTGTCCACGCTGGGCGGCGGGGTGTAGGCGGAACCAGGCATGGTAGGCGTGCTGGATGTGTTAGGTGTGTCGGGGCTAAGATCAATTCCTTCCTCGTGGATGCGCATGTGGCCGAACAGGCCTATGCGATGGGTGAAAGTGCGAAGTCAGTGTGGAGAGTGAAGGCGGATGCGGCGGCTATGGGTTTGCGCTCCAGGCATTGGTTCGTCAGTCTCTGTGTGATGGGTTCGCAAGTGAGACGGCGGTGGTGGAGGAGGTGAAGGGTGGTGGTAGTGGGGGTTCGTAACGCAGACAATGTTAGTTGTCGGCGTGGAGGATCAGGCAGAGCTGCACAAGGAAACAGCAGCTGATGTAGTCCGGATGCTGCGGTTGTTCCGGAGATTTGCAACAAGTCCATTTGGCGTCCGGAATATCCGTTAGCATCGAGGGCACGTTGGAGATGGTTGGGCGTTGGCGTTGTGAGGCGGCAGCAGCATTTGAGAATTGCGTGTATCGCATCTGGCTTTGGCGGGGGTGATGCAGTTGTCTTCGAAGACAGCTGAACCTGTCTTTATTGTTCTCCTCCACGCAGGTCGGTCCCGGGCGAGGTCTTCCTAGTTTGTCGGATTGATCTGTAGGCGCCTCAGGGGTTTGCAGAGCGCCCTTATGGCTCCGGACTTGACCTTCTTGTCGGCGTGAACCCGCCGCGACATCTCCATAGAAGAATTGCTCGGGTAGCCTCTCGTCGTCCATCCCTACGAGGTGGCAGCTCCAGCGTCGTGAGTACGTTCGTGTCTGGGGTCCGGTCCTGAGACCTCAGCTTCGGTATTCGACGAAGACAAGTGAGCTGGAGGTGATTGAGTCTCGACGCCTGCTATTAGTACACAGTCCAGGTCTCAGCTACTCACAGCAACGTGGGTAGGATGAGGGTCTTTTACATCTTCAGTTTCGTGCTGAGTTGAAGACCGTGACGATTCCAAACTGTGTTTTGAAGACGACCAAAGCCTTGACTGGCCTTGAAAATCCGGCGGGTCACTTCATCATCGATTTTGGTGTTGTATGGAAGGGTGCTGTTCAGGTAGGTGAAGCTGTCCACGACTTGCAGTTGGGCGCCGTTCACGTTTATTTGGGGTGCGACGTTGGCAGCGTCGGGTGGCTATTGATCCATAACCACCGCTTTCTATGTGCTGACGAACAGGCCGAAGTTGTTGAAGGCGGCGGTGGAGAGGTCCAGTCTCATTTGCGTGTCCCCTTCTGAGGTGGCGTTTGGAGCGTAGTCGTCCTCGGCGTTCGTGAATTGTGGTTGTGGATACGCGCTACTGGAATTGCATCCGTCTGGGCTTGAGGAAGTGGCCGTCCGTCCTGTAGGCGATGCTGATCCCGGGATGCTCGTCACGGTAGGCGTCCATCAGCATGGCAGAGAGCATAAGACTGAAGAGGGTAGGCGCCAGCACGCATCCCTGCTTCACTTCGTTGTTCACTGCGAATGCCTCTGAGACAGCTCCGTTGTCCGTGACTCGCGCCATCACACCGTCATGTAGCTGACGCACCATTTGAGTGAATCGCTCGGGACAGCCGAATTTCTGCATGATTTTCTACAGTCCTTCATGATTCACCGTGTCAAAGGCTTTCGGCAGATCCACGAAGGTGGAGTATAGGTTGGTCCGCATCTCCTGACACTTCTCCAGAAGTTGACGGACGGCGAAGATCATGTCCGTGGTTCCACGATGACGGCGGAAGCCACACTGGCTTTCCGGCAGGAGACCTTATCCTAGGTGCTTGTTTAGACGGTTGAGAAAAATTCGAATGAAGATCTTCCTCGCGATATTCAGCAAGGAGATACCTCAATGATTGTCACAGAACTAGCGGTTAATGTTCCGCTTATCGAGATGCACGATTGCCGCGTATTTAAAATCCTGCGGGACTTCACCTTGACGCCACATTTCCTGGAAGAGCGCAGTCAGGTGATCCACGAGTTGGGGACTGCCGTGCTTGTACATCTCAGCTGGGATCGCGTCCGATTCGGGTGCTTTCGCGCTGGAGAGCTGCGGCACGGCCCTGATGGTTTCCTGGAGAAAGGGCGGGAGGTCGAGGACCGCGTTGGTCTGCACTTGCGGCAAACGGACGATGGCGGCTTCGGAGATGGTGGAGGGGCGGTTGAGGACGCCTCGGAAATGCTCGGCCCATTGCTGTAGAATTTGTGTTTTCGCAGTGAGGAGAGTACTGCCGTCGCGCTGAGGAGAGGAGCGGTGCCTTTAGTCGGCGGACCGTAGAAATTTCTGATCGCAGAGAAGAAGTTCTTCCATTCGTTGCGGTCCGCGTACCCTTGGATCTCGTCGGCTTTGCGAGCAGTCCAGGCGTACTGCACCTCGCGCAGTCGCTGTTGTAGGAGGCGACGACAACGGAAGAAGGCAGCTCTGTGGTCGTCGGTAGGGTTGTCTACGTAGGCTTTGCGTTGTCGGTTCTTCTCAGCGAGCAGGCTGCTGATGACGGCGTCGTTGTTGTCAAACTAGTCCTTGTGTTGGCAATGTGCGCGACCGAGGACAGACAATGCCGTCGACTGGGCCGTGTCTCGCACTTGACACTGTCGGTTCTCCACGGAGGCGCTTTCGGCAGTGGCAGCGACTGGAAGATTGTCTAGCCGTTGAGCTAGCTCGTTGTTGAAATGAAGATGGTGAGCCGGCAAAGACAACAAGACAATATTCAGCTTACCTGGGGGTCAATTACCTTGTGGTCTCCTGCGAGGCTGTAGGCATATACGCATCTTCCAGACGACGAGGCGATGGTCAGTCCGCCCGTCAGCACCCGCGATCGTCTTTGTCAGCAGCACTTCCCGCAGCCGAGGATATAGTCCAGCAGGTGCCACCGACGCGATCGAGGATGCATCCAGGTGACCTTCTCTTGCTCCGACAGACAGAAGAACGTGTTTGTCAGGATGATGCGATGTTCTGCGCAGGTGCGAAGAAGGAGCAGGCCATTGTCATTGGAGCCGCGGAGACCATGGGGACCCAGCACTCCTCTCCAGGCAGTATGGTCTGTGCCGACGCGGGCGTTGAAGTCACCAAGAATTTGTCTCTTGCGGCGGCCTCGGGGCTGGTTATCGGCGGAGCCTAGGCACGGATGATGGTGGCGAATTTGCCTCCCAGAGAGGCAGAGGGAGGCTCATCAGGCGGTCGTCTATTCCCTGCGGCATACAAGCCAGTCATCCCACGATGTCGTTCCGGATGTTGAGGGCAACTCCCGCGTCTCGTCGCATTGCCCTGGGCCGACCGCTTCAGAAGAAGGTGTGGCTGGCACCAACCTCCTCCAGTTGGCCTTGTTCGGAGAATCGGGTCTCGCTGAGTTCGGCGATGTCCACCTTATAGCGCGCCGGTTTCCGAGCCACTAGCGCCGTCCGCCGTTCCGGTCGGTTGCTCCGCGGATTGTCTAAAAGTGAACGAACATTGTAGGCTGTCAGAGTGAGCGGACTCACCCTGCCAGACCGGCACGTGGGGCGGCGGGGGAGAAGAAGATGAGGTTGAAGAAGAAGTATGCGGGAGGAAGAGGAGGAAGAGGCAGAATGAGGAACAGGAACAACATTGTTGTTGTTCTTTCGACTTTGGTTGTTCCGACCGTGATTTTAGCGTCTGCGACCACGGTCAGCCTGCAGACGACGTGGTTCCACAGCAATCTTTAGGCTACCTTTTCTAGCCCCCCCCCCCCCCCGGAGGCAGGCAATGCCACTCTGAATAGGGCTGCCCTGTTGTGCCGGCACGGCCGAACTCCACTATGAGCCACGAATTTTGTTGCAGTGGAAGAACAACTCGAGTTTTCCAAAAGCTTATGACAATGCCGTAAGCCTGCGGTCTCCTGCTTTGCACCAGAAGAGGCCGCGTCTCGACATTGCCGATGCGGAGATCCATCCTACCGGCTGACCAGCGGCGTACCAGGCGGAGCCTTGTTTCGACCATGCCAATGCGAGGTTCCAGCCAACCGGATAAAAAGCGGCTTACCAGGCGGAGCCTCGTCACGACGGTGCAGATGCGCAGTTCCATCCCACCAACCGCCCAGCGGAGTCCGCGATACCCTGTGCGCGGGGCACAACGCGCACACGGACCACCCGCCCTCACCTGGTTTAGCCCGCCGGTCGAGGCGGTTACCGGGATGTGGCCACCAGGCAGAGCACAGCTACGTCGAGCCACAGATGAGAGTAGTGTGCCAGCAAATGGAAGCTAGGCGTAGTCTGCACCTGTAAGCAAGTGAGCTACCTACTTAGACCGTCACGAGGACGCACAACGGGACACCCCGACACCCCAACCTCCCCCACACACACACACACGCGCACAGACACACATACACACACCTGAAAGTTCGACCGTCGTGTTCGACGATGTCCACCGTATGCCCACAGCAGGTGGTGGAAGCAAGGACGGTGACTTGCGCGGGGGTTTATAGTGCCGGTAGACTTGCGCTGCATTTACCACACTCTCTCTTCCTCCTTCCCCACCTGATCCTCCTGTCTAGATAGAGTCAAGAAGACCGGAGATGGGGGAGGCCGCAGGTGGATGGCTTGTAAGGATCCGTACCTTGACGTTCCACCACACCCCCCTGTCCACGCAGCAAATGACCAGGTTTTTTTTTTCAACACAACGGAGATTGGAGGATGGCACGGCCGCACACGCCCTAGGCGTGCCGCCAACGCCCGGCTCGGATCCCACACAAAGGGAGTGCCATAAAGGCACATTAAGAAGGAACCATTGCAGCCTGACTCTTAGACCGCCAGTCGACCGCTCCACACAAACACAACACTGGGCCGACTGCAATGTCCAAGTTATCTCGTCAGTTGGCGACCTTCCAAGCCACGACTTTCAGCGCACCGTGATTGTTTCGATCGCGTCATATTGTGTGTAGTGAGGAGGAAAATGAGCTGAGTCGTCAACCTCACTCTCCCTTCTCATTCCCACACCTCAACCCTTGTCCGAGCCGGTCAGTTGACTGCAGCGGGCAATGGGCGCGGTGGCTGACATGGTCTAGTGACCTTGTCTGCGCGCGCGCCACATGCACAACCTGGCCCCCCAAACACACACATACACGCATACATACACGCACACACAATTTCGACCGTTGTTTCCGACGATGCCCACTGTGTGCTTCACAGTAAGATGATGCACGCACAGTGACTTGCGCGTGAATTAGTTTATAGTGGTTGTGGACTTGCAAACATTTATTGCGCTCTGCCCTCTTCCCTCACTTGTACCCCGGTGTTAAGACGGTGTTTAGAAGACCGGAGTGCGGAGTCTGCGGGGGGATGACACAGTCGAGCTCGCACCTTGGCGTCCTCCCCCATATCCCCTGGCCCAAACAGCAAATGACCAGGATTTTTGCCAACAACAGCAGCACCACAAGGACTCAGAAGTACGAGGAGGACTGGAAAGTCATGGTCACAACCTGTGTTCTCAGCGACGACGCAGGTGCGTCTACCGGCAGGGAACCAGGTGCCAATAACTTCCGGTACATACCAGGCTGCGAGGCCCATGGTTTGCAGATTCTGGCATAGCAGACGCTTAATAGGTGATGAATGACTTAATTTGTTTACATAAAACTGTTTAACTATCACGAGAACAACCGCAGTCCCAGTTTCTAAATATCAGTCTGTTTACACGTTAGAGGTCTACCGGTGATGCTAATACTGAACACTGATATGCCGCGCGCTACGGCGCATGCGACGGGAAGCCTTCACAGCCATTAATTCGGGTTTAAGGGGATGAAAAGCATCATCCAGAATTCGATCAGCAAATGGCTTGACCATTGTGAATTCCCAATGTAGTAAGATATCAGTTAAAAGACATTGGAAACATCGGCAGCAGAAATGAGCACTCAGAGGACACACGCGTACGAAATACTACAGAAAGTGGGACCTGATTTCCCCCTACAAGCAAAGCTCCGGAGACGGACGACAAAGGTAAAGCGTGTATTTTTTCTGATTCATTTAGGTCGGCCTTCACTCGAGAGTCCAGTTTTTCTCCTCCTCCCACTGTCCAACTAAACTTTCCTTTCTTTTTTATAAAACAAGAACGGCACTTTTCGTCGGCACTAGGTAGGACGGAAGCGCTCCCACTGGAACCCTCCATGCCCCCGGGTTCGAACCGAATACTTGAATGCACACTTCGAAGACTTGTCAGTGGATTGTGCGAACCTTTTTCTATTGTGTACCAGAATTCTTTTGGAGAAGGCGAACTCCCAGAAAATGAACAGATGCACTTATCACATCAAGCTGGAAGAGAGGATCATTACTGGGCTCCAAAAATTGCTGTACTACCATTTTGACATGCATCCAGTGCGAACTACTGGATCATATTGTCAAAAGAATTTAATGGAACACCGGGGGAAAACAGCATATTGTTAGAGACCAGGCATGCCGAGGACGCCCTTGCTTCACCAATGCTCATTATTTACATAAAATCTAAATGAAGGCTGTAGACAGAAGTTATTCAGTAGATGACAAACTTTTGACTTTAACAGGGCTTTTAAGACTTATCACTGTGATCTCCTTTACAAAGTATGTGAATGACAGGAATTCTAGGCCGAATGCTCAAACGTATCAATATTTTCTTGTCTTCCAGTGTAAAGAGTAGTTGAAAAATCTATCTCACAGTAGAGCATAGGTTAAGAGATGTGCTCCACTGTGTCCTGTTTTATATCAACTACTCTTCCTGATTTGCGTGAATGACTGCACCAGGGAATTGGGTTTCGAGGCTGTCATGGTCGTTGATGATATATAAATATGGGCTAAAGTCAGTTGTGTAAAAGAATCAAAAGGGCTACAATCGAACACCGACAAACTAGGTGTTTGGTTGAGAAAGTGGGATTTGAAGTCTAATGTGACCAATTTCTCATTTCCGCACGTGGACGCCGGCATACATGTATTCTATTAACGGGACTGCATTAAAATGTGGAAACACAATTACAGCTGCTTGTGGACGCAACCGAAAATAATGTCTTCAGGTCCAGAAGGCATCTTCTACCTTGTTTTAGATTTGACGTGAGTTTAAATCATTTCCCCTGAACTCTTAAGAAGAAATTTCGGCGTCTTCCTGAGATCCCATTTGATTTGGGAGATGAAATTCTGGACACCGTCAATAGGGAAAGATTTTGACCTCGCGGAGCAATGAAGTTTGTGTAAGGTCCTAAGAATCTAGCGTAATAAGATGGATTGAAAGAGTTTGACTTATTCCGTCTATCTTACAGGCAAGCAAGTTGTTGTCGGCTCTAGCATTCCGGACTATCCACGCCCAATTTTGCCTCTTAGATCGGAGGACCCCCTATGCGGTCGCCCTTACAAATTCAAAAAGTGAACTTACACCATTAGATCGGAGTCTAACCATGCAATTTGACACCAGCTGAAATGATGACGGCAGATAGTATTTTAAAATAGGCCTTTGCCAGATCGCAATTCGTAGCCCGGAATGTGGAAGCCACTTGGTAGTTCCACGTTTTACGGGACCGGTGGGAATGAGGGGTTTATAGAGTGGGGTAAATGAAGGGGGAGAGTAAGAGGACAAACGGCAAAAATTAAGAGGTAATGTTTTCATGGGCAAGTGGGGAAGCCTTCCTGAGCTGAAATTACGGCAAATAATCAAATGAAGACCTGTTGCACGTAGTGCAGCCTGCAGAAGGTCTATGCGGTGGAAAGAGATTGTAGTATTCGAGCCACTCAAGGGTATCGTCTTGCCTTCTTCTCCTTTTAGGCGACAGTCCGTGCTGGCTTCCTTGGTATTCTTATCCGAACGAGTGCGTCCTCGGCGGGAACCCTGGGAATCAGAGTGAATTAAGTCCATCATCTGCAAGGGCAAGCGTGCACGGATAGAATGGATCGACGGTGGATAAAGTTTATTAAAGGGAATATAACAACAGAAGAAATTTAATCTCGTTCCGTCTTCTCCTCGTCCTCCACTCTACGGACGGTCTCTCGACGGGCCCCCTCACACTCCTCGACGGCGGTCACTAAAACAAAACCGTTCAGAACTTCAATCAGTCAAAATTGTACAGGAAGATCATAGCAAGGGCACATTAAAACAACAGGGTCAGTACGTCCTCTACACGCCCCCCCTCTCAAGAGGTGGCTCTGTCCTCAGAGGCGCTGCCTTGAGGGGCTGCTGGTGACTTCCACCTCTTCGGAGGGTTGAGGGACCAGGTGAAGGGGAAGGATCGGAAGGGTGTCGGCGGTCGCGTTGGGTAGTCGGCCTCTATAAGGTTTCAGCTTATCGTAGTGGACGGTAAGGACGGGGCCTCCGGCCGAATGCGCGTCACGTATGGTATAAGTCGAAGGGGGAAAGAAGTCAAGGATGACGAAGGGACCCTCCCACGGATGGAAGAACTTTGCCGAAGTCCCCACCGGTGGAGTCGGACGGTAGCGCAGTACCAGGTCGCCTGGACCGTAAGGTGCGCCGCTGACTTGTTGGTCGAAATAGGCTTTCTGTCGTGTATAGGCTGACTCTAGGTGAGTTCGCGCTAGATTGTGCGTGGTCCTCAAGGTTTCCTGCAACTCTAGGACATAAGCATCTGGCTGATAGTCGTCGCAGATTGGGAGCGGGAGTTGAGAGTCAGAGGGTAAGCGGAAATGGCGTCCGGTTAGCATGAAGAAGGGGGCGTAGCCAGTCGAGGTATGGACCGCGCATCTATATGCCATCATGGCGTATGGCAGCCGAACGTCCCAGTTGTGGGGGTTGTGGTCTTCCGCGAAGGCTTTTAACAAGTTAATGATGGTCCGGTTCGTTCGTTCCACTTGGCCGTTCCCTTCGGGGTGAGCCGGTGTGGTGTGCGTTTTATGGATTTGAAGTAGGTCACAGACGTCGCGCACTAGGCGGCTCTCGAAGTTCGCCCCGCAATCGGAATGTAAGGAGATGGGGGCTCCGAAGCGGCAAATCCACGTGGTGAGAAGGGCGGTAGTGACCGATGCTGCGTCCTGTCGTGGGAGGGCGACTGCCCCTGCCCACTTAGTGAAGTAGTCAACCATCACTAATATATAGCGGTTGCCAGTCAGGGTGATGGGCAGGGGTCCGATCACGTCGATGCCCACCCGTTCAAATGGGAATCCTGTTGCCATAGGTTGGAGGGGCGCCCGGCGTCGGGGGTTGGGTCCTTTAAAGGTGGCTCACATGGGGCAGGTGTTACAGAAAATGGAGACTTGTTCTCTGAGGCGTGGCCACCAGAAGCGTTGTCTCACCGCAGCCTCCGTTTTCACATGACCTACATGGCCGAGCTCGCGGTGCAGATCGTCTAGAATAGGCAGGACTAAGCTGCCGGGGACAACCAGTCGAGGCTGACTATGTGTGTCGTCCTTGAAGAAGAGGAGGTCATTTTCCATGAGTAGGTGAGCCCAATGACTTCGTATGATTCGCGCATAATCAGATGAACCACGTAGTTCGGAGTCAGTCGGGCGATGTCTCCCGTTGAGCTGGTGGTCATAAACTATGGCTGTATCGGGATCTGTGCTTTGAGCGATAGCCCAATGGTGGCGAGTTGGCTCACTGATGGTAAGGGTGGATATGAAATGGAAATCCTCCGTTGGCAGCTTGTCACCCGTGTCTGCGGGGCGGCGGGACATGGCATCCGCATTGGCGTGTTTCTTCCCTGGACGGAACTGAAAACTAAAATCGAACTGTTGCAGTACCTCTTGCCATCGTGCAAGCTGACCTTCGGCGTCCTTCATCTTCTGCAGCCACTGTAAGGCCTTATGGTCCGAACGGATGATGAAGTGGCGACCAAGTAGAAAAGGTTTGAACTGCTTCACGAACGTAATTAGTGCGAGTAATTCCCTACGATAAGTACAATAATTTCTTTGGGGTTTAGTTAGGGTTTTACTAGCGAAGCACACAGGTCTTTCCGCTCCTGTCTCGTCGCACTGGGATAGAACACCGCCGATCGCAAATCCACTTGCGTCGGTATCGAGGATAAATGGGGGAGTGTCGAGTTGGGTGTTAGGTAACATCAAAATAGGGGCTGTTGTAAGCCGCGTTTTAAGCTCATCGAATGCGGTCTGACACTCCTCTGTCCACTTAAATGTTCGTCCTTTCTCCGTGAGGCGGTGCAAGGGGCGTGCTATTTCTGCAAAATGAAGAATGAAACGTCGATAATAGGAAGCCAGGCCGATAAAACCTCTAACGTCGGTAGCGGTCGTTGGAATGGGCCATTTTTTTATGGCATCTATTTTATCCGAGGAAGCGTGTATGCCCTCCGTGCTAACCTCATGTCCGAGGAAGGTTACTTTGTTACGTAGGAACGTGCACTTTTGGGGATTTAAACGGAGTCCCGCGTCGCGAAGTGCCGTAAGGACCGCTCTCAGATTCTCATTATGTTGGCTGATGGACTTCCCAAAGACAATGACGTCGTCTAGGTAAATTAAACAGTGGCCAGGATATAAGTGCGCTAATACCGATTGCATTAGGCGTTGGAATGTTGCGGCGGCGTTACAAAGGCCGAAAGGCATAGTTTCAAATTCAAAAAGACCTTGAGGAAGAATGAAGGCGGTTTTTGGTCTGTCTTTAGGTTCAACCTCGACCTGCCAGTAGCCTGACTTGAGGTCGAGTGTGGAAAACCACCGTGCCCCCGCAAGGGCATCTAGGGTAACATCAATGCGAGGGAGTGGGAAAGAGTCTCGAGTGGTGACGGCATTAAGACGGCGATAATCGATACAAAAGCGCAGTTTCCCGTCCTTTTTCGGCACCAGGGTCACTGGAGATGCCCAAGGTGAGCGCGACGGGCGTATCACGCCTGAATCAAGCATCATCTGTATCATTTCGTTTACCTCCGTCTGAAAATGTGGCGGGATACGTCGTGGGGGCTGCCACACGGGTTTAGCGGAGCCGGTGTCGATTGCGTGTCTTACGAGTGTTGAACGCCCTAACGAACGTTCGTCCCACGCAAAAACGTCCTCAAAGGTTGCCAGCAGGAATTTCAGATCCATGCGGTCTTGTTCGTCGAGCACTACATCTGCCGGTAAGATGCTGTCTAAGTTAGTGGGTGGTAGTGCGACCGCCGCGGAGATCGAAGCACAGATTTCGTCTTCCTGGGACACCAAATCGGCGGGGCGGGACGGTGTGGGCTCAGATCCGAAACGAAGGACGCGCTCACGAATATCCAGATGGCAATTAAACTGGACAAGAAAATCAACCCCAAGTAAAATATCCCACGTAACGTTTGGGCTAACGACAAATGTGTGTTCTTTAGTGCTAGTAGGGAACGCTAACGGCAAATTAATTAGACCGATTGTGGACATCCGCTCTCCGTTTGACGTCAGCAGGCTAGGTTGTCTTTTGGGTTTAACAATGCTGTCCCTGCGAATAGGCGAAAGTATATCAGATCGGACTAGGGAAACTGTAGCACCAGTATCAACTAGGGCCCTAACAGGGCGGTTGTCAACATGCACTAAAGTAAAGAATGGCAATGTGTTAGGTGACTTTGAAGAGCATATAGGGACAGACAGAGTACCGGAATCCGCTTCGTCCGCGCGGTGTGCTGCTGTCGAGTATGGCGGACGGTTTCCAAAGCCCTTACGAGTGTGAAACGTCGTGTTGTTGTTTGCCTTAGAGAAACCGCGTGAGCTGGGCCCTTGCCCAGGTCGTCGGTAGCCAGGGGAAAAGGACGAGCCTCCAGGAGGGCGATGGTAAACTGGCGCTGGGGAGTTCGGCTCTAACAACCGATTGACTCTCTGTATGGCGCTCTCGAGGTCAGCCGGGGGGTTTAGGCGTAATGAATACGCCACCTCATCGGAGGCCAGGCCGCATTTAAAGTGATACAGGACGACCTGGTCTCTATCGGCCGCCGAGAGGGACGGGTAAGCGTCGGAGGCCAGCCGCGTTAGATCCGCGGCGAATTGCTCAGGTGTTTCCCTGAACTGACGACGACGGTGTAGCAGGCGGTGGATCGCGTCCTCAATCGCCAATCTAGGCTGGAACAGTCTCTGAAGTTCGTCACACAAGGTGTCAAAAGGTGTGGAGACTGACAGCCCGGCGTCAAGGGCCTTGTCCAGTTGGTCGTCTCCCAAATATTTAAAAATTAATCGGGAGCGTTTGTCCTGTGGCACCTCGTTCGTGTGGAAGCAGAAGCGCCGTAACCAGCTGCGGAAATCGCTCCGTCCATCAAAGGATCGAAAGGAAGTTGGGATGGGGTCGGGGACCGTCGTTGACGACGAAGAAGAGGCAGTTGGGTTCGCCGTAGTCGCTGCCACCAATGTAGTATTCGAGCCACTCAAGGGTATCGTCTTGCCTTCTTCTCCTTTTAGGCGACAGTCCGTGCTGGCTTCCTTGGTATTCTTATCCGAACGAGTGCGTCCTCGGCGGGAACCCTGGGAATCAGAGTGAATTAAGTCCATCATCTGCAAGGGCAAGCGTGCACGGATAGAATGGATCGACGGTGGATAAAGTTTATTAAAGGGAATATAACAACAGAAGAAATTTAATCTCGTTTCGTCTTCTCCTCGTCCTCCACTTTACGGACGGTCTCTCGACGGGCCCCCTCACACTCCTCGACGGCGGTCACTAAAACAAAACCGTTCAGAACTTCAATCAGTCAAAATTGTACAGGAAGATCATAGCAAGGGCACATTAAAACAACAGGGTCAGTACGTCCTCTACAAGATAGGACGACCTAACGACGCTGCCATAGCAACCAATAGGCGTAAGGCAGCGAACGGCAAGGTTATTCCGCAAAAGGTGCCCGAAAAGTCCCCCGCGTGACGATGAGTGTTAGTGAACCCGCAGAGGAAAGTAAATCAACGGACAGTGAAGCCCAAGTACGGTAAGTATAAATAAGTCTGACGGAAGAGACCGGTGAGAAAGCCGGTGAGACATTATGACTATCTGTTTTCGCATGGCAGTCATTAGTATGCAAAATAATTGGCGTGCGGTTATGCTGTTGCAGAACACAGACTGCAAAAGAGGCACGGAAGGCTGCTCTCCAGACTAGTAAACCGTCGGAGTATGCGCAGATCCTTGATACGATCCAGTCGCGCTATCTGGTGTGGTATTTGCGAGCGAAAGGATTGCTGGCTTCCGAAGTGAGATGTCGATGCCAAACACCCATGCGAATGCGAATACTACGTCAGCACACGGATGGTTTCGCCTTCAGATATACAAAACTAGTAATATAACGCTGTCAAATGGTTCACAAATGTGGTACAAAAAGGCAGTAAGAATAGCTTCAGTGTTCGAAGGAAGCCATCTGATTTTACCAAAAGCAGTAAGAAGCGATCCTGCCTTTTTGGAGGGAACAGGCGTAATCAGATGTGTCGCGTTGGTGGGCATTAGTAGAAATGCTGCTGTGGAGTGGTATGACATTTGGCGGGATGTCTGTACTAAAGCCCTCCTCTTGGAGATTAACCAATTAGGCGGACCGGACGTAGAAGTCCAAGTTGATGAGACCATGATAACAAGACGGAATTACAATGTTAGGCGCGTGAAGAAGCAGTACTGGAGTTTGGGTAAGGATTTTCTATTGGGTGACTATTTCTAGGCGTGTATGATACAATCACAAGGAAGGTCATCTTCGAACAAATCAACGATCAAAGCTGGGCCCCCTGAAAGCCGTAATAAAGATATGGCTAGCCCCCTGCAGAATAATAATGACGGACCAGTGGAAGGCGCATGCCCGCCTGCCAAAGGGAGGCTACCGTCATCTGACCGCAAATCCCTCAGCCAATTTTGTGGATCTAACCACGAGGGAGATTACCAAAGCCATAGAAACATAGTGGAGTAGGCTAAAAATGAAATTGCGCGAACACGGACCCATTAAGGGCTGGAAGGTATGGGCACACATCGACGATGCCCAGTGCCGCCTGTGGTACGGTGTGAAGGTAAGTAACTTGCCCGAAGCCTGGGAACGGTTCCTGTCCCATGAAGCGCAAGCGCATCCGGTCGGGCAAGGCAGCAACGGCAGCCATAACGTAATGCAGATGATGCGAAAGTAAGCAAGAAATTAGAATTGAAATTGTACGTTTAGCTGAATATGCATAAATGAATGAATCGAACATGCAGATGGTAAGCTGATAACAAGACTATCTAAATATCGCCAAGGAAAACAAACGCCGTCGAGGATATCGGTATTTTGTGCACTTCAATAGTGAAATCTTCCCTTTACCTCCAAATTTTCTCCCCTACGGTCGGTAAAGCCACCCTGAATGCCCAGACCGGGTACGAATAGATGATAGTGCACTCATTGTACAATCGTGAGGATAGCCTGAAACACACAGTCAAGCCGACCGCGTAATTTTTAAAGTTAAACTGAAAGTTAAGCGTCCAGGTGGGCGCCTACCCTCCAACCCGTGGAAAGTCGAGGTAGGCAAGATCGGCCGAACAGCTGTCGTGGAAATTCTTTGAAACAAAACCCGACCACAGAGGTAAACGGAAGGCGGCTAAGGAAGACCACACAGAAAGCCACTGGGTTAATTAGAGGTCTATTCCGATAAAAGGTAAGGCCTAGTGCGTCTCCGTGTCCGGGGAGCCATCGGAAGCCGCCCTCGGTTCGACAGAGTTTGCGAGGCGGTAGACGGATAATGAACGGAGTGGGACCACCGTAACAGGTATACCGCAGTGGCAAGTAGAAGGAGAAGGTGCACTGATCAAGCAAGCGTGCGACGAACCCAGGCGCCCAACGCCTACGCACCAAGCTAACCCACATTGAAATCGCGCGAGTACTGCGTGGGAGGTAGCAAGGGTAGCAGAAAATCATGTCTTTAATTTAGGTCAACCCCTGTTTGAGGGAGCACCAATAGCCATGGTAGAACCAGCGCTACTGGAATGGAGCAGAACACGTAGGCTAGTGCAGCACGAACCCCGGGGTAGAGAAGTCCCAGCCATTTGCGAAGTTTGCCACCGATGCCCATGACCCTCGACTTGTTCAGGAGACGCTGGTGCGAAGCACTGTCGAGCGCCTTCCGGAAATCAAGATAGGCCACATGCACAGTGTATTTCGCGTCCAGTGTTCTTGTCCAACTTTGCATTGTATATAGCAAGTTCGTTACACATGATCTTCTCCTACGGAAACCATATTGTGCACTGGACAAGAGGTTGTGGGTTTCCAAATAAGAATCAACTCCTTTTTTATGGTTTTCTCCATCACTTTGCGGCAGATTGATATCAGACTGACGGGTTTGTAGTTCTGCGCAAAAGCGCGACTACCGCTTTTGTAAAGGGGTCTAATGTAGGACGTATTCCCGTCCGTGGGAAAGATTCCAGCATCAAACGATTTCTGGCACAGCAAGGATAGTGGCTTGGCCAGCTGCTGGGCAAACTCAAAGAGCAGCTTTGCTGGGATCTCGTCCGGACCGGGAGATTTACATTCCTTCAGGCATTTTAGTTCTTCCAAAATCGCTTCTTCTCAAAACGCAATATTTTTGATAGTAGGATCGCCCATGTCCTCATAACTAGTTGGAATAAAGTCTGCTTCTCTTGTGAAAGCGGATTGGAAAAATTGATAAAAATGCTCAGCTTTATTTGTACTGTCCTATATCTCCAAACCGTCATCATTCCTCATGACAGGAATAGGATTCCTGTTACATGCGCTCTTCCGCAAACAGCTGTAGAGCGATTTTGGATTCTGTATGGCTTGGTGGATCAAATTACCCTTAAAATCCCGTCGTTTCTTGAAAATCAGGCTTTTCACCTTATTGCTTCGCTTTTTATATTCTGTAAACGGTGCATTGTTGTTGTTTTCGCGAAATTTCTTCTACAACCTTCCTTTCTTGTTGATCTCCCTTTCGAGTTCTCGTGCTAGCCACTGAGGGCGGTTGGATGTCTAAGGCTTTTATAAGGAACAGTGACATTTCATTAGATGCAGCAACTGATTCTTAAATAAATTTCAGTCGTCGTTAACGTTTCCGGAGAAGAGAACATCCCAGTCTATTTGAGATGCCTCAGCTCTCATTTGACAAAAGTCCCCTTTCCATATATTCGGCCTCATATCGTCTTTTGTATACTGTTCAGAATACAGCTCGTATTCCCATAAAAGTACGGCGTGATCATTTCGAACGAGCGGGGGTAGTAGAACACCTCGTCTGTACTGTCAGAATCTTTGGTGAAGACGAGATACAGACAACTGGCTTGTTGTCCACCACGTACTCTAGTTGGAAATAGAACACGTTGCGTGAGAAGAGCTTCTAGGGTTGTCTTTCGTAGACGGTAATCGAAGGCATTCTTCAAGCACTTCACTTGCATATCGCTCCATTGAATGCAGGGTGCATTCAAATCCCCATCAGAACAACGTCTGTTCGACTAGAGATCTCTTTTATGCCTTCCAGTAGAAAATCATCTGGGTCGGGATCCGCCTGAGGGGGGGGGGGGACGGTAGATAGTTACGACTTCAGAGGGCTGAGACCCCGTACATTTACAGTCAGCCAAATCGCCTCTGTGTCTTCGGCAGTCTTTTCGGTCGTCTCACAAACTATTAAGTTGCTCTTGATATACATGGCAACTCCTCCACCCCGGCAGTCTCTCCTATTTCTCCTAAACAGTTGGTTTCCTGTTAGTGCTACCTCGCAATGGCCTACGTTCCCTGACAGCCACGTTTCTGTTATTGCTATAACATTCAGAGGCGTATCGGCTACCTGTATTCTCAGTTCGTCATGCTTTGAAAACAGACTCTGCGCATTGGTGTAAAAGAATTTAGGTTTGCAACATTGGACAGTGCTTTGTTCGGTTTGTCTCAGGCTTGCCAATATTATGTTGCTGCCGCCATCATGATGACTGGCTGGTTCCAAGGTAACATCGCCTTCCTCTCTATCATTCGCTCCCTGGAAATACCCAAATTGTTCTCTTCCGCTGCAATTCTCCTTTTCAGCGCCATCACTAATTCGCGCCGTTTCAGACTTTCCGCTGGAGAATAGTCCGACTGAAAAAACTTCCTTGTGAGTTTCCGAAGTTGTTTTTCCTGGACAGAAGTAAGCTAGCCTCCTCTTTACTGCCCAAAACAATTTTCAGATGTCATGGACGCACAGTTTCCGATTGCTTGCTCACCTTATTTCCGATCCTGAAGGCTGCGCAAATGGTCACCTTTTCATTCGAATTAAGCTTTTTGTGCAGTAGGTGTTGGAGCATATGAAGGTCAGCGGAAATCTTCGCCTTCGGGATAGGAGCATTCGACTCCGATAGGTCCTGGACGTCTACGCAGTGCTGACGATCAAGAGGTTCATTTTTTCTGTTTACAGTGGTCTCGTCAACTGAAGGTCTCAGGAGATCCCCTGGAGTCTTCTGGGGTTTTATACTCCTGTTGTGGTGCTTACCCATTCCACCTTGCCACGAGCTTGTTTCCTCACTTCCAACTGAGGGTTCTACTGAACACGCGGAATGACTGAGAGAAATTTATGGGGCGCCTCGGTTGTCCTCCAATAGAAACAACAGACTCCGTTGCTATTTTCCCATCGTCCTGGGTATCGGCGTCCTTGCATTGAGGTTTTTCACAAACATTGTGCTTTGGCTGTTTTTGAGTTTTGCTCCTTGCTTTTGCCTTGCTAATTCGGGCGCTGTTAACCACGTTTTATAATAATAATCTTAGATAATTATATCCTAGATAGCTGTCAACCGATCCACTCAGAACGATGTTCACGTTGAAGTAAAATTTTCCTAACGCGGCCTCTACGACCCTCAAACTCAGATGGGGTCAGAACCGCAAATAAAGCAGAGGCGAATGGGGATCGTAATCGACTTTGGCGTACATCATCCTCAGATCATGGCAACCATATATTACTTTTCGGGGCACGAAACCACTGCGATTCCAAGAGAGTCGCGGGATTGAGGTCAATGCCTGATCATCCAGGGACTTCCCGAATCCCCGACCAGTACCTTCAAAGAGCGGATCTCGGCAGACCTGCAACTCTTCCAATATCTACTCAACGAACTTCTGCAGCAAAATGATAAAGTTACGGTGCTCGAGGCCTCTGAACTTGGAAAGCGCTCAATCGACATATCAGAGCCTTTACGTTCCTAACCACTCACGGTTATACTAGCTAATCAAGAACAAGTAGGACTTATTCTTTTACAACGATCCCGAATAAAAGACACCGACCGCGGCATTTTTTACAGTCGGACTACACACCGTCAATGCGAATAAAGCGTCGACAACTAGTTCTCAACTGAGAACAAGACTACGGAATGACGAGACGGATCTCGTGATCCTCAGCGACCAGATCATGCAGCGCCCTCCCCTAATTTGTTTGACGCAGCAAATTCTAGTGAGGTCAGAATAGGTTCCTTAAATCAAAACTCAAGCAGCACCGTAAAAAAACTCCCCAAAACTCTGAAACTAACATTTTATCAAAGCAACGTGCAGAGTATACTGTCCACGTTAGACGAACTGAAGACCCACATCTGTGAACTTTCCCCCGAAGTTATCTCTTTGACAGAAACCTAGCTGTCTAAAAACTTGGATAAACGCGAATTATCGCTACTAGGATTTCAGTTGTTTGGAGGAGATAGGAGAGGGGGTCAGGTAAGAAGAGTCGTCACTTACGTAAAATCGGACCTGCTTGTGTCAGAAAAAACAATATTTTGCGTGCAGCGCCTAGTCTATCTGGCTCAATATAAGGGTAGCGGGATCATATAGCCTTGAAGTTCTGAGCATCTATCGACCACCGAGGGGTGACGCCGAGGCTGACGCTCGTCTGTTAGAGGAGCTAGGATGATTTGTTGTCCGGTCTGGCGTCCCCATCATGGGCCACTTTAATGCAATGCTCATTGACTGGAGTTGCTATTCACCCGCGGCACAGAACTAGTTTTCGACCGACGTTTATTGGACATGACATCCAGGTGATTCTTCAGTCAACACGTCCTAATTCCTACGAGGATTCATGAGGTACAGCAGTCCAGCCATTTGGTCCTGGTGCTCACGAAATCTCTGGACAGCATTGATGAGGCGCAAGGTCTGCCTCTTCTAGGTCGAAACGACTACGTCGTACTTCACTAGGGCTATTCAATTTTTCTGTGCCTAAACAGCCCACCTAAATCATAAGAAATATTAGGCGTGGTGACTTCGATCAAACGAAGACCGAAATCAACAAAATAGACTGGAATCAGTTTTTTCTGCTAACATAGCGGAGGATTAGAAATGGTTCAATTGGCTATTGCATGTTCTCCTGAGTAACCACTGCCCGCCTTCACGGAAGTGGCCAAACGATTGACCCCCAGTGGCTGACTCAGATGTTAAAAAAGGCAGCAAATAGAAAGCGGAGATTGTAACAGAAATCTCTCAGTGATAGGAATCCTGTATACATAAACGCATACAAAGCACAGAGGACTATATTCAAGCGACTTTCCCTCAGGGCGAGGCAAAATTTTCAAAAAGGCATATGGTATCGTGCTGTGGAGTATCCGAAATTATTCTACAGTTGAATAGGAAGCAGCACGCGAAACATGGATCCTGTCCCCCTGCCGAAAATAAGCGAAGACCTAAATGTTAATAAAAATGGAGTGAAGCATGAACATCTTCGACAATATTTCAAATCCAGCTTTACGAATGAAGGTGCATTTACTCCTCCCAACTCAGACTTCGATGAGGGTCCAACAATTGAGGCTGTATCTTTTGACGAGCTGATTACGCTTAAGGAGTCGAAATCACCGGGTCAGACGACATACCGTCTGAGTTACTGAAGGAGCTCGCTGCTGAACTAGCCAAACCACTGTCCATGTTTTCCCAAGCCTCGTTCAAAGCCGGCTTTTTACCCGCCGATTGGACATATGTGCGGATCACGCCGCTATATAAACGTGTCAGCAAGTCCTCTGCAAACAATTTCAGACCAGTTAACCCCACTTCCATGGGCTGCAAAAGTATGGAAAAAATAATTCAGCGAGAGACAGTACACTTCCTAGAACAGCATAATCTATAATCTGATGCGCATCATGGGTTCTATAGCTGCTGGTCTTGCGTGACGAACTTGCTGTACTGTTTGGAACGTTGGACTTCGGCAGTTGATTAAGGCAACACGCTACAAGACGCTGCCTGGACGGGCACTTGTCACTTTACGTAACAATGAAGCTGCTTAGTATGCCACGGTCTTACAATCCAGACGTACCCAAGAACTCGTGGACGCTATTGCATGCCCCTCGACCATGAATTAGTAAGCCCCTGAAGAACGACTGCGATATATATACTTGAGCCTTGGACGAGGTCTGCTGGACGAGCTGCGCTGTCTGCCCGCAACCAGAATTCCGGAAATTTGCGTTCAATTGCATATTGACGTAATGAAGATTTCTAAGGGTTCCAGTTTAAGCCTGTGGCCTATACTTGGTCGTATTGACCGTTTGGTAGTTGACCAGCCTTTCTTTGTCGGCGTTTTCTCTGGTGATGGCAAATCCGACCCCTTGGGGGGCCACGTGTCTTAATTGAATCGTTGGGGCTTTCGGATTATTTGTTACACTTATGTTACCTTTTCCAATTTTTCAGATATTTAATTTACCTGTAAACATATGGGGAGTTGAAAGATGCAGACATACATTTTCCTCAAATAAGCTGAACTGAACTGATATATACAACAGAAAGTTTTATGTCTATGATAAATTTACATATTTTTCATACCACTTCACCATGATTAGCCATCTTGGTGATAAATAAACTATGCGACTAAATTTAAGCTATTACACAAGGACTGAGAATTTGGCAACCAGCAAAGAACCAGCCAATGTCATTTAGCAAACATCCAATTTGGTCAACTGCCAGCTATTTTAATCCCTGGCCAAAATCAAAGTTTCGTGAAAGGCGGGACATTTGTGACCTCTCAATTACCAAACACGAAAATACAACCCGTTTACTTCCTAGCCTGTTGGTTTTTCAAATTCACGCTGTTATCACGTCCCGGAAATCGGTTTTTAAAACATAAACTCACATTTTGCGCAGCGTTGACTAAGCAGAAACTCAATATATTGTCAAAGTGCAACTAAAATGGATCCCTCATAAGGACAACTTTTTATTAACGACCCGTCAGGGTCCCGTCATCTTGGGTCCTTTTCGGGTGTTTCAAGGGGACCGACAGCGCCCACGTATTTCTACAATAAACTTATTAAATTCTCTATCAGCATTACAGGCAAAGTGTGTTAGATGACCTTAACACACTCGTGCCATTGCAGCGCATCGCATTGAAAGTTGTTATCGGATAAAAAACGGCCATAGGCTTCATCTAAGGAATTTCCCTGTAAAAATGAATAAGACACTAACAACTCTTTGAGTAATGTAACATTCTAGAGAAAAGATTAAATGACGGTCTAATAGGGCATTAAATGATATATTATTTGCAGAAACCTTAAATAGACTACCTCTGTTGGTTTTTGGTAACACAGAATGCGCGGATCTGGATGCGGCATTTTTTTCGTTGTATGGCTATGAACAGAAGGGTTAAAGACGGGCTCTGCACAATTTTTCCCTTACAGGAAAAACACGGAGGGACGAATGCAGTCTAAATTTAAAACTGCTACATCTTTTGTGGGAGTGTGATATCGGTGGATTTATCAATGTTGGTGTCTTCCAAGCCTTATAGTTAATAAAATGAAAGGGATGTTTTTTCCTATAATTTGAATTAATTGCCTCAGAAATCGTTCAGCGGATTCTGCAATGGCTTGGCGTTGTTTAAAGCGACGTGTCCCCGGTCTAATTGTTTTGGGTTGTCGGGTGTCTCCAGATGAACGAGTTTTTCGATCCGATCTTCGATCCCGTTGAGCAAGCAATGGGCTTTCCTTGTATTCGCCCTTTTGCCTTTGATTTGTTAGACTCATTTCCTTCAGAACGTCGACAAAGCCCACGGGAGGAGATGATACGTTCAGAGGCCGTAAGTATTGTATATGAACCAAGTGATTGCCTCCCCTTCTCCTTATCCGTCTCGTTCAGTCCTGTGGATATTCTAGGTCACGCAGTTGAACGATTTCAGTTATTAAAATGAATCCGGACTTGACCTCGTGTCGCTGTGTGGTCAGCTGTGGAAAATTAGTTTTCAAAGTTCAGTACTTAATCCCATGTATGCACTCCCCCTGCACTTTAAAAAGTCCAGGTAGATCATAGCTGTTCGGCTCCTGCACTCTACTCAGATCGGTGCTTTTAAATCCCGTCCGCTCTCACTGCCATCCCTTTCAGTCCAACAGACACTAGCGTTTAGCTCAGGATCCCCGACATTAAAAATCATCGCAATAAGCATTGCTTTTATCTTTAAATTAACTTGTCACTAAGTGTTGGACAGGCCTTTTTGTCTGTGGAGAATCGCATTTCTTTTCGCACCCAATCAGACTAGATACCGGAAAACCCGTAATTCTCTACCAGACGTACATGCAAAGTGCATTTTTTGTCAAATTTCGGAAGACTATTTAATGTATTAAAGCGTCGGAAGCAGACGGAGGACGTCATGCGAAAGTGCCAGTTTTTCTGTTTGAATAGGTCCTAAGTGGGAAGTAGCTTACTACCGCGCATAATTCGATGTGGTATTATATTCCTTACCAATTGCTGTTTCGATCTCGTTTAGATCGCCTTTTCTTCCCAAAGACACATTTATGTGTATCAGCTAAAATATCTTCAGTTGCGGTGCCTGCGATGGACGACATGTCAAAATTGTGTATGCCCCAGTCTATGCCAACCGTCATTACCCGTAGTGCTGACATGACCGGATCTATAGTCTGCTACGCGGCCGAACCTTTGTGGCTTGTAATGCCAATATAGTTCACCACCGAATTTTAGGCCTTCTCAGCCACACGGAACTCATGGTGGTTGTAGTCTTGTAGCGGGCAGCCATCGTGGCCGGTCTGACGTAATTTTTCAAGACCTCGCCGCCTCAAGATCACTCACCCTTTGCAGTGGGCCGTTCCAGACGCTCTGACCTGAAGTCACGCGACCGACAGCTCGGACATACCTGTGTCCGCACAGCCGCAGCTGCCCATGAGGCCTCTTCAACGCACTGCCCCCTGCAACTACAAACTAAGCCACTGAAACACCACCCCTCGGCAAATTCAACACACGCTGATTGGACACTACTTGAGCTTGACTCACGAACCTACAAAAGCGGCTGCCACCACTGTCCCAGGGACTCTCAGGCATGACTGGACGCAGCCAACACCAACTCTGGCTTTGCCGGAGGCCACTGCTGCCTGAGAGGACAATCCGGGTTATGTATACATTAAACGCCTCATACTGCTGCCTTCTGTCTTTTCCTTGCAATCTGCGATTTGACCTGGTGGTAGTAGCGCACAGACTTCACACTCACACCGCTTGGTCTGACCAGTCTTTCGGACAATAGACACCAGAAAACGGCAAAAAAAGAATATAATCTGCAAAATGTCATGACCGGTGTTTGTTTCAACCTGCGCAAACTAATTACCAACCTTAGTATCCACGACCGTCACTGGTCGAACTACGCATACTTATAGTACTTATGGCTCTCAAGATTTTCTGCTTCGCGGGCAACATTCAGACCTTATACGGGCTACTGCGGCTTCGACAGTTTCCTCGCCTGCACAACGGCAAGAAGTTGGTTGGTTGGTTTTGTTCATTAATTTTTATGGTCCTTGTCGCGCCCAACCTGACAAGCCTCAACAATTCTGCGGCTCTCATGTGCGAGACGTGCGACAAATACCAAGTGACCTCAGTCCACTTTTTTATTCAACAACCTTAAAGTCCTTTTTTCTTCATATATAATCATGTCCACCCGTCTGTCCAAAACCTGTTAATCTCTATGGTAATCACTGTGTACTGGAGAACCGTTTTTGCTGAAAGTTTTGAAAGTTATTTTCAAAATAAAGCAGTCATCTCTCTCTCTCTCAAAAAAACCAAACACTGTAGGTCTTAACGCCACCCCGCCTTGACGGACTGTGTCGAGTCAGGTTTCACCCCTTCAATTCGAGGTAAGCGGCATCGCGGGATCTAGGGTAGCAGTATTAAACACGTACAGAGATCAACGAAGACTTTGCCCAGCCATTCCCAGTTGATGTGTCAAGAAATAGACTTGCTGTCGCAGCGACTACTTAATGTCCACTTCTGGACGTCATCGACATTAACAAACTTATTGTTCTCAGGCATCGTTGCTATAAAACATGAAATTTTCTATCATTTCCCACGCACACGACTTAGTATTCACTGCTTTGATGGTGAACTGGGCAGGCGTATGTCTGATACAGGCGTCGCCTGGTAACTGAGCTATCGCGGTGGGTCTATAAACGTTTTCAAGGATGGAAAGAATTTTCGAGTTATGCTGATTCAGAAGACAACGCCCTTAGCATAAGCATTTCCAATAGATGTCTTGAACAGTCCATTGCTTTGAGGGCTATCTTCTGGCCAGAGATGTTGTTCGAACGTACTTTGTTTTCAGCAACGTTGCCAGATAAACCGATGGACGCAGCTACTTCGTTTTCTGCATTCTGTAGTTCAAGACAACCGCTCCATAAATGCCGCCATTAACGTGGTCAGCAGTCGTCTGTGGCTATTATAGAAGCACCTGTTGGTAGTAAACCGATTTTATCCAGGGAAAATTGACAGCCACTCACCATTGTCGTATCTAGGACCAGGCGTATATCTGTCAATTATTTTGTCGTTTGAAGGGCCAACTGACTTGTTCCGGCCGTTGCAGTTACCAAAACGATGTCTGGGCGCCAAAATCTGAGTGAACTGTCTTTTAGATCGTACGTACGTTAGCCTGTCATTGACTGGCTTCCACGCAGACTCCTTGGTTCGCCTGCTCCGAGAGAACGGTTATGGCAACATATCAGGGGACTTGCGGGAACGGGTGTCATATAGCAAGAAGCACGAATTTATTACGGATCGTTAATTTCCTGGGAGCTGGAATCAAGTATGGGGACAGACAATGGCACCAACATTATATCGATTGCGACTACTTTTGTCGGAACCTGAGATCAGGGGTCTGGGAACGTTCGCACGTCTTTCTTCATAAAACTAGTCCTCCTGATTAACCACTCTAGCTTGCGCACCACTTAAGCGGATGTGGAGCTCGCGCCCGTCTCCGTGGGTTCCGCAGGTGTCGTAGGAATTTTCTGTTCTGGCGATTCCCCAACGGGTTGTGTTCTATACTGCTTTCCACGGCGCTTAATTAGTTTAGATCGAGCTGCAAGACGGCTGTGACACGAAACCCTTGTCAGTGATGGTTTACGGTTGCCATCGGGCTTTGTCATATTTTGTGGAGAAATTGGCTCGCCAGTGATCGCAGCCTTGATCGCATTGTCGTTGGTTTACGATTACTGATTCATAAATAGGGTCTGCTTTTCTCACGGATGGCCTTTTTGTAAGACGTTACATTACCCACCATGTATGCGTGTGCTAGTTATTCATAAGGTGAATAAATCGTGACAGTACTTATAGCTCCCTGTTTGGACCACATCCTTATGCAGCACAGAAATTAGTTTTGTAGTTTTAGGACGCCCGCGGGCTATCCATTTACCATCTCAAGTCTCTGAGTCGTTCTCAATACGAAATCACTGAACACCGTACCGATTATATGATCGGTATGCACTGGTTAGGCATTTATGAAGCAAACCTGCCTTGTTTGAGACTTATCTCGCCATCTGACTATAGATGGAAATGCAAGTCGCGTTCCCAGCCTACGACTTAAATAGGATGATAAATACTTCCTTACTGCCGAACAGGGTTAAGAGAGGTGTTATACTTAAACGTTCTGGATAATAATCTAGTCTTTGCCACGAGCTAAGCTCACTGGTTGTCCTGCCTAACTTCTTTTCACAGCCAATATGAGTCCTTAGTATCTTCTTGCTATAAAGCTTAACAATCGTCAGAGAGGGCTGCAAGAAACTCATTCCTGACAGCAAGTTTTAATCGGCATTTTCAGTGGTCTCGGAAATATTAAACTTCGCGAGTGGGTAGCGCCCTCCAAGCTATCCTTTTCGCGCCATGAAATTAAGGTTTTCCATTCTACCTTATTCCTGGTTGTCCCTCGCCATGACACCGCCTTTGACCAAGTGTAGATAGGACTCCCAAGGTAAACCAGAGCGCACATGCTCTTTTCCTCAACCAGGTCTAGTTGGTTAAAGTAACTTCAGTAACAGGAAGCGTTCGGACTGACAAGACTTTTGAGATGCATAAAAAGTTGTTTTCATTGAAATAAGTCTTCGCCAAGCTTTCAGAACATTTTCGGTCTACCGTGCAGCTTATTTCCATTTTTCAAAGCCTAGGTCTCTGCTCTCATTTCATGGCATCCTTATGTAGCACTATTCGTTGCTGAGCTTTGGCATGTCCCGTCACCACGCTTATTTTTTTGCTTAGGCGTTTCGTAACACAGCTTTTAGGAGCTTATGTTTAATTCGGACATTCGGCAGCTTGCATTCGAGAGCTTCATTAATGCAAGCCTAGCCCACGTGCACGCGTATTTGAACACAACGTGACGCTGAACGAGTATCGGATTTTTTGAATCGCGTAGCTTACTCGAAACGTCTAGTCATTTTGGTGACCTTACCTCGTGAGTCCTTTTACCCGTTCAGTATGCGCCGAGAACCTTGAACCATTGGCTTCCTTTTAAAGTACTTTATTTGTATTAGTCCCAAAAAATCCATGCTGCCTGAGGGGTATCTTTCATGCTGATTTGATTCGCGAAGTGAACAGAAAGATGCATAATTAAAATTAAGCATGCTGCTGTGCGTTGGTTGGCTTATGACTATGTCATGCCACGCCAATCAGTATTGTAAGTGCCCTTTGGTTATATCGCCTGTTAGATCATATTTACAGATTTTAGTCATTGTTTAATGAATTTTGCCGCATAGTGTGTACGAGGAAGTGATACTTTGCTTCATTTGAAGACTTCTGAACTGCCTTAGGCCTCATTGTCAGCCAAGTTCTGTTGTGCTTTGGGAAGGGCAGTTTGAAAGTGGTAACTCACAGGTTTGCGTAATTCCTCTGTGCAAGTCCCGCGGTAATTTGGAGTTCGAATGTCAACCGCTCGGACGTAAATCTGCAAGATTTCGGCCTTTGGCAGTTGAGATTTGTTTAAATGTGAGTTTCCTTCGTGATAGCTGGCGTGGCCGAGGGTGTAGACTTTTACCAAGTAAAAATCATGAACTCCTCCCAAGCGTTCTCAGTTTGATGTTCAAATGTTGCTTGTTAAACGAATGTTTTGCTAAACCAAAAGCAGTTGGACGCACAAGACCGTTCATTGTCTCCTAGGACTGTATAACCGGTCACCACGTCCTCTTGCATGACAAGTACTGGTAGTTCACGTTTTACACTCATACCTTCGTCCTTCAACCAGAGTTTCCAGAACGGAAGCAACTAAAACTTCTTCAAAAATAAGCCTTTTCTGGCACTGGTATTTGCGCGACGGCCCTGACATCCGCACTATTAATCCCGCACTTCTAATACCTGCCTTTCGCCCTACCCACAAGAACCACGCCCAGCTATTCTCTGCGAACAAATTTACAATATTAGAATCCTTTGTAAGACGCCTTTGACACTGGTGCCTAAATTTAGTACAGCGTTCTTAGAAAACCACAGATCTAACTGAAATATTGGAAATATGACGGTTGAAATTGACAGTTTTTCCCATTCCCTTGATCGTTGCGTAGGGGCCTGCTCTTCGTTACTTATCATTTCGTCTATTTTTCATACAATAGCGTGACTTCTTCCTCCCTTCATTCCGAAGGGACGTCAACCTTGATATTGATCAGCCGCTGGGTCTATCCACGATGGAATCGCATACAATCACAAGGACTTTTAAGTCTTCAACGACCGGCAATGACAACGTACGTTCTTTCGCACTTTACTGCTTCATATTTAAGGGACTTTGGTCGTTTATCTCGTCAGGCATAGCTGATTGCTGGCAGCAGCCAACCGGCCTTAAACATTTTTACAGCAAAACCACAAAAATCACTTTTGTAGGTTATCCAAACTTCACTTACTTTTTATGGATTTCGTAGGGAGGCCTCGTGCAGAAGACTCACTAGTGTGCATTGTCCAGCCATTCCTCAACACATACAGTCGTTTTAGTGGAGTATTAGTTATTATCTTCTTGCTCGAAAACATTCCGCATTAAAAGGTTTGCCCGCTGGTTTATTTTTTGGCGATTCAAGCGATAAGTAGATGCGTCAATGGGTCTGCGTCTACTTGAATGGGTGCCTTCGCTGTTATTGCCAGTTGTATCTAGTTGTACTTGATCGTTGTGCCGTCTGGATTTGGCCAATGTTCTTGGCATTTCGAGTATATACATCCAGAATGAAAATGAATTTTTATGAAACAAAATATGTATTTGCCAGTAGACCTCTCCAGGAACGTGTTTAAAGTGGGAAACTGTCGACAAACCGAGCACCGCACAATTCGGTCAAGTAATTAGACATAATGAGTGACCTGGATTACATAAGCTGAAGGGCCATCACTCACTGAAGGGGCCAGGATTTTGAACATTCCCAGTTTACTGTATCGTTGATCAAATTTTCCAAAACTGTCCAGGATTGAGGTATTTCTGTTAACGTCTACCTTTTTCAATATCCGCGACCTTCGAAAACCGGCGTTTGCGTTTTGTATTTCATACTGAAGTTCATGGAACATCGCCTGAACTCTTCCCATGCTCTAAAGCAGCATTATTTAAGTTGGGTTCCAACACGTCTAAGCCTGGAACATAATCTCTTGCTGGTTCATGCGTGGTAGCATCTTGGTTTCTCCTGTGTATCGCTCTGATGATTGATTAATTGATGCGCATATTTTCGATTGATTTTGTGATACCTTGAATTGACTAGTCTGGTAAGTATTGTTGACAAAACGTTAATCGCATTGAATTTGGTAGAAGTTTACATCTTCGACCTTCAAATTTTGACTTGGGAAAGTGTATTAACCGGATTTTTTTTAAAACACCTGTTTTGGTCGTTCTGATGGTGTCCAACAGGGGCTTGGCACGCATATTGTCTGGAAACGATTTCTGCTTCCTCATGTTACCGTGACTCGACCTAGATACCTACAGGGCATGCTTCGTAAGTCAGCTTACGGAGCGCAAGTATATTGACTCGCCTGTTTCGGTACAGTCCTCTGAAGCGCCTGAACACTTTGAGCGGGAATTTTTTCCACAAACGATACGTAAATATGAAACTATGTAACCGTCTTCGAACTACCATGAGAGGTAAATTTTTTTTCAAAATAACTGACTCGGCGTAAGCAGTTGTAATAGACGGCGTAATACCTACCGCTTAGGTAGCGAATTCCTTCGCCAGTGACTACCACGAGTCGACATACTCTGGTGTGCGGTTTAGCACGCCGCTCTGCTGAAGCCGATAGTACTTAACTACTGTCGGCATGGAGATTTGAGTGAATGTAAAACTTTTCGTCTGGAAAAACGTACTCCAAGCTCGTTCAATAATATCTGATCGACCAATACAGTTTCGCAATCGAAAGAAGGGGAGACGTTCGTCGGGAGAGGTTTATTGGAAGTCTGACGCTTCGAGTAGTAACTTCGTCTACCTGTCTTCAGAAGCTAGGAAACCATCCTCTTCTTTTGATATGCCACCTTGGAATCGCATTTTCACTACTGCAGTTGTGGTATATTTAAACGGATGTTTAAGAACTTAAACCGGCGTTCTCCGGGATTCGGCGCATACAATCTCACCAATTATCTTTTGAGTCATTTGAGAAAGTTGCCTTGTACATGGTTTCCTAAAGGTTTTCGTCGTACTTATGTTAGCTTTCACGACTTTCCTTACTTCTTTAGTATGTGGAAGAAATTCATATGACCTCGGATGCCGATGGAGCAGTTACTAAAACAGTAATCACCACGCAAAATAACGAAGAAAAGAAGGTTGTCATCCGCCGACTCCCAACCGGTGAAGAGGAAGTCATTGAGAACACTTCTAGGCGTGAGTTGTTTTCATGCGATGGAAATGCCCACCTGCAAAAGGGCGCGCGTACACTTTTATGCCTTATGGATTACCACTCGGGTGCATGTTACCGTCTTTTGCAATTAACTGCTAACCAAACTGACTCTGCCTCTTATATATTTAAGAACTCGTGCTTCGAAGCAGCGCCTGGAAAAAGCCGCCGAGAAAGCGACCCTTACTTATCAGGTTATATGTGGGCTTCTCAGTTCGTTCACAAGTGATTGACAGGGAATCGGCGAATACTGGAACGTTTGCAGGCTTCTAGGTCTGACGAATCAGCAATATTGGGTTTTAAGAGAGAGAGAGGGGGGGGGGCGTCTGTCGACCGATCTGCCAAAAGACCACGTAGTAAAACGGCGTTGTCACATAGAGACCGTTTTGTGCTGTGCAGGAAGGCGTTTTCCACTGTCGTGGTCCTAAGGATTACGGTTGTACCCAATAGTTGGGCGCGGCGACGAACCTTATCTGCACCATATGCTGACGACCTGCAGAGCCCACCGAATTCAATGGTATTTGTAACAATCGAGGTGTCCTTACCTTCAGCAGTTGACTTCATATGCCTTAAAGTGAGACCACTCATATACCGACAGTTCGATCATCGACTCCGTCGATGTCCATCGTGTGCTACACAGCAAGGTGCAGCAGGCACGATGACTTGCGCACGAATTAGTTCATAGTGGTGGTAGACTTTCGCGGCATCGCACTCTCTCTTCTCCACCTTCCACCTGGACTCGGTGTCAAGACAGAGTCAAGAAGATCAGAGGCAGGGGAAGGCGCAGGTGGCTGGCGCGGCCGGATCCGCACCCAGGCGTGACACCACTTATCTAGAGGTTTAGACGCATAGCCTCTTAGGCAAAGCCCTTTCTGTGCTTCCAATCTATAACACGGAGGGAAAGTTGCGGGTGATCCGCCTCGCTCTCCCGGTCGCCACCAATCGAGCTGATGGAGCCGACTGTAGATGAGATGATATGCGCTGACTGGCGTTGCATGAGGCTCTCGTCTCTCGTGTGCCACAAACGTGCTGTTCGTCCCATTAGCGTAAACCAACTCTCATTAACTCGAACCCCACGTTTCCCAATCAGCAGTCATAGTTTCAGTCCGGTCTTCGTTCCTGTCCAGGAACCAATTTTTCCCACCATTTGGCAGTTTTCCTTGCCATGACGTTTAGTGCGCCGCTGCGCCTCCGGTGTTCAGCTATTCATATACTTTCATATCGCTTTTCGCCTTTTGACTAGAAATGCCTTTATAACTGTGTATTGACATTTGATACGTTCAAATTAAGGGTATACCTAGCCAAGGCTGATTTCAGCCTTTATTATTTGTCGTTTTCGAGTTCTATTAGCTCTAAGTCTTTATTTTGCCCTGATTTACTCCTCTTTCACCCTTTCCTAGCAAACAACATGTCCAATAGTCTCGCTGCTCCACCGTCTCAAGGCGTCTTTTCATTCATATCCCGTTGGTTTGGTCGCTGATTATACCTCTCCTATTTCCCTTGATTTACCGTATTAACGCCTAATTTCCGCTGACCTTTTCAACCGAAAGTTCCTATTTCTTTTAATTAAAGCTATTTTGCTTGACAACATACTGACTTTGTTGTGTGCACCTAAAATAGTCGGACATATTTCATGAGGTTTCTTGGGAATTTCGGGTATAGGCGGGTCCGAGGTTGTCTCCTCTAGCGCTTTGGTTTAAAAGCCTGACCAGAAGGCATCGGTGGCTAGCAAACTTATTCATAGGGCTTTGAGCCTTTTTTGTAAGGCTTTCAGTGTACCAGACCGCAGCCCTACGCATCCTGGTAGCACTGTCGCTGCTGGTCCGCGACTGCATATTCGTCAGATCTGAATCTGCTTATTTCACAGCTAACCTTCACTGAAGGCCACTCCAGTATCCGCCACCTGTGGATGCGGCGGGTAGCCAACAGCTAGGCTAACGGGCAACCCGTCTTCCCGTCCAGATCTGCTGCCGCGGGTCGTCACGCGTGGAGAGGTACAGTTCGGGACATCATCGAGGCCGGCTAGATCAGGTATGATCGCAGCCGTGCCAAGTAAAAGTAAGTGGGTAAGTACGCCTAAGATAACAAAGTGGAGACGCAAACTGCATCAGAGTGCTCGCGACACGTTAGGCGTATGCGTGTTGTCCACTTTTATCCGACTCTTGTAATTGGTCCTTCAAAAGGTGCGATCGGGAAACCGTTGGTGTCAGTCTTGTAAATAATAGAATATACAGTTTGGTTTTTAGTCTTACCGCTTATGTTGGGGATGATACTACGTGTATTGTTCTTCCATGTTCGCATAGCTTACGTTGGCGTCCACCAGAGCATACCAAGGCCTTGCAGCAAAACCGGCCTCGAGGCTGTCATCCCCATATGCTACCATGCCATAAAGTAACAATCAAAAGCGCAAGGAGGACGCGACGACGCATGGCATAGCAAGCCATGTCGGCTGCGAAATACGTGCGCGTGGGCAGCTAGACATCTAATGTGTGCCGCGTCATCGGGCATGCTTGGTGTCTTAGATCATTCATTCGGCTCCACCAGTAGCTCACCGAGGATTCGTGATTTTTCCACGAGGGATTATTATGCAAAAAACGGCCGATCCACGATCACCACGCCCAACTACAGTGCGTTCAAGAGCTGTTGAGAGTTGAATGAATGAGGCGCCATTTCGACATATTGCCGCTCTATCATGCATTTTGTCCCTTTGAACTCGAGGACTGCTCGACAGGAGACTGTCCAGTTTTCTTTCCCAACTCACTACTGGGACCTTGCTCACTGCATTCATTTTCCCGATTCCAAGCGCGACTGGCGTACTGAGCCACAGCTCTATTCGTGGTCGTCGGAGCTGTGTACTTCCCACTGCACCTCAAGCCCACGTAACTACGCAATACATGTTCCAGATGGGACTCACTGTTACATACATTTTGCACAGTTGCGCAGACGTGACGGTACTGTTTATTGTGGTCGCTCCGTCTGCTGTTGTGGCAGACGTGCAGTATTCTGCTGTGAGCACACTGGGCTCGACTTCGGGTTCACTAACCAAGAGTATCCGGATCCGTAGGCGTGGGCGTCTGGTCGCGCCACTTTTAAAGGCTTAGTATTTCTCGCAGTGATTTGACCCTTACAGCAAGCCATGAGGGAGATGCTCCAAACCGACACGAAGGCCAGATTCGGGCACGACACGCGCTAACCGGCGTGCGCAGTGTCCCCGGATCCCATAACAAATGCCAGTTCTGTGGGGTGTGGTGGCTTGCCTGGGGGCAGACTTGCGCCGCGTCAGATATTTGAGCCCAATCCTCGGGACGGAGAGCCGAGCTACTATGCCCCCTTGATGTGGCCTATATGGTGCCTCCACTCGGATGGGATCCTAATTTCTCTGAAGATTTGGCCCATAGGGCATGGCCCACGTATTTGATACGCGCAGACGGACCGTTGAGCTTTGTCGGCTGCTGCACCCGCTCGCATCTCTGATTGGCTTGACTGTCTTACCGCGGGGCTCAAGTGGGAGGGGAAGGGGTGTGGGAGATGCTGCGCACGCAGAAATCCCTGTCCTGTGCCCACCATGCTGAGGCTCATTGTGGGCTTCATTCGCGATGTGCAGTTTCAGAGGACGGGCGACCAGGGGGTTCCAGTAGTGACAAACCACGCCGGCCGACGTGCGTGAGATAGCACCTGATTTTCTGTTTTTTCTTGGCTCGACGCAGCCGGATATGGGAGACCTTAGATCAAGCCTGAGCAACGGACACGATTTCTGGGCGCGTCCGCAGTTCAGTGTGATCGCTGCGGACGTTTGCTTACGGCCAGACACTGAAAAATGGAATAGCCTCTTCGTAAACATACTTGCGTGCGCGGACAACAGCATCCATCATGTACATCTCATACGACATCATACGAGCACTTCGACTCAATACACTGGACCTAGCTCCTACATGCCCACTTCAGCACCCATCACTGATACGCATTGGCTCTCAGGTACAAATGAATGTCAGAATTTGCCCCGGTCGTTGCCAGCGCGTTCCTCTGCCTGTGCTCGGTGTCTTTGATCTGCACTACAAAGCATAGCTTGACCTGATACTATTGTGCCTGATGTACTCTCAGTACTTCATTAGTTACAGATTGTCTTTGACAATTCGTAAGGGTCGACGCAGGAAATCGCTACAGCCAATATTTTCCAGACTAAGTTTCCCTTTCCCATTGACATATTCGGCATAAAACACGGGATATTCGTGCGGCAGACCCGAAATTCATTAAGACATCACGCACAGCGTACGCCATTGCTCTTAGAAAACCCTATGGCCCGAGACCAAAGTAAGGCCAGAAATATACCAGCACTTCTCACCGACGACTTTTGTCCTACCAAATAGAGTATCCACCTGCGTTAGCGTAGGTGCCTAAAATCTTTACGGGCATTTCAGAACGAACGAATGTCGCACTGAGCTGCTCCTCCGTATACCGGCTATTTGGAGGGTACCAATAGAAGTCTGATTTCATAGTAAACTCGACTCCCCTGTAACTTAGACTGTCCCATGGTGCGTTGTGCCTGTGTCCATTGACTCTCTCCAGCTCGAATGATAGGTAGTTCTCTGCTAGTGGCCGCCGTCGCCAGCCTGTGATGGTAATTTGTCATGATATGCTCCACAGATCCGTAAGTAGACGTTCATTTCAGCATGAAGCTGAAAGCTGGCAAGGCGTGCCCTTACCGTCACCCCATTGGGTTGGCCGAGTATAAGCGTTGCATCAGGTGCATCACAGTGCCAGTGTTTCGGAGATATTTTTGTCATCAGGCAAAGGGAGTGGTAATGTGGTGTTCTCAAAGAAGCAGTAAAATAATCGATTTGAATAAGCAAAAGGCGCACTTGACCGAGGATCATGATAAAAATTTGCGTAGTTTACCGTTGAATCAAACCAGCTGACAACGTGCAATATTCCTCTAAGTATCGGTCTTGGAGGTATAATAGATGAAGGGCCGCGGTCGCAGGCAAGGGTAGCAAAATGCCACATGAAGTGCACGAACACACATGATTTTACTGTGAAAAAAGGGTGGGGGTTAGAAAAGAAGTACAAATTGGGGAAATAAGGACGATTAAGCTGAGGCAGTAAGTAAACTACAGAGTCCATGAAGGCCCCACACCAACCGCCACTAACTGTACATAAATTGTGCTGTTGGAATGTTTAATGGGAGAATGAAAAGTAGGCGGATCATGATGGCCACGGAGATTGCGTAGTCCATTTTATGAGGCATTTGCTCTATTCAGTAGCATCTTCTTGCCAGGAATCAGAGAGTCAGTGCGCTTAGAATGGCCTGGAAGAAACGAGAAGTGGTTATGTAGAGAACGTCGACATAAAGAGGACAAAGTTCGGTTGCACGACAAATGCATGGTATATTATGAAATAGGTAAGCCTCGTAACTCGAGAGTTCTTAGGAATATTTTCCCAATAGTTTTGCAGCAGCGCATAGTTAGATAGATCGCGGATGAGATGTGCCATTTTAAAACAGGTGTGGGAACGAGGATGCATTAATGACAAGGTCATGCTGATGGGAGGAACAAAACCACACCGGCAAAAAGGTCAAAGCCTAAAAACTGGCGACGAAAAATTCTTAGGCAAAAAACGGTGACTCAAATCGGTGCTCGGTACGCTATTCACCAGCCTTATAAAACACGTATGCCGTAGCTTAATCGAGATTACACCACCAGGAGGGGGAAAGCCAAACCTTGCCATCGGAATCGCGTGTCACCGAAGGTGGGGTTTTTCCGAAACAGTTAAGTCAATCGATTAAATCCAAAGCACGGTCTTCGCTATAACCATATTTACGGATAGGAGCTTCCGCTGTTGGTCCTGTTGTTGAATTGGGCTTCAATTTAGGAGCAAAGAACTACATCATTCCTATTTTGCATTTTGAAGTTACCATTTTATCGATTAGTCTACGCGCAGTACACGTTGACCTTGCTGTTTTACACCGATTTTCTCTGTCGAAATTCAAACCTTTGTACCTTTCTCACTTGTTATTTCTGTTATGCAACGACCGGCAGCAGTTGAGAAGCCGTCGCGAAATTTTGTGGTACCATTAAATTCTGCTGTCCTTGCTTGCTTTGAAAATCAAATCATCTGCAAGCTCTGAGGCTAAGGTTAATTTGAATTTATTTAAACATCCGGAGTTTTGGATTGTGGCTTTCACTCCAACCTGCCGGGATTTACTGTTGTATTTGAAAATCTTCATACACATGATATATGAAAAAGCCATATACGCTTTAGCGGCCGATAACATCTGTGTTTTTCCGATTTGACCCATTTGAGTTGATAATGGCCGTTGGACTAAGCTCGCAACAAACGAAGTTCATCTGAGAGAATTATTGACAGTTCGAAAAACGTAGTTAACCATCACTCGAATTATGGATAAGGTAGTAACTGATTGAACTATTCAGTGTCCGTAAGACGCGTTCCACAAGAGATCGGAGATCAATGAGCTCCATATAA